ATAAGAATATGGCGCCATCGTTTGTCATGACTTGTGGAATGTTTCTAGCCTCGTTCTCCGAGTCTCTTGTTACAAATGGCGCCGAAACGTAATGTTTATTTTGTCTTAAATATTGGATATCAGAAGCCCATCTTTTCCCGGTAAGATCACGCCATCATTGTTGATTTAAATTGACAAAATAATAAGTGTTTTCAATGTCGAAGAGTGTGGATGATGTTGAGTTAAAGACTTGGCTACGAAGATTTCTGGAGATGAGTGAGTCATGCGCCATCTGAATATGATATTCCATCCTATGCTTAGCCGTAACGAGAGAGAGAGAGAGAGAGAGAGAAATGGGGTTTAACGTCCACTCGACACAAACCAGGTCATTTCGACCATCCAACCCCCCGCTTAGCCGTAACGTTGGATTATGTCACGATGCCTAGATTTGTCTTCGGTACTGGTAGAACTTTTATAGGACTCAGTTTCATATCAGCCAAATGTAATTCTGTTACTTTGGAACGGTCCGGGTTGACAATCGAACACTTCCATAGATATCGTATTTCCGACAATCACTCTTTGGTGTAATGAATTAAAAGGGGCATATTTTATTCGTTATGGATATGATGGTAGAACTCTATTTAATTTCCCAGGAGATAATCCAGCAAATACATGTAAAGTATAAAACAAGTTTTTAAGCAATACAATACTTTAACTTTGTGTCTTTTCTGTATGTTACCACATTTTCATTTTACAATGGGGACACTCGATTGATAGCCCGTAACTTTGCGAATTGACAGAATTGTAATCGAGTTATACGGAATTCAGTCCGGTCACAGTTTTATGAGTCCCGACAACGGAGGTGGTCTGAGGAGAATCGTGACGTTATTACACACAGTAAACATGTGTCAACTATCGTGGTTGGTTGAGATGTTTTATTATTCAGTCAGCGTATACACGTAGGCTGATATTTCTGTTTTTACTCAATTGTTACTATTCTTACAGTTGACGGAAAATGAGATGATACGAAATGGGGTTTAGTCACTCGGCAAACCTCAGCAGATTCCAGTACCCTACATCTAGCCTCGGCTGTATGACGAAGTCCGCTATTGGAACTACTTTCAAGTTGCCGGATTACTAACGGCGTTGCCCATGACGACGCCTTTGACGAATGTTTTATCATACAAATATTTCAAAGTCAGAAGCTGTTTTTCTTTCAAGTTTATCCCATTTTCTTCGAACAAGGACAACTTTGCACTGAAAATTCTACAATATTGATAACTTTTTTTTTAAAAGCGGCAAGTTTTCCTAATAAGTAAACGGGTGCCGCATCGCAATTGTATAGGCGTAGGTACATTTCACTTACCGACATACAGCCGAGGCTAATGTCGACGAAACATAGGCCATACAGTGTGCTATGAGGGACAAACTGTGTTATGGCCTACTCTTATATCGAATTCCAACTGTCAAGGGTTCTTTCATGCGCACGCCAATGTGTACACGGGGCTTTCCTTTTTCGTCCTATCCGACCGACTAGACATCTCTCTAAGTCAGGCCCTCTGTCCTGCGGCACTGATAAGTTGGAAACCACGCTGAATGACCGAGAACAGTCAATTTCGGAACGAGTATCACAAATATTATAATAAACTGGATATTTCCATACCGGTAGATTGACATTTACTGAGACAGTTCACATGGATAACGTTTGTATTTGTTGAGAAATTAGACCAGTGGTGGTTGCGCCTTATGTCGTTTCTATTGCAGTTAATTCATGAATGAAAACTAGTTAAATATCAATATCATGTTCAATAGATTGTTTCTTTATTGTTAGGCCGACAATACAGGTTCCAACTTTAAGTACAGTAGAGTTTTAATCATTTCGTTATTTATGATAAAGATAAAGGTTCGGTTATTTTTCACCACAGGATTATTTCTTGATAAAGGTGAATTTTGACTTCGTGTTTCTTTTTCTACATAAGTTGATGAATTGAATTTTTACCGTATTTCAGTTTAGGTTAAATGTTTTTTTGGTATTTTTTTCACTATACGATATGATGTATTCGGGTCATGGCCCATAACGTGTTATTAGGGAAATTTTTGTAAAGATATGAACTGAATTTTTTTTTAATTGTCTGTATGTTTGTGTTTTCCTGAGTATGATGTCCTGTCCGTGTATTTGTTTTTGTGTAAATTTTGTGGGGTGCAGTCCCCCTGCACTTACTATTACGGTATTTCAGTTTAGATTAAATTATGTTGGCTTTTTTGTTTTTCATTATTCTGTATTTTGTATTCGGGTCATGGTCGATAACTTGTTATTAGGGAATTCTTGATAAAGATATGAACTGAATTCTTACCGTATTTCAGTTCAGTTTTTTTTTAATTATTTGCACTATACGATATTTTGTATTTGAGTCATGGTCAATAACTTGTTATTAAGGAAACTGTTGTAAAGATATGAATGGTGCAGTAGGCGTCTATAGAATATAAGAAGAATAGTTATACAATATAAAGTGTAACATCTGGTCTGGTTCTCACATCCTACTACTACTACAAGATCAATCTTAAAAAAAAACCTTATTCATCATTATCGATCATAATATATACTTATAGGTATTGATCTCTAGTATAGCCTTGTACAACAAGATGCTGCCAGAGCCACGTCTGAGCAACCCTCTAGATCATTACATGGCTTACATATTGAGTGGAATATTGAACACTAATATGACAGCCGATAAACGGACTGACAATCGAGACTATAAATGTATACACGGGGACCTCGGTTTTTCCGTCCCATCCGAACGACTAGACAGCTGTCATTGTCAGGCCCTCCTTCCTGCACCCCTGACAACTTTCTCGGATAACGCCAGGGTCGAACCTTAGCGAGTCAACATCTTAATCACTTAGCCAGAGTGGCCCCCATCTATATTTCAACTATTATAGCAAGAAGACCCTGCCTTTTCCCTAAATTTTACATAAGGTGTCTTTAAGTAGACATACAGTATTTGCCATGACATAACCATATTATGTATAAAGTTGGTGTGGAGGGTGGGGGAGGGGTGGATGGCCGAATGGTTAGCACGTGCGCATTGTATCATAAGTCCTGTCATTGAGTCAACTGGCGCGGTTTCGAATCCCCGGTTGTACGTGACAAGGAGTAGGGTCGCCTGTCCAGCCTCGTGGGTTTTCTCCGGGTCCTCCGGTTTCCTCCCCCTGCTAAACCTAAGCGCAAGCGAATTATTGAAATAAAAAATTAAACCATATGTTAGTCCCGAAACGACCTAGTTTGTGTCGAGTGGACGTTAACCCACATTTCTCTCTCTCTTTCTGTAAAAAGTTACAGGACATTTGTTAACTACGAGAATGTGACTCAGATGTTCTGAAAAGTCAGTGAAGTTTACCTCTTACACGGGATTCGCCATAGGATTTTACAATATTCAGTTATTCTCTAATTGGATTTCTTTACAAGATATATCGGGACGCAGTGTAAATACTTAACTTCTAACATACGTGCTATTTTTCAACACAGTCTAATTGGCGTGTCACATTTAATATTTAGAAAGGCTGGTTTTATGGACTGCATTAATAATAACGTCCGAGATACAATAGTTTATATTGACTGATGTTTAATTAAATATGTACGTCATAAGAGCAGTGTGTGTGCTTTATAATGTACTATTTCTAAAACTACTTTTAATATTAAACTGAATGTGGTATAGAACAGTTAATAAGTTCTATGTAATAAGTATAGACCTCTCCACATCTCCTTGAATAACGTCTATGTAATAATTGACTTAGATATTTGTGTGCACGCCTAGTATTTTCTCTATTTTTTACTTCACATTAGTCAAATATAGTAATACTGTAGAATATGGTCTCACATCATACGCAATAACGAGTTTTGTCTAATTTAAATTAATTAATATGCAAACGAGGGCGTCATCAATAGGTTGTCATGTAACGACATATTATCTGAAAATAGTGGGTGGGGGGATAAAATAAATTAATATTTGAACTAATGCTGTGTTACCACTGTCGTTCGATGCGTTACAATACGTCTGTCCTTATTAATAGAGACTTTTGGCAAGCGGAATTTTCCCATCCGTATCACGTATCCGTATCGTATACGTGATACGTTGCGTCAATGTAGTTTTGGCAGATTTTCGCGTCGCGTACGTGTGCGTCGATCAGCTGAGCTTAGTTCAATTACAGCATGATGGCAGATATCTACCAAGATCACCATCAGTACTAGTCAAGTGCCTATTAGAGCCGAGCTATTAAAAAAAAAAAATAATGTCGAATCTTATTTAAAATCTTCGACTTCGACTCGACTGCAATTTTTGGTTTCACTAATTTATCATTTCAGAAAGTTTATACCTCTTTACCAGATTTGCAATGTTCCGCCTACCTAAATTTAACACGTAGTTCAACCATCATGGTTAAAATCACATCAAATATACACCTTCGTTTTCTACAATACACAAAGATTCTTAAAAAGGCTACGATACAACATTTCGGCGTCTAAAAGTAGCAAAAATGACGGTAAAAGGACACGACAATGTTATACGGACCTTTTCCGTATGAACGCTGTTCGATACGTGCTGCCGTATCCGTGTGCCGTATCACGTATGAGAAATACACACACATTGATGACGTCACACGCACAATCCATACGGATACGCGATACGGACCAAAAATTAACGCTTGCCAAAAGTCTCTATTGAGTCCACGATCTGCTACGTGCAGATACGTTCGGATACGATCAACACGATTGCTACGAGCTGACAGGATCACCACAAATACTCCACGATTAAAACCACGATTTCAATCGTAGCGCAAATCGTAATAGTGGGAACCTAGCATACGTAAAATCAGTTTTTCCGCATCCGCGACTCCACATTTTACGAATGCGTGAAATTAATAGAAATATTTCACAAAGCATAACCAAAGCAGGAGACAGATTGGGAAATAATTCTGCAGTTCTTATAATTGTGTATTTTTATTTTCTATTTCGTTTGTTACAGAGTAATGTACGTGAAGAAGAACTAGGAGAAGAAATACAGAAATTAAAAGATAAAATAGCGATACGTCATACAAATAGTTCTGAACATCATAGTCAATTAGATCTGATGCGGCAAGAGATACAATTATTAACAGAGAGGAAGGCTGATTTAGAGAAGCGAGTTTATTCTTTAAATCAAGATAAATTATCTAATACATGTTCCCTGGAGGAAACACAAGAGAGGATTTTATTATTAGAAAGGCAATCGATAGAAAAAGACGTACAGGTTGGTTTATAATAAACTTATTCTAAATTAAATTAGAGAAAGACGTACATGCTCTTGTGAATGTGTTTAAATCAATTTATTCTGACACCGCACCCAGTTATTTAAAAGAATTTTTTGATTTCTATACTCCCCGGCGATTCAACCTTCGTTCTTCAAGTGATCGTAGCATATTGAGGATCCCTAAATATAATAAGCGCTCTGGTGATATGCTTTCTCCGTCAAAGCAGCTAAAATGTGGAATGATCTTCCAAAAACTCTTCGAGAGTCCTCTTCCATCCAGAGCTTAAAGACTAACTTAAAAACCTACTTATTTCAAAAATGTTTTTGAACTGTTTTGTTGTGAATGCGCTTAGAAACACTCATGTGTAATGAAGCGCTATATAAATCGAACAATAATAATAATAATGTTGGTTTATAATAAACGTATTCTACAGTAAAAGGACGGGAATGGGGTGTAAAGTCCCGTCAATACAAAGCTCTTGTCATTTTGAGACTAACATATGGTAAATTTGTATTTTTATGGTAATGTGAGCAATTTGGCCCTGGGAGCGGCGTTCCAGCATATTTTTCTTCGATTGCCAACTGTCAGGCAAATTTGTATCTTTATGGTTATATGAGCAATGTGAAAATATAGAATTTTGCCCAGGGAGCGGCGTTTATGCATGCTATTCGACGATGGCCAACTGCTGTTGCGGGTTCGTTTACGTGAATACAAACGTGTACACGGATTGACCCCGTGTCTTCGGCCTATCGACCGATTAAGCATTCCCCAGGGCGCATTCTACATTAATGATCGCATGATAACATATATGATTACTAACCAAACTATATAAGTTAGATATTTATTTATAAATTAGTACATACTTGACTTCCCTCTGCCATTTTACGTTCTGTCGGTATTGTTTAATACTTCCGGTTGACATTTTAAGACCTGTCGGCATTGTTAAATACGTCCGGTTGACATTTTACGGACTGTCGGTATTGTTAAACACCCCCGGTTGACATTTTAAGACCTGTCAACATTGTTACATACTTCCGGTTGAATTTTTACCTCTCGGTATTGTAAAATACGTCCGGTTGACAATTTACGGCCTGTCTGTATTGTTGCATACTTCCAGTTGACATTTTATGTCCTGTCGGCATTGTTAAATACTTCTGTTAACATTTTTCAACCTGTCGGCATTGTTACATACTTCCGGTTGACATTTTACGGCCTGTCATTATTGTTACATATTTAAATTTTGGTTGACATTTTACGTCCTGTCAATATTCTTACATACTTCCGGTTTACATTTTCCTCTCTGTCTATATTCTTACACACTTGACTTCCGGTTGACTTCAGATTAACAAGCAGACTCGAGAATTAGTGGAACTACAGGAGACCAACATGCATCTTCAAGCTACCATAGATCATATAACTTTACACAGATCATCTGATAATAACAAGGGTGACCAATCACAGACCCTGTTTAATGAGCTATCACAACTGTCATCTGGTACAGATCACGAGCATGCTAGAACACCATCCACATCAAATGGTTCAGATCAAGTGAGTAATCTCCCTTTATTTAATTAGATTAGATAATAGGCATCTTAAAGATGTAACGTAAAGTATTTGGAACTATTTTCTTTTGTTTAAAAAACAATATTTCTATTCTGGATCTCTGAGTGAACAGGCTTAGTCTATGTAACACCCCTCTCTCTGATTAAATATTCATCTAAAATCAAGTGAGTAATCTCCCTTTCCTCAATCTGATTAAGCTGTCTCCAGCTTAATGAACATTCCATATTTGGAAAGATCAAATATTCATAAAAAAAATCGGCTAATTATATTGAAATAGAAATTGGAATTTGATGCGAATCTTTTCATTGCTATTATTGATTTTGTAATTATAACAGCTTTCACTGAACGACAGTTGGCAACGGAGTATGTCTGCTGAGATGTTAGACATGGATGATTTTGAATGTGATGACGACATTGAACTTCCGGGATTACTCGCACACTCTACCATGTCACCTGACCTCGACTTCCTGCCAGAATTTCCCCGTCCCGTAGCTCCAGCACTGGATTGTGAAGATGATTTAGTAAGTTGAATTGTTGGATATTGTGATTGGGAATTAATTAATTGGACATTTGAGCTAAATGCATTTACGAATGAATGCAATTGGCTTTAACGTCCTACTTTTTGCACCAACCGGGCTAATGAAGACATGCATACGCCATACAATGTGCTATGATAGACATTTTGACCAGAGAGCATTTAAATTCCAACTTTCAAAGGTTCTTTCATGTGCACACAAAAGTGTACACGGGACGTCGGTTTTCCGTCCCACCCCGGAAAATCCCGAGAGACTGCTCGGCCAAGATCGGGTTCGAACCCCGCCTTATTCCCTGACCCACTGTGGCTGCCACATCTAGACTTTAGGTACCATTGTACAACACACTTCAATAAAAATTAAAACAGAACACACTTCATATAGAATTACAATTTTTTGTTTCTAGATGCGAAAGGTTGTGTTGGATGTGTTTAAACAATTAAAGAAAATGATTGCTGAAATCCGAGGTGAAGAAATATCTTCCTTCAGCAGTTCATTCGATGACGATCCTTCATCCAGGGGAGATAAGGCTGCTCAACTAGTAGGTTTGTTGGGAGAGTTACGGGACTTGATGGAAGACATGCAGATGTTCCCTTGCAGAAAGGTTTGTGTGCTAAACGAATATTTTGTAACTTTTTGTTTAGAAACGGAAATTAAAATATGCGTTCTCAATTAAATGTTTATTATGGTTTATATAAAAAAAAACCTCTTTGGATATGAACCAGATTCATATTTCGGAAATGAAATGAGGTTTAACGTCCTACTATTCTGCTTCGAACTGGACTAATGAAGACGGACATACGCCATACAGTGTGCTAAGATTGCAATTATGTCCGAACAGCGACACTACGACCTACTCTTATATCGAATTAAAACTGTCAAGGGATCTTTTACGTGAACGCCAAAGTGTTCACGGAACCTCGGTTTTTCTTCCCATTCGAACGACTGGACAGCTCTCCTTGTTAGGCCCTCCGTCCTGCATCACTGAGAAGGGGGAACCATGCCGGAAAATGCAAGAACACCCGACCTCTAGGCTAGCGAGCCAGCGTCTTACCCACTTAGTCACCATGACTCCCTTTATATTTTTGCTCAAATGTGACATCAACAAGATTCTGCTTGTTATAACATTTATTTCCTAAACATGTTTCATTGCCTTTTAGTTCCCTTGGTATGAAATTTAATAACATTTATTATGACAACTTGTGTGTCCCATTCCACTCTCCCCCCACCCTACCGCTAAATACTTTTACAGTTCTCCACGCCAGTACTGTGTAATATATTAGATTTTAACGGCTTTATTAACCAGATGTCGTGATGTCATATTTTTTTTTATTTCATAGTCTGATGCTATGGGTTTAGATTCAAGGGCAGTTGCTGGTATGGAGGAACATATCGGTGAATTACAGAGAGAGTTAGATATGACACAGCGCCACCTAGAACAGAATCAGTTAGATCTACAGCTTCGTGATGAACAACTGGAACAGAAAAATAGAGAATTTTCGAACATGGCGCACAAGGTATACTTAGTTTCATAGACAGTTGATATATTATCATGTTTTATTTGGGTTCTGTTCCCTGCACAGATTGTATTAGCATTCAACTTCCGTCTGTCGTAGACTGTGCAGATGTCTAATGCGCGAATCATTTCTGGTCTTTGTGCAGGCTTACCAGGTTCCAATTAGTGTGCGCACCAACTCCCATCTGGATGGGTGGAGTGGGGTGGGTGGGGTGGAAACTGATCTCTGGTCTCTGAACTAAAACGCCCTTGTTTGGAATCCAGACGATGATACCTAGTCGTGCACTTTTCCGTCAGCAGTTCATTCGATGACGATCCTTCATCCAGGGGAGATCTCAAATTTGCATTCAACAGACTTACTAGTATAGGTTTTTCCAGATTACAGGAGACTGGTTGATATGACATAAAGTTAGGTTGGGATATTCATACATAGACTGTATTAATGGTTAATATATAGGAGGTCTGGATGATAGAGAGAGAACGGGACAATGTAACGTGTGTCTTAAGATATACGACTTTAACACTTGAAGTTATATTTTTACTATTTTTTGCAAAACCTTCACTAAATATTTGTTTCCGATTTTCTCTCCCCCTTAGTATCTAATTCAAAAGGTGAGGGATATAGGATTTTACACAGTTTAACATAACTTTACATTACTTGTCTCTAGTGGTTCTTTTAATAGGACATTTCATATTTGTTTAGTTTTATTATTTCGTTTTTTTTACAAGTTTCTTGGTAGCCTGAGAAAAACTCTAACAATAGATTGTCACTTTACTCCAGGAATTTGAAAAGATTAAAAGACCGATTGTTCAGAATTCGCACTTGCTCACCACCAGTCTTTCTTTTATTATACGTCAACGCTGCAAACTTAACAATGTTTTTAAAACATATTTTCGAATAATTATTCATTGGAGATTGTTTTCCATGGAGATCACTCTAAATAGAATTTAACCTTTCTTTCGTTTCGTTCTCATATTTGGCTGCCATCTTTTGAATTGCAATAAGATCTCGAGACACGATTAATGGTCACATGACTTATCCTATCCAATAAAATAGATGGTTCGTCTAACGCTTTGATATTCTCACCGAGAAACTGACTCATTGATCTCAGCTTAACAATGGATGTCCTTGCAGTTTTGGTCCTCAAAAATTAATAAATCCGAAACGAAATAGAGGTTTACTTTTAATGGAGAGATTGAAAAAAGATAGAGAAATATTCTGAACAAAACGTCTGTACAATACAAGCGGCTTTTTCAGATAGATTAAAATTACTGCTTTTCTTTTCACGCTTTTGAAAGTCTGGCCTGCTGCGAATAGCTTTCTTCATGGTTCATTCTGCATGAATCAGAATTCATAAATCACAAGGAGCCCTGTCACGTGTCATGGAACGGGGATTGACCAATCAGCAATATAGATTAGAAATAATGTTTGGTTTAAACAATTGTGTTCTGTATGTATCATATCAAGGCTCGCCATAGTTGCCGGTTTTGTAAAGTAAGGGTTATAAAACAAGCTGAAGTTAATAGTAATCTGCCTTCCAATTTAAAGTTTCTTGGAAGTTTTGGGTACACATCAGAAATAAAACAGTTCGTCGCAGGCAAGATCTCACTAACTAAACAACATTAAATGTAAACTTGTCCGCACCGCTTTGGTCTTAAACACAGAAATTGTAACTTTTTGTTGGTGAATGTCTTCACCTGTTCTCTTTTTGTGAAATCTGCAAATATCTCTTATCGTTGCCCACTTTTACCCCAACCCAATTCTTGACGAACCATTCTGATTGGATGAATTAAATACTTTTTTTGTGATACAAATTATTAGAACGCACATTTTGATCGACCGTTTTCAGAACACCACCACCCCTTACCCTCTCCTAATCTCTAGTCTATTACTACAAGATACAACTCTTCTCAATTTAATAACGATCAGCCGATAAGTTGTAGAAAATTTTCGGCCCAATTTGGTAGGCCCAAAGTTACAGAATATGAATACATTGCAGGATATAAATAATTTTAATAATTCATTCATATTTAAGGCCAATTGTGCTTTACATCACACTTAGTAATACCTGCAAATAGCCGCACCTGGCAGCCCTGATTAAGTTGTTTAAGTTGGTGAACTGCAGGGCCCCTTTCTAGTGCGGGGCCCAATTTTGGAAATGGGTCAATTGTGCAAAAAACCTGCCCTGCATGTAATTAGGACTTCTCTTTTACAAACGTATTTCCCCAATATCGCAAATTATGTAGGCTGTAAATAGTGTTTTGTGGTAGTTCTAGATAGTTTTAATTTTAGATTATTTCAAGATAAGTAGACTTTGAATACATGCTATTAACAGTCAAAATGTAAACATATTGAATAGAATCTATTGGTTACATGTTTTCTAATACTTATTGTAAAAATAAATTCGAATTTCAGATCCTTATGATGTACACAATAAAATCTTGTTATGAATAATTGAATTAATCATGTTATGAAAACTTGAATTAATCAAACTATGAATAATTGAATTGGCCATGTTATGAATAATTTAATTAACCATGTTATGCATAATTTAATTAACCATGTTATGAATAATTTAATTAAACGTGAATTCATGTTATGAATACGTGAATTCATGTTATGAATAATTGAATTAATCATGCTATGAATAATTGAATTAATCATGCTATGAATAATTGAATTATTCATGCTATGAATAATTGAATTAACCATGTTAAAAATAATTGGTTGGTCAAGTTATAGTATTTGATTCTTTGGGTACTGAAAATTAATTACTACCGATGTAGTCACAACAAGCTAAAGCACTGTGATTTGATGTAGTACTTATTAAACATGTCATGTCAGAGAATGCATCCCAGTGATACAATAATAATTATTTAGAGACTTTCTGATAATTCAATTTTATAGACAAAATATAAAATTGAGCAAAATATATATTTTCTTGTTGAAAATCGTTGAAATTGTTCCTAAGTTCATATTACAAAAATGTATATTTAGTTACTACTCTATTGGACTTTAAACACAATATACAAGTTTATGGAAAGACAATTACTGATTTATTGTTTCAATGGCATTTAGTAATTGAACTGAAGTATACAGGTCACAATTCTATGGAATACAATTACTGCTTATTACTGAGCGACGTTTCGACTATGCTTTTCTAGTCATTATAATCATTGCTTGATAATGACTAGAGCAGCCAGCCTAGTCGAAACGTCGCTCAGTAATAAGCAGTAATTGTATTCCATAGAATGGTGACCTGTGTAATTACTGATTTATTATAAATGCAATGTTTCAACGAGGATACCCCCGTATTTATCAACCATATAAACAAGCATCAATTACTCGATGTAGACGAGAGTATCCTCGTCAACACGTTGCATGGTAATAAATCCAGTAATTGTGTTTCCATAAAATTGTATTAATTACTAAATATCTATTAAAGAAGTTATTGGATTTTAATTCAACTCTTGTCAAGGCGTTGTTCTTAGTTATTGTTGTTGACCTGCCAGGACTTGGTCTAATATATAGATATGTTCATATTTCAACAGTTACAAGTACAACACAGTCAACTAATGGCGGTTCGTAATGAAAGAGATCAGCTACAGAATAATCAACTACCGGATCTAACGTCTAATGACGTAGTGGAAAAGGCAAGGAAAGAACGAGACGAAACGTCATTAAGGTAAACACACCATTTTCATTCAAGGGACAGACTCCCGCCAAAAGGCAACACCTAGTAACTCACATATTTCTTATTTTGAGAAAACAAAGGAAAGCGTAATGAATGAATATTAAACCCCAGCTTATCCATTGATTTGACTATTGAGTTACGAGGTTTTTCTGTGGCATACTAGGCAAATGAAGGAAGTTGCTAGGTTGTTTCATGGCTGTAACTGCTTACAAAATCAAAAGATCGGAATATCTAGTACAACAACAGGAAGCACATACCCTAGTAACTACAAATTTGGTCCTATCTCAATTTTGATAATAAAAAAAGTGAGTTACTAGGTTTTGACTTTTGACGGGAGCAGAAGCATTAGGTATCCGTAGACCACAAAGTGTTTAATTCTTATTAGGTTAAATACACATTTGCACATTGACAAGATCTGTGGTTCTGTAACTTTAAACCCCATTTTCTCGTAATATAACAGTTAACTAATCTTTAGGAAGTAGTACTCCCTGGGGACGAACCATGGTGACTTGGGTCGATCACAGTATTGGCTGAGAAAGTTCCTCGGGAGTTGCTGAGATCCCATGAACACGTAAAAGAACCCTCGACAATTGAAATTCGTTGACAATCAGACACAAACGCCGCTATTCAGTCGCAATTCCCCTCATAGTGGACTACGTGATGGTGTATGTTCATCTTCATTTGGGGACGAATGGTCGTATGGTTAGCGCGTGCCCGTTGCATCATAAGGTCTGTCATTGAGTCAACAGGCGTGGTTTCGATTCCCCGGTTGTACGTCACTAGGAGTAGGGTCGCCTGTCCAACCCCGTGGGATTCCTCCGGGTTCCTCCCACTGCTAAAGACCCCTACGCGCAAGACAATTACTGAAATGAAATTGAACCATGTGTTAGTCCCGAAATGACCTAGTTTGTTTCGAGTGGACGTTAAACCCTCTCTCACTCTCTCTCTCTCTCACTCTCTCTCTCTCTCTCTCATCTTCATTAGTCCAGTTGTTACAGGAAAATAGGTTGATATTGTATGTAAATTATATATTACAGGAATCATGAATTAGAAACAGAATTAGTTCAGTGTAAAATGGAAATGATGAACCTTAATAATCAATTATTGGCCGCCATTAGACAGAAAGTTTTATTATCACAAGAATTAGATCAGTGGCAGGTAAGTGTCATACATGTTCTAATTATTTATATCATATCCTCACTCCCCTAAAACCCTTCTTTTAGAGTATGTCCACATCCATAATCGGGTTTTAAAGGTTCCATTTACTGCTTTAGACGTTAGGTTCCCTTTACTGCTTTAGAGGTAAAATTTCATATGCTGCTTCGGAGATTAGGTTTAATATGCTGCTTAAGGGGTTAGATGTCATATGCTTCTCCAGAGGGGAGATGTCATTTGCCACTGCAGAGGTTAGATTCCATTTGCCACTGTAGAGGTTAGATTTCACTTGTCACTGCAGAGGTTAGGTTCCAAGTGTTCACTAATGGTCTCCAGACCCATCTCGGACATCTTGGCACTAACCAGCTCGGCACTAACTAAAGTATGCTTTCTGTTTCTGACACAACTGTTACCACTTCCCGCTCGGCTTATTAGTGTAAATGATAAAAATCAAGTAAAACGTTTAAGTTGAATTAAAAACATTACAGATGCATTATGTAAGAGATAAATCCGTCTACCGCAGATCTTTCTTTTGGCCTCAAATGTTATATAATTTATTATTTAGACATTTATTAACATGATAAAACCGTAATCAACTCTAGATCATCGGATGCTCACGCTTTTCAATGGTTGAAACAAGATCGCCGTATAATAATTTAATTACAAAATGGATAATTGAGACTTTGTTTACTACCGTTTAATAACGATAGCAATGGCAATCGAGATTCCGCTATTGTCCAACAGCTATACTTCAGAATGAAGTAATTTATACGAGAACTATCATCTCTTTATTTACATCTTACATAATGCACCTTTATGTATTTTCCCCATACACAGAATTAATATAGGCTGTGAATGTAGCTCAAACATTTTTTGTCTTGTTTAATTTAGTCAGTTCTTGGAGATAGAAGTCATTTCGGGACTAACATGTGGTTAAATTTTATTTCAATAATTCGCTTTCGCATAGGGGTCTTTGGCAATCGAAGGAAACTGGTTGGACAGGCGACACTATTACTTGTCACGTACAAGCTCCGAATCAACATCACGCCACTTGACTCAATGACAGGCCTTACAATCTAAGGTGCACGTCTTAGACCATTCGCCCACCTAAACCTTCTCAGAACTGTTAGTAAGTGTGTTATTGTTGTTACAAATTTGTCCTATTTGAATTGGGGGGTTGGATGGCCGAATGGTTAGCAGGTGCGCGCTGTATCATAAGGTCTGTCAATGAGTCAACTGGCGTGGTTTCGATTCCCAGGTTGTACGTGCCAAGGGGTAGGGCCGCCTGTCCAATCTCGTGCGTTTTCTCCGGATCCTCCGGTACCCTTCCAATGCTAAAGACCCTTACGCGCAAGCGAATTATTGAAATAAAATGGAACCATGTGTTAGTCCCCCCTCCCCCCCTCTCTCTCTCTCTCTCTCTCTCCCCCACACACTTTCTCCCTATTTGAGTTTAGATTTATTTATCAATTTATTAGGTAGATCGATAGCATATCCGTCAACGTAATATAAGGTAAAAATCACGTTATATAATCGTTGAATGTCTGGATAATCTCATCTACAGCCTTGTGTTAGTGGGTCTCTCTGACTCGTAGTCAATATTTAGGATAAGGCATATCAACTTTATTTTCAACCATTTTCATTCATAGATCAATGTATAGGCATTGTAGTTCAAAACAGTTTCTATAACAGTCAACATATAGGCATTAAATTTGTAGTTCAAAACATTTTCTATAACAGTCAATATATAGGCTTTGTAGTTCAAAACAGTTTCTACATCGGTCAACAAATAGGCACTGTAGTCTCAAACAGATTCTATAACAGTCAACATATAGGCACTGTAGTCCCCAAACTTGTCAGTGGTGCAGGACGGAGGGCCTGACAAGCACAGCTCTCTAGACGTTCGTATGGACGGGAAACCGAGGTCCCGTGTAAACATTGGCGTACACGTAAAAGATCCCTTGGCAGTTGTAATTCTGGACGGAGGGCCTGACAATGACAGCTGTCTAGTCGTTAGAGTGGGACAAAAAAAAGAGGTCCCGTATATACATTAACATGCACGTAAAAGATCCCTGACAATTGGAATTCAATACAAGAGTGGGCGATGTTGCCGCTGCCCAGTTGGAATTCGATATAAGAGTAGGCCGTGGTGTAGCTATCCGGGCAAAATTGCCCTCATAGTGCACTGTATGGCGTATGTCCGTCTTCATTAGCCCACTCGGAGTAGAATAGTAGGACGTTAAACCCCATTTTATTTCATTCTATTTCTATTAATCGAAGCTTTATATAAGCGTGAATGTAAAATGCTTTGTTGCATATTTAAGACAATCGCCATATATCCTAACGGCAATTTGGGGGGTTCTCCAACATATAACGTCTACACCCTCCAAAGCACCTTGTGGTGTTCGACTGCCTATGTACCCACAAAACTATTTTGGTCGGAAAGTATACAACTTGAGTGGAAATTTGTGGGTTCTTCAACAAAGTTATCGTATATTGAGTTACCCTACTACCCCCCTCCCCCCCTCAACACACACATGCACACCTACCCCCCCACCCCCCAAAAAATAAATAAAAAAAACAAAACCCATCCTGTTGTGTTCAAAATTGTACGTTCAATATCAATTAGATATATCCGTCTGCCAGACCCACGAATCAACAACTTAACAAATATTGTGAACATTCTCCAATTTCTCAAATACGTTCTTCTACAAATCAAATGTTTCTCCATATAATTTATCCAATCAAATAAATTCAGTAAATGTCCCACTTTTAAGTAGACTGTCGCTTTTAAGGCTTATTATAAAGTTTCTGTTTTATTGTTTTTTATTGGCTGATTTCTGATTTATTATTATTCATTGGGTGTTAAACGTATTATTACGTTTCATTGGCTGATTTCTGCTTTATTATTTTTCATTGAATGTATTATTATTTTTCATTGGATGTTGAATGTATTAATACTTTTTTATTGGACGTTGAATGTATTAATATATTTTTTTGGATGCTGAATGTATTAATACTTTTTCATTGGATGTTGAATGTATTAATAATTTTTCATTGGATGTTGAATGTATTAATAATTTTTCATTGGATATTGAATGTATTAATAATTTTTCATTGGACGTTGAATGTATTAATATTGTTTCATTGGACGTTGAATGTATTAATATTGTTTCATTGGATGCTGAATGTGGATACCGTTTAATGAGTGTATTGTGCTTTTAATTTGAATGGATTTATTTTTTTAAAGATGCCTTATGTAAGTTTTAGATAAATAGCTGACAGTTCTCGCTATAATAGTTTAAAAACAGATCATATAAAGGGGATATGTTGAAAATCACGTCTTTTTGAGCGGAGTTATTTTCCTTTGAAGAACAATGCAGTCTCGATTGTCATTGCTACCGGTGTTGCAATACACAAAATCTCGACAATCCACTTTTTAAAAATAAATTTATTAACAGGTAATCGTTTTAAATCCGTTGAAAATCAAAACCATCCGATGGTCCAGAGAGTTGATTATGGGCTTGGAATGTGAATAAATGTCTAATTAATGATCTATAGAACATTTGAGTCCGAAAGAAATTAGCAGATTTAGCTCTTACATAATGCATCTTTATTGTGTTTTATGATTTTCACATGCATGCTTTTCTGTAATACATTTACAGATTGTAATGTTTTAAAGCGACAGTCACTTTAACATAAATTTTTTACAAATTTAACAACGATGTGAACAATAAACTTAAAGTAGAAAAATTTGCTATTTTACAATTTATATATTTTTAAAAAAAACAAAAACAACCACGCCCAGTATTTAAATTGGCTTAAACGAACCTATATTATTGTCATCTGCAAACTTATTCTATCTCAGAAACCTCCATATTATTCAAATATAATATTTGAAAACTTCAATTCTTAAATTGGTAGCCTACCCAAATAACGTTTATTGGGCTTATAGAGAGATAAAGACTGGGTATTATTCGAGGATATTGCTACTACTGTTAAAATCTCTAGTTTCAATCTGATTAAAATACAGATCTATATTTCGTTTCGTTTTTTTTTATACTTACCTTGGCCTATACTACATGAAGATCTGACCAGTTGCAGTGGAAGGTCGAGTCAGGTGTCATACGAGCGGCTTTTGACCTAATGACGTCAGACATTGATTAATCAGTTAGCGTTGACTTTTCTAGTGGTTTACTCACAGTTCCGTGCACCGCACGCCTAGAACTGACCGTAACAAACCTTTTCATTGGCTAATCTCTCACATCAACCAGAACGGGGGTTATATAACAACTCATCCACTTCCTTATGTTGTGACAAGTAAAACGAAATTTTAAACTATAAAAAACGAAACGAAATAAGATCTGTGTTTTAATCAGCTTGCTCTAAATAAGTCCTAATCCCGCATTATTGAGTAACTCGATCATCAGGACCTATAGCTTTATATGTATCTTGTTTTGTCTAAAATAAAATAGATTGTCGTACTGTGGTCAAACCAAATAGTCATGCCATTATTTTTGAGCACCGGAAAAGGGCGTTTATGATTGTTTTTTGCAAAACTGAGAATATTTTTCAATATTTCTTTACTTTTATTTCAGGCGGATATGGAAGAACTCTTGGACGTTCAGCTCCATAAAAGAATCCAAGAAGAATCCGACAAGGAACAAGTGGAGGTGAAACTAGAACAAATGTCAAAAAACAAATCACCAGGAAACTTCTTTACTAGAAATATCAAAAAACACGCTTCATAAAAACCGTATCTACCAGTGTTGTGTATCACTGGTGACACTAATGTTGCTGATGACAACGTCCACGGTGCCAGATCGTGACGAGTCAGCATTATATTATCTGCCAGTGATCTGTCCGTCATATCACTGTTGGATAAACAGAGTCTGGTTCACTGTCTGGTCAAGGGAGACTAGTCCACTGTTTGGTCAACAGAGACTAGTCAACTGTCTGATCATCAATATAGACTAGGCCTTTTCTGGTCAACAGAAGGTATTCTACTGTCTGGTCAGCAGAAGCTAGTTGATTGTCTGGTCAACAGAGGCTAGTTCTTCTTCTGGTCAACTTAGGCTAGTTCTTCGTCTGGTCAACAGAGGCTGGTCAACTAAGACTTTATAGAATGAAACGAGCTCATAAAATATCATCAGTGGATTGGACATCTTAGCACTGTCGAAGAGCATGCACCCCCTGATTCATTGTTTCGTCAAAAACATCTCACGGTTACGTATTAGGAATTGAAGTGGGTAAATGGAACATGGCAGTGATAAGAAGGAGTTCCGTTTACTATATATTGTATCATTTGTGTCCACCGTAGAAAGAAAATGTTCGAGTTATCGGATTGTCGAGAACATATTGATTATCTTTAAAAATCGTGAAGTGCGAATATGTTTTATGCGACTACTTTTCTTTGTGTGTACTGTGTGAAAGTGAAATCCTTTGACACTGGTAGATATATTGCCCAGATATATGACGTCATTTTATCATCTACGTCATCAAGTTTTGTGTACACAGATCCGTGTTGCGGAAACGTCATCCATTCATCAATTAATGTGCGTTTGTGGATATCAGATGCTGGAGATGTTGTCTGTTTTGCTTTTTCTTGTAAACGAAGATGTAATGAACCTATTTCTTCTTGCTTCATTCTTCCACCTTCTAACATTCCCTCCGTCAATGTGTTCACGTCATTTTGCAAGTTTGTTCACGTCATCAATATTAGAGTACTACATAGATCACAAGCATCGTTGATGTGCTAAACGTAATGTAGATATGTGGCTTATTAATTGTGTTGTATGCTTTCAAAATAACGCCGCTTAAAATTAAGAGAACTGTTCTCGGGCTAGGAAATCGCATAAGGAATCAAGGCTGATTAATTTGATTTACACAAGTTACTTTCGTTTTTACTGTTATTGCGCGTGAAGGAAAACTGGAATTATTGTCATTTTTAAATATATTCTATTGAAATCACCTCAGCAATAAAACCGTAAATGGTCAGTTTAGTAGTAAACTAGTACATCTCAACCATACGTAACCAAAACAATCAACAATGATCTCGGTATAAATAGTGTACAGATGTCCTTTAAGGCCAATATTTTCTCGGGATATACTACGGCCCAGTTCCAACAAAAATCTTAAAAATCGAAAATTTTGCACAAAGCAAAACTAAATAAGCCATTTTTAGAAATCGTGTAAGTGTTGGTCGTTCGTTAACTTGAACTTACGATTTTTGGAAACCAGGCCTTAGTCGTCGAGTTATCCGAGGTCGAGATAACGGAATTCAACTGTATTTTGTTTTCCAAATTTCTGTTTAAAGGATATATAATTTAAATTAAATAACAATACTAAATAATAAGTATTATATATAAGTTAGATAATTGAACCATTTCTAGTCAAAATATTTATTAATGGATACTGATCCAGTAGATCCTTTCACGGTTTATGACTCCATACCTACATGATCCCGTATATACCATTATATGTTTCATTTCAATGATCAAACCTTTTGTTTCTTCCATTAATATCCAGTTTAAAATCTTTATAAGTCTATAATTCAATTAAAGAGAGGGGTGGGGGTGAATGGCGATCGTTAGGTCCGTCTTCCAATCAAGTGGCGTGGTTTCGAATCCCCGCTTGTACGTGACAGTAAGTAGGCTTGCCTGTCCAACTTCGTGGGATTTCTTCGGGTCCTCCAGTTTCCTCCCACTACTAAAGACCCCTACGCACAAGTGAATTATTGAAATAAAATTAAATCACATGTTAGTCCCGGAATGACCTAGTTTGTGTCGGTTGGACGTTAAACCCCATCTCTTTCTCTCTCCCTCTCTCCCTCTCTCTCTCTCTCTTTAAAATTAAATATGTGAAATTTTCCGAAAGCCACTATTTGGCGCAACTTTAATCACATGACTGAATAAGTGATTATAATTATCTATAACTGTGAAATGATCTAGTGTATTTGATCAGTTCGATAAGTAAATTATCATCTATTGTATTCGATCTACCTATACAGGTACAAAAGATCGATATCAATTAGTGTCCAGTGGAAATATTACCTTGTAAAAATATACATATTATATAATTCTAGTCAGACCTCATAGATGTCAGAACAATTGTTAAGTTTTAAGCCTAATGTAAGAATGTGTACAATTTGTTTATATTTTGTTGAATTAATCCATATCTAGATGTAAATCTTCTATATAACAATATAGTTGTTGATATAACAGGTGTCCTTCATACACCATGTATAAACAATAATTTATATAATACTGTACAGTCATAGAACAGTTTTTAACCGTGTCATCTTCGCTAACCAATGGTTACGATTCGCTTCTCTTCTCTTCATCATTGGCAGATCTCGAAAACACTTTGATGATTCGCGGTTCAAGATTTTATTGGTTACGCCTATCATTAGCTGTATCCAATCAGAAGACTTTTTATGCAGAGCACATGTATATCGGCGAAATGTAAACAAACATGGCAGTGGACAAAGACTCTTGTCGCCTCTGCCACCAAATATTGCCTAAACCACATAGAAGAACCATATTCGGAGATACTTTTGGAGTCAGTCAACAACTATGTGAAGTATTGGGTTATATTCCCCAAATTCACATATCAATTTTTCTGTACTGGGCGCGGCCATTTGCCACTCTCCAACATACGTATAACAAAACAATTCCGATTTGCTAGAGATGACGTGTTTGTAAGGGGTGCAACTACAATATATCACCATGTGGCATTGCGTGCGAACTCCAAATTGTATTCGAGATCTGCCAAGGGTAAAGAGAAGGGAAGCGAATAGTAAATCTTGGCTAGCGAAGATGATAAAATGTATAAAAAAACAGTAATTTTACCCACACCCATTATATTACGGTATTACATTATTTACACAAATTAGGATAATCAATCACTTTTAATCATGGTTTCATATTTGTTCAAATCTGATTGCAATAGTTGTTTTTTTTATGGTTTTATAAGCTCTGTGATTGGGTTGATTCAATTCCTGGCTTGTAGTGACAAGCAGAGGTGCAAGCTGCTTTAGCCTGCGTAATCTCGTGGGTTGGCTCCGGGCTCTCCGATTTCCACCGACTAATAAATGCCCTTACACACGTGTGAATTATTAAATAAAGTTTTGTTTGCTTTTATGATTATACATTCACTGCCTTCCTGAATCGTCATATATTCACACTGTTGTCATGTAGCCTCGTTCAACCAAACTCAGAAGGGCTTATGTAATCGGTGGTGTCAATCTTCCGCGGTCTTCCAGAGTTTGGTTAAACGAGACTAACTAAGATGACGGGCATGACTACGCAACAATAATAATTACGTCATGAAAGAGGATCTATGTTCTATCATGGTTGTAATCGGGTTGATGTTATTTTAGAACCACGTGATGCATGGCAATAATTACAATATTGTAATCGACAGCTATAAATGTTTATCAAGCAATGTGTTTATTACAATTATTATACGATAAATAACCGGTCTATTGATAAGACACAAATTTATATGGATTGGTAAATTTAGCCATATGTATTGTCATATTTAATAATTCAAATCAATTGTCATTAAATGGCCGTACACCGCGTAGTCATCCTCGATCGCCATTATTTATAGTATATCTGGCATAAAGATGCTACTGGCCCTATTTCACTGACCACCCACGACAATTATATTGTTTTAGTATCTTTTGCCCGATCCGTTTACTTTGATAATAAATGCAGGAGGACTGCACCACACACAAACAATTACACAATACAGACTTCACTCTAAAATGAAAACACATTAACAATAAGGGGGAAGTAGTAACTATCGACGATGACTTTCGAACCAGATAAATATATATTATAAATCGACGTTCCGGTAATTTTCGGCATGTTTGGCTTTATAGTAAAGGGTATGGTACCGTGGAGTTTAATTGTGCAGAAAATGGGATTTAGATGCGGGATTAATATAGGCTCTGTGTGTAGCGGAGTGTTGGGATTTCAAAATGTTTACCGAAAATAAAGGGGCATAACTCTTATCGTTAGTTACACAAGCGATATTTAATGTTTACAGGTTTGCTCCGTGTATTCTGAATACTTTAAAATAAAATTACCTATTTAATTGACTTAATAAATGAAATAAAGTAAATTATCTTTTTGATCAATCATATATCGATCTCTATTTAAGCCCGCATCTAAACATCGTCTTCCGGAACTAACGTTTTCGTCCATGGCAAGACGCCATTGACACACGTGTTTCTCGGTAAAAATATTTTAAATTTGCTCGTAAGGAGGACTGCCATTAGCTATCTTAATTACAGAAGTTGTTGTTTGCTGTTGAAAAGACTACCAATGTACAGTTTATGAGTTAGTTGCCATAGTTACCCTGGTAGGCATGATTAGATTGTTATTGTTAAGATTATTTTGTGTTCATTTCGGCTGTTTTTGTTTGTAGAAATCACAATAAATGTCGACGAAAAATAAAAATGGAAAATACACTCTTGACTTTTATTATTTCGCGGAAGCCACGGTGACTCAGTAAGTAAGGCGTTGGCTCGCTAAGCTGGAGGTCCTGTGTTCGATCCCTAGGTTGACTGAGAAAGGTTATCAAGACATTTTCGGGCGTGGTGCCTCCTTGTACAGATGAGACGAAAGTTTCTGTGTACGCATTGGGAAAGCAATTGGAGTTCGAAATCAAAGTAGGTCGTAGCAACGCTGTCCGGCGAAAATTTCCAGCATAGCTTATGTCCGTTTTAATTAGATCATTCAATGTAGAAAAGTTAGACGTTAATAACTTAAACACTATTTTATTTGATTATTATAAGAAGCCAGGCGACGTTACTCTGAATTGAAAGTCATAGCAACAGGCATCAGACTAGATCTACGTCCACATCTTCAATAGAAGGCTTGATCTTGCTTTAATTCCGTACATCGTATCAATCCCTTCACATAATACCCTTCATATTTCGGCACTAAATTGGATTGGCTACCGACCCTGTTGGGGACCTACCAGATTTCTCGATTATCGCGAATACCAAGCCTCGCGCTTTCCAGCTAAAATATCTACCTGTCGCAAAATTCAATGTCAAGGTTTCCAGGGAAGACGCCATGTTTGATTTGAGTGTGTTTGTTTTACAACCTCTTATTGGACGCCACTGTTCACGTGTCTGTGGTAAAGGTAGATAACGTAGCTATAAGTTTGGGAATTGCAGACCAGTTTAGCAACGTCTAGATGTTACATCTACGTCATTCCTTGGTCTATAAAATTCCGATGATCTTTGTCTTTATAACCAGAGAGAGAGCCCAACATGCTATAATCATCTACGCCTTAATGACTATTTACAAAAATCTGTTTCAATTCTAGACCTAAAAGTCAACACAAATTGCTAATCGAAAGGCATAGATAAAAGAAAATAAAGAGTTGCTATAAATAGACAAACTATAGTTTAGCCTCTATTTTAAATAATATTAGTTAATGCCACAAAATGATCCCTTTTTACATTTTACCCGGGCCTCTAGTTTTTGTTAATTAACGAATTATGGACCATAAAATGATAATCTACAACAAAAGAATTACAAATTTCTGTAATAGATCGACAAATGTATCTGGGAACAGAGCGTGTGAAATTGTTAACGCCAAATAGTACAATATGTGCTTGCATATACCCCCCCCCCCTCAAATGGCGTATTATGTAAATATGACGTATAAAATATGCGAATGGGGTCCGAATCTTTTTACACTCTTCTGTAGAATAAAATTATGATTGCTTACTTTGTTTATTATCGTAACAACAGTTACAATGACAATCGAGGCTACAGTGTTATTGAAATGAAGATTCCGCGGCTCAGAGTGAAGTACTTGACTGACAATTTCAGCATATTCCCTTTACATTATCTATTTTGTAACTGTTATAGTGAGATCTGTCAGTCATTGATCTAAATCCTCGATAATACACCTTTAATATTTACAGTCTTATACCCGTCAACTCAACTTCACACAAAGCGAGATTTTCTGTTGGTTTGGATATCCTGATAAACCTGCCCACTGTTTTCTCATCACATTCAAAAGTTCTCACGGTACATCCAAACACTCCTGGTATAAATATACACAGTTGAGAAGTAGCATTATCGACCAGTGGATCTGAATCATATACCATTACACTCACATTAGATAACCTTTCACCAACACCTGAAATAAATATAAAAAAACAACTCCAAATCACGGTGGTTCTTTCTTTCGGCCATATATATGATGAGTTTAATTTTCGCCTCGTCGTAATAATAATAATAATATTCTTATTTAGAAAGCATGTTGATGCTGGCGTACATTTTCGGTGAATTCCAACTGCATTTCAAATTTCCGATTTGTCGCCTCCTTAGACTGTCCTCACAAATGTCACCGGTCTCCATTAGTTCGCGCATTTCTATTTTATAAAGATAAAAGGGCACACCGTAATTAAATGCTGCATTGGTGGTTGTCGTGGCGGTAGCGTAGTTTGATTAGACTATAGGACTGCGAAGCAGACTACTCTAAGTCGGAGAGATTTGAAGGTGGCTTACTTTGTTTCATGTCATATCTGTTAGATATAGTTATACTTGTAATGTCATACATCCATTCTAGATCTACTTGCCACCACGGATTATAGTCAGGGTAGCCAGAATGTTGACAACTGAGCGCCGAACCCCAGTTGCCATCCTTGTTGCCATCAACAGCCTTATTAGAGCCCTGGTTGCTACTACCATCCAGTGTTGAGCTTTGTGTTGTTGGTTTTCCTAAAGCAATGTTGTCACCCCCTGAAAGATAGTTTGACAGAAAAGTCAAGATAATCTGCCATCATTTATCTAAAGATAAATACGTTTGCCACACCAGGCGCTTCCTTATGAAAAGACGAAAATTTCAGCTACCCCTTGATAAAAATCCCACAAACTAACCAGTTGCGGGTTTACAAATTTCAGTTGACAACAATGGAATTTCTGCCAAAATGGAATTAAAGTATGTCTGTCTCACCTGGTAATTTCTTACATTCACATCTTTCATTAAAAGTGCCACTTGTTTCATCAACTAAAACAAAGTTCAAACATGGTCAATTCACATATAGCACCTTGTTAGTCTTGTTCTGCGATGGTTAATAAAGACAAAATATAGCACATTGATAGTCTTGTTCTGTGATGGTTAATAAATAAAAAAAACTAAAATCAATATAAATACTGAGCGATCATTACTGACAGAAATACTGTATATAATTAATGCTGAATGGAGAGTATAATCAGAGTACAGAAACAGAGTATATAATTAATACTGATTGGAGAGTGTAATAGGAGAGAGTGTATCATAATATAGAAAGACTGTATATAATTATACCGATCGGTTATCACTGACAGAAATACAGTATATATTTGGTACTTATCGGAGAGTATATCATAGTATAGAAATAAAGAATATAATTAATACCTATCGGTCTTCACTGACAGAAATACAGTATATATTTGGTACTTATCGGAGAGTATATTATAGTATAGAAATAAAGAATATAATTAATACCTATCGGTCTTCACTGACAGAAATACAGTATATATTTGGTACTTATCGGAGAGTATATCATAGTATAGAAATACAGTATATAATTAATACTAATTGAAGAGTGTAATCATAGATAGAAATAAAGTATATAATTAATACTGACAGGAGAGTATATCATAGTTATACAGTATGTTATAATACTGACAGGAGAGTGTATCATAATATAGAAATACAGTAAGTAATTGGTACTGATTGGAGAGGAGAGGGTTATCATTGACACAAATACAGTATATAATTAGTACTAATCGGAGAGTGCATAATGGATGCTGTGTTCAACCACTTCCTATTTCCGGCATCGTATCAAAGATGCAGGAATCCAAAATAACACAATAACGGTTTAACAGTCAAAGCTCAAATCCGCTCAATTTATTCTGTCAAAGCCTTAATTCGATTCAAAAAAATGGATGCTGTGTTCAACCACTTCCTATTTCCGGCATCGTATCAAAGATGCAGGAATCCAAAATAACACAATAACGGTTTAACAGTCAACGCTCAAATCCGCTCAATTTATTCTGTCAAAGCCTTAATTCGATTCAGGAAAATTGAACGTTTCTAATATTTTGGCAACCTTAAACAAGACTAAAACCTACACGTTATAAATCCCCAAATCGCAGCGGAATGAAATGGAAATAAAATGAAATAGGTTTTAACGACCTAGTTTGTGTCGAGTGTACGTTAACCCCCCCCCCTCTCTCTCTCTCTCTCTCTCTCTCTCAAATAGCATGCGATTCACGGTGGCTTGGTGAATAAAACTTTGGCTCGCTAACCTGGAGATCACTTGTTCGATCCCGGTATTGGCAGACATGAAATGGGTTTAAACGTCCAACTGTTCTGGTCCGACTGGGCTAATGAAGACGAGTATATGCAGTGAGCTATGAGAGAACTTTTGCCAGGAAATCTTCACTATGGCCTACTCTTATATCGAATTCCAACTGTCAATGTAGACATGGGACCTCGGCTTTTCGTCCCATCCGAACGACTATGCGCTGTAGCTTACCGAGCCCCCCACCCCCGCTCTGCACCACTGACAAGGATGAGACCACGCTGGAAAACTCCGATGAACTTTCTCGATCGAATCGAGATCGAACACGTAACTTCCAGGTTAGCGACCCAGCGGACATATATAGTCTAGAATACTTACTAGGGGTGCCGTATATTTCCACTTCACAAACTGTTAGGAAATTTGACTTTTCGATAGACATCTTTACAAATCTTCCCACGACGCCATTATTACACCTGATGATGTTTTTACCTGTACTGTGGTTAACCACTGAAGCACAGCAGTTAGCCTCTGAAGAGTTGTTTATCGTTGGATCAGAATCATAGACTTCATAATTAACGTCGTGGAGGCGTTCAGCTGGAAATAAACACAAATAACAGGATATTCAATTGAAAAAAAGAACATTAACTCGTGCTGCGGTTTACATGGAAACTACGTCATGAAAATGGGATATAATAAAATAAAACCAAGTACGAACAATCCAAACCATAAGACAGAATTCGAAGTCCTAAAAAACGTTATAGGCAAAATAGTGTATTCAAGCAAAATAGTGTAATCAGCAAATGGACTGCTCCTCGTGTACAAATTACACGACAAACAGTGGTAACAGGTGCCCGGAAGAGTAAGCTTACCCTGCCTGGCGCCACACCCGCCATAGCTGCATCCAAACTATTAGGCGAAATCTCGGTAAAATAGCGTGATTGGCCAATGGACTATCAATGACAGCCTACACCGGTTGTGTTCCTAAAACAAACGGCATAGGCAAAATAGTGTAATCAGGCAAAATAGTGTAATCAGCAAATGGACTGCTCACCGTGTACAAAATACACGACAAACAGTGGTAACAGGTGTCCGGAAGAGTAAGCTTACCCTGTCTGGCGCCACACCCGCCATAGCTGCATCCAAACTATAAGGCGAAATGGCTGTAAAATAGCGTGATTGACCAATGAACTATAGGTATGCAAAATGTACTCGATGAACTGTGTTAACGATGTAGTAGATATTATCAGGGAGATAGTAATAGTATACGTGTCAATTAAATATATCTAGAATAATAGCCGAGAGAGACACGTTATATTTACCAATCAAATCAATATGACGGCCATAAAACTTTTTAAAGGTTTTAATAAGTTTAGTGCGCAAGTATCCTTGTAGTTGAAGCTTAGATGACAAATGCCTCGATCTACTTAAAAAATCAGAATAAAAGGAACAAGCTCTCGCGTAACGAATTAGCTGAGACACAAACACTCCATAAGCTGGTGATATTGGAATGTTACTACTAATAAATGAAAAGTTAACAATCGGAAAGTCAAAGCCATCACGTTTATCGTACAATTTAACACTCAGTTTATGGCAATTGTCAAAATCGAGACGCAGATCCAAGTAGGAAGCGTAATTGTCACTGTCAGTGGTGATTTTAATTTCGAGCTCATCAGGATATATGAATTCTACATAATCACTAAATTTAGGATTATTAAGTGATAAAACGTCATCGATATATCGATAAGTGAAATTAAAAAGTCTGACTGATCGTTTATTAGTTTTTACGAGCGTCTGTATGTAATCGGCTTCGTACGAATAGAGAAACAGATCAGCAAGCAAAGGTGCACAGTTGGTGCCCATGGGAATGCCAACCACTTGCTGATATATATAACTTTGACGTTTACATGAAAACTACGTCACGAATATTGAATAAGCGTCCATCTTGAAATGAATATAGGTTAGTATAAATATCGGTACTTAGAGTAACATTTCAGCCCTTCGTACTGCTGGGGCCTGTTTCACGAAATTTTAACTAAGATAAAATCCAAATTTTAGTAATTTGATTGGATAATATTAGATTGATTTTAGTGCTTAGCCAATCAAAATTGAAGTATCTACTAAAATCTGGATTTTATCTTTAGTTAAAATTTCGTGAAACAGGGCCCAGAATGTTCTGGTTGTGGGACTTTGGTCCTGTTTACTCATTACACGTTTTCCGAGATTCTATCCCGATCATCTCCCGTATTGTTAAAATTGTTTGACGTTGCAACTCATGACGTCAACCGACAGCCTATCGTCATTCAGGAGAGGACCACCATCAAGATCGATCGCTTTATCTCTATTACGTCTTTCTGGTAAATTTGGGGGATTGGATGGCCGAATGCTTAGCACGTGCGCGCTGTATCCCAAGGTCTGTCATTGAGTCAACTGGCGTGGTTTCGATTCCTCGGTGGTACGTGACAAGGAGTAGGGTTGCCTGTCCAACTTTGTGTGTTTTCTCAAGGTCCTCCGGTTTCCTCCCACTGCTAAAGACCCCTACGCGCACGCGAATTATTGAAATAAAATTGAACCCTATGTTAGTCCCGACATGACATAGTATGTGTCGAGAGGACGTTAAATCTCTCTCTCTCTCTCTCTCGTAAATCATAATTTTGTTTTCATTTTGAATGAAACCTGTATAATTATAGGCCCGGGGGTGAACTGCGGACGCTAACGTCTGGCCCCCGGATCCATTCACTTGATTTGATATTTTCCCATATGGTCTCAATGACAGATTTAAAAAACATCGATTATAACAACCGTGATGAAAACTCTTTGATTACAAGAAATTGTTATATGAAACTCGATCATAATTTTCAAAATAAGAAAGAAAAACGTTCTATATTTAAAATCGAAATTTCAAAAAGACCCGGAAATTATTTTGAATGAATTGTTTTCTATATGCCAATGCCACACTTCCGATAAATTGTCCTGTGCAGCTTGTTTACTCAACCTAGCCCGATAAATTGTACACGCTTTGAAAAAATCAACAGCTAAGAAACTTGGTGTCCTCATACAGGATATCATCTATTGTAATCAACTTAATGAACGTTTTTTATTTCCTCAATATTACAATGTTATAATCAATTTGATATATAGTAAATTTTCTCCTAAGCATATAATACAACCTCATAAAATACGAAAGAAAAAACCTGATGTGTTATGTAAAATCCTTTTTACAGATAAATAAAACTCTCCTTTTAAAGATAAGTTTCATGACCGAATACTGACAGGAAACTTCGATATTGTTGAAGATACAAATCTTAAAAACCTTTTCCGCTATGTACCACAATTTCGAGAACAACCAAGTAAAGCTAATTTCAAAAAGTTACATAATAATCTAAAATCTCGAATCAGGAAATGTATAAGAAACCGGTCTGATAAATTTCATGCACCTCTAGAATCTTTTGGAGAATAGAAAAACACGATTTTTGATCTCTTGTCAAAGATAATTAAGTATATAAAACAAAACCCAAGACGCCCCCCCCCCCCTCCCCTCCACACACACACCCGAGGTCCTAAATAACAATACATCTACAGTCGATCAATGTCTTTCTATTCTTCAAGAGAGATTTGTTTTAACGCCTGTCGATAAGGTTAGCAACAATATCGCTTTTACCTGTCAACAATACTATCTTAGAAATATTCTTACTGAAATTGGACTTACACTTATAAATGCATTACGGATTTAACTAAACTAGATATTTCACATAATCAATATACTTTCAACAGGCGTAATGATATTAAAGATAATGTTAAAATATATGCACTACCTTACATTTATTCTATTCCTAAATTCCATAAAAAATCCCAGTAAAATTCAGGTACATAATATCCCCCAGCAACTGCCAAACAAAACCTTTAGCTAAAACAATTACCAAAGGACTTAAATTATGCCAAACCCGACATGCCATTTAGTTCAGAACACTTCGCAGTTATACTGGCATTAAGAGTTTTTTATTGATAAAAATAAACCCATCGTAGGGGTATTACGTATTATATTTTGTGCAATTACATAGCTGAATAATTCCCATTAGTTCCTAAATCGATAGTTTATTAACCTTTTGGCGTTATCTTATCTGGATTATCGCCCTTTTTATTGTGTTTTTTATTGCATTTTCATACTTTGACATCATTGGCAACTTACCACCTTTTACGTCACGACATTCAGTCAGCCGACGGCTTTCTTTCGAGACGGTTTACATTTTCTCATTTGCTTGTTTGTATTCAGTTTTGTTTATTTTTTTACTCCGTGTTTGTGGTAAATGGAACATGTGCCTTAACTATATTCATTATACCTTAATTCTATTGAATACTAAAAATGTTTCACACATGACTGAGAACATTTAGATTTAGACTACCTGTTTTTTTTATACATTTCCCCGATGTGGTTACTTGTATAGATAATTTTTACTTCAATATGCTTACATTCATATTTCTTGTAACATATAGCAGATCATGACCCATGCTGGCATTACACAATGGTTTCTCTGAGTTATATTAGAGATTGTCTTCAAATTTGAGTGAAGTCTGTATCACCACAGGCCCGGGACTGTACACCGTAGTGGACGCTTACGTCTAGCCCCCGGATCCATTCACTTAATTTGATATGTTCGTTTGTTTGTGATTCCTACGTATTGTGTCTTGTCCATAGATTTGTTTTATGTGCCGCACAGTCCCCCCGAACTTTCTATATATTAGATAAATTACGATTACTTACGATCATGTGTAAGATAAATCATGATTACTTGCGATAATTGTTTTTTTTTAAATTTTACTATAGATATATCATAATTACTTATGATCAAGTTTCTTGCGACCAAGATTGCTAAAGATAAATCATATTTACTTACGATCAAGATTACCTGCGACCATGATTACTAAATATAGACCGTGATTACTAAAGATAAATCATGATTACTAAAAATAAACCATGGTTACTAAATATAAACCATGGTTACTAAAGATAAATCATAATTACTTATGATCATGATTACTAACGATAAATGATATATAGTCTCATTTGATATAAACAAGTTTAAAACGTCAGCGTCCATGTAGAACAAAATAAAATGTTATTACTTACGATAATCAGCCTCGTTGTAGACCACTATAAAACGAATTAAAAATGTCTCCATCAAATCAACCAAGAACCAGGGTTGATAATCATTGTTCTCGGTTTGAAAACAGGTAGTTGAGTTCTTATCAATAGCTGCTGTGGGTGGTTGTATTATACCAACCGAGCTTGTTGATGGTGATTCTAAAGTAACCAAGTTACCCCCTGCTGGAACTATTGGTAATGAAAATAGACCGTTGTAGTAATAAAATCACATTTCTACATTTCTACGTGATTCAGCGCGAAGGCGAGAAATAATCAGCACTAAGCCGGCCATGAAATAATCAGTGCAAAGCCAAGACGTTCAGCCACTTCTTTGCTTCACCTTGTTCATTTCTTGCCTTCGCGATGTTCAGTCATAGCGAAGCCAAGCCACGAAGAAGTAAGATTTCTTGCCCTCGCATCGCTATGAGTCTATAACGGGAAGGGAAAAGCCAGAAGCCGCTAAGACAACAAGTGATTTCACTTCGTCCAGTCTGTATCTGCGCACTCCTATTGTTTAAGCGTCAACTTTCGGTTTATCTAGGACTACCTATGACAGACAAGGACCGGAAGGCTAAGTGAATTCACTTTGTCGTGGCTTCTTGACTTCGTCTTCACAATCAGTTAAAGCGAAGGCAAGAAGGGGCTACATGGTAACATAGATAACATGAAATGTATGAAATGAAATGGGGTTTAACGTCCTACTGTTTTGCTCCGAACTGGGCTAATACAGTGTGCTATGAGGGAAATTTGCCCGGACAGCGGCACTACGGCCTACTCTTATATCGAATTCCAACTGTCAAGGGATCTTTTACGTGCACGCCAATGTGTACACGGGACCTCAGTTTTTCGTATCATCTGAATGTCTAGACAGCTGTCCGTGTCAGGCCCTTCGTCTTGCATCACTGACTAGGGGGAATCACGCCGGAAAATCTGGATGAACTTTCTCGGCCAATGCAGAGATCGAATACCCGACCTCCATGCTAGCGAGCCAGCTTCTTACCCACTTAGCCACCGTGACCCCCAAAATAGATACCAGCATAAATAATTCAGTTCGAACCATCTGGATGACAAATGCAACAATATCGCCACATAACAATATTATAACTTACCTGTTCTCAGCATGAAAACATTCATTCCCGGATCGGGAGCACTTCCGAGTTCTTCCACATTTCTGTTATAAAGATGACATTCTTTTCTTTGTTGATGAAAGGCTAAAGCCAGACACTGCGGGTCGATTTTACAGGCGAAGAAACAAGCAAATTTTGACTCCTTCGACAGAAATTTTAGTGCTGGGTTAGGTAGCAAGTTTTCAAAAACCTGGTTAAATCTCAACCAATAATGGGGACAACTACAATTTAAATTGTTCATCTGGTATCCAATGAGAAAGATTGTCAGAAGAACCCGAAGTTCCAGAAACATGCTGTAAATTTATGTAAACGCCTATTCGTTATAACGTCTTAAATCAGGTATTTGAATAAGTTATAATGAGAACCTGTCGTAGAGACCATTGGCTGAGTTGACCACCATTGGCTGAGTTGACCACCATTGGCTGAGGTGAACACCACTGAAGAATCTGAGTTTAACACCACTGAGGAATCTGACGTAAACACCATTGGCTCAGTAGAACACCACTGAAGAGTCTGAGTTGAGATGAACACCCCACTGAAGAGTCTATCTAATCCTTGCTTGAGAATTAAACGGATTTGGTTTCATAAACGAAGAGGGAGAGAATAGGTGATTTAACAATGGCCTAGAAAGTTTGGCAGATACAATGATCATAATATAGTCGCTCAATCCCAAACTGTCTCTGTGAAAATACCACAGAAATTGTCAATGGACACATCAATTCAAATACATGTAGTATAAATATATGTATAATTTAGGGTTACATAAAGATGAATCATGTAACATCTAATTCTGCCTATATACACATCTCTTTCGTTTGGCCTTGAATTTTAATTAATCATTAATCAGACATGTATTCACTTCCCAGACTCATAATCAATGCGTATACTGTGAAATGCCATCTTATCTGAGAGAATGGGTGGTACCTTACATACCATCGAAAAATCTAAGATCAAGTACTAAGAACAATCTTGTTGTCCCGAAATATAAACTAAGCTCCTTTGGCGCTCGCTCATTTATTGTTTTTTCCAATTTGTGGAACTCGCTACCTGAAAATCATTGATCCAGTCCATCATTAAACTCTTTTAAATCCAGATTGAAAGCATATTTATTTGAGAAATATTTGCTATTGTGTGTTTTGCAGCGCTATGAGCACGACTATGTGTGGAATTAGCGCGATATAAATGGACTTATTATTATTATTATCATTAGTATAAACCCCTCTTTAGACCATCGGGTGTTTCTGATTTTACACCGATTTAAACACGCGTTCCAGTTAATAATTTGAATACAAATTTGATAATCGAAACTTCGTTTACTTTCGTTACCTTGGTAGCAATGACAATCGAGACTACACTGGTCTTCAAACGGCTATAACTTCGTTCAAAACGAAGTAATTTGACTGAAATGTTCAACATATTCCCTTTTTATTATCTATTGTTTAAAGATACATTATGCAAGAGCTAAATCTGCCTATTGCGGATCTTGCTTTGGGCCTTAAATGTTATCAAAATTAATTATTAACTTATCCAGACCATAATCAATTCTCGGTGTCATCGTTAGCCTGTGATATTTACTGGATTGGAATCAGATATGCTGTTAAACGCTCATAGATGATTAAATAAAAAAATGGATAATCGAGACTTTAGCTTTAGTAATGATGATCGAGTATAGGCCTAAAATTCAATCGATAAATTCTCGGTTCAGCAAATTTTCAGCAAATTCCCTTTATATTATCTAGTTTTTAACTATTATAGTGCGAACTGTCAGCTCTTTATTCAATCTCCCATAATGTATCTTTAACTGTTATACCGAGGAATGTCAGCCCTTTATTTAAATGTTACGTAATGCATCTTTAATTGGACACTGCCCCATTTTAATAAGTGTAGTACAGAACAAGAAAAACCGTGCATTTCATTTAACGACTATTACATTTATTTTTCATTCTGGAAGTTCTGTTCCAACATTTTCATTCATCCGTCGTTCGTCGTTTTAGAGACATCACTTTTAGATCAAATTTACACCTAGGCATTTCGATTCAGAAGCACAAACAACACACACGTTAGTTAGTCGTCACCTTAAGAACAAAACATCATAAACAAAAACAACAGAAACGTTAAACAAAAAGACCAGTGGTATGGCACAGAGTCCTGTCGGGTGGGACCGAAACCGGAAGTCGCTGTTAAACCTTTGGCAGCTGAAACTGGACGATCAGTATGCAAACATGAAAAAAAACGCCACTGCCCTGGCAACATCTCCCATAGCACATTGCATAGCGCCTTCTTGCCTTAAACACCATTTCATTTTGATAAATACAACATGACACAGTAGTGTAATAGTAAACCTAAATTGATTGAGATCAATGTAGCAACTTACCTGACGTGTCCAGGACATCCACAACTCGCTACAAGAATAATTCTAATCACTGGACCAACCAGATGGACTTATATTTATACATTTTGACGAGGCATGCATCTCATCTATTGAAAAGCAAGGCAAACAAAAGAGAATTATTGAATGGCTTCGTCAGTTTGTTTATATTCCCCTAGCAATTGGAAATAAAAACAGTTCTGAATTCTTCCGTCAATTCTTGGAACAAACCTGACGGATGTGGCAACCAGAGAGGACAGTGGATTTTTTTTTAATTTTAGAAGAATTTTCTACAAATATCTCTGACTGACGAGAAACCATTACAGTAACTAAGATTTTTTTTTAAACTTTAAAGTACTTTCATCGATTTTATGAATTCCATTATAAGTTTTAAAGCGTTTAATAAATACGCTTCCAGGATGAAATATTTGTACTAATGGATTGACAAGAAAACGACAATATGGAAATAATAGCGAGATATTATGAACGTTTTCTAATAGTTTTTAGTTGACATGGCTAGTTTTAGTCAAGCAGCTTAGCAAGTTGATGTGAACGGTCTGGACAAAGGCACTCCCATTTCTACAGATGCTACGAATTGTTTTGACTTTCCTTTCTTAATCATCACTTTCTTCAAATATATTATGGGGGGGGGGGGGTGTGGATGGCTGAATGGTTAGCGTGCGCGCGCTGTATCATAAAGTCTGTCATTGAGTCGACTGGCGTGGTTTCGAATCCCCGGTTGTACGTGGCAAGGAGTAGGGTCGCCTGTCCAACCTCGTCGGTTTTCTCCGGGTCCTCCGGTTTCCTCCCATTGCTAAAGACCCCTACGCGCATTCGAATTATGTAAATAAAATTAAACCATATGTTAGTCCCGAAATGACCTAGTGTGTGTCGAGTGGACGTTAAACCCCATTTCTCTCTCTCTCTCTCTCTCTCTCAAATATATTATGGCGGCCACCTTGGATCTTCAAGATTTCCGTTGTATATGTAGAAGCCTACTTCTAAACAACTTAGGGTCACAATCTTGGTTTCTAAACCCAAATTTCCAGTATCAAATAATAAATACAGCCATACAATTACAACCCACAAATTGGGTAATAAAATCAAAGAAAAAAATATGATTTGGCGGCATACAGTATGTTTTAGCAAATTGCCCAAGGTCATATATAAAAAGAGTTTCCTTGGATTCATGTTGATGTTTATTACAATTTTAACGTGGAATACATTATGATACAATATTATGGACAGGTTGATTTAATTCAGTTATTTACATTTTAAGGCGCAATGTAAATTAAAGGGACTCATCCCAACTTTAAAACATGGGTCGAGATATAAGACAACTCTTCCAAACAAATATAAGTGCTACTTATATTTGTTTTAATACAATTGTTTTCTTTGAAGACCACTCAGACCATTCTAATTTTGTTATAAAAATGCGTTATCTTAAAATTTATATTATTGTTTTAATAAATTGGATATTGTTGTTTTAAATTGTTGTATACTTATCATAGCGTACACGTTTCAATTCCTTCTTTGAACCATACATGTGACTGAAAATGTTGGCCCCAATCGTGCTGATTGTTTCCACATCATTGTCTGATAGAAATTTGTCAGAATATGACATATACCTATCTTTATATATGAAGTTCAGTATAGCTAATATCTTGGGATGAGTTATCTTCTGACTTGGGATGAGTTGTCTTATATTGGGATGAGTTGTCTTGGGATGAGTTGTCTTTGGGATGAGTTGTCAGGTATTCGAATGGACAATGGGTAAAAACACGGTGTTAAAATCGTTGTCGTGTCCCATTGTCATAATATAAACAAGTTAAAATAGAAGGTCCAGCTGATGATGTTGAGTGTCGTCCGTGCGGATTGAAAAAAAGAAACGTGGGAAAACGAATCCGCTCGCTTTATGTGGAAATGCGAAGTTCTCGCAGTAAAAACGACATATTTGGACCCCTAGATTATTTACATTTTAAAACGTGTCCCTTCGATTATTTCCATATTTCTATGGCGTTACTTATTGCGTCACCTTTGGGGTAAAATGGATTTTGGCAAAATTTTGCACATTTTCAAGAAACGACGTGACTTTTGCGACAACCCCGGGGTATCTTAACACACCATACTACCAATACATTTCTTGTGCTTATGTGGTCTCATACCACGCACAATGGCATAATATCCTACGCAGGGGTTACGCAGGGTGGTGAGGCACTCGAGTGTGCCCGGATTTAAACGACAAGATATTAATGTTTATAGCATGTGCTATTTTAGTAAATTGCAATTTAAGATTAAGCAACACTTTGACCAGAGAAATGAAATGGGGTTTAACGTCCTACTGTTCTGCTCCGAACTGGTCTAATGAAGACAGGCATACACCATACAGTGTGCTATGAGAGAAATTTTGCCCGGACAGCGGCACCACGGCCTACTCTTATATCGAATTCCAACTGTCAATGGATCCTTTACGTGCACGCCAATGTGTACACGGGACGTCGGTTTTTCGTCCCGTCCGACGACTAGACAGCTGTCCTTGTCAGGCTGCTCCGAGTGGGATTATGAAGACGGGCATACGCCATACAGTGTACTATGGGGGACATTTTGCCCGGACAGCGGCGCTACGGCCTACTCTTATATCGAATTTCAACTGCCATGGGATCCTTACGTGCACGCCATTGTGTACATGGGATTTCGGTTTTTCGTAACATCCCAACGACTAGACATTTATTCTAGTGAGGCCCTCCGTCCTACTTCACTGGCAAGGGGAAACCACGCCGGAAAATCCCGATGAACTTTCTTGGCCAACACCGGATTCGAACCCGCGACCTCCCGACTTAGAAAAGTAGGACGTTAAACCCCATTTCGTTCATTTATTCATTACTAATTGAAATATCGACTTCCCCATACACAATTCCTAGTTTTAGTGTGAAATGGTTCTACCAGAGGGTTTCCCCTTGTCAGTGGTGCAGGACGGAGGGCCTGACAATGACAGCTGTCTAGTCGTTCGGTTGGGACAAAAAAACGAGGTCCCGTGTATACATAGGCATGCACGTAAAAGATCCCTGGCAATTGGAATTCGATATCAGAGTAGGCCATAGTTCCGCTGCTCGGGCAAAATTTCCTTCATAGCACACTGTATGGCGGATGCCCGTCTTCATTAGTCCAGTCGGAGCAGAACAGTAGGACGCGAAACCCCATTTCATTTCATTTCTACCGGAGGGCGTAGCTTTATAACGAGAGAAAGGAGTCATGGCTTTGACTAAATAGATGAATAACCATTTAAATAACGGTTTAGACATATGGTACCAATAAGGAAACAAATCGTGACTATCGTGTAGTCTTTCACATCCAGTTTATTACATCAGGATATAAGATATAAGTTGGTTATTATATGATGAATGACATGTGATGGTGTGACAATTCTAATATTAGTGTCACACGACTAATATATAGGTCAATGTTAAAGGCCCTCTCAATCACATACACCGTTAGTGGGTCAGAGATGAAATGAGGTTTAACGTCCGATCATGAAGATGATCCAAAGGCATGCATTGTGTTATACAGGTGGCGATTCAGTCTACTCTTCGTTAAACTGCAAAGTATCTTTAACGTGCGCACCAACGAATACACTGGTGGTTCTCGTGTTGTTGTCGTCCCATCCGAACAATTAGACGTCTAGACCTACCAGGACCCCCGCGGAAACCATGCTGGTATATCCCGAGTAGCTTCTCGGCCAACACCGGGCTCAAACCCAGGTTCTCCTTGTTATCGAGCCAGCGCCCTTTTGTCATATAAAATATATGGTTGTCTTTACTAAATAACATAGAAAACCCCGTCCACTATGTAACGCCCCCACGTACTCGATATTACAAATTGTGATCTGTATTGTCATTGTATGAAATTAAATTCATTACGAAATTTGAAAGGCCAACAAATTTATCTATAAATCCCCTTTATTTGCTGCATTACGTTCTTTTATGACGCAAACAAAAATATCTGACATATTGAAAATTTAGATTATTTGAAATATTGAAATATTAGCATAAAATTAACAATATCTGTAAGATTGAATATTACAATTATCTAAAATATTGAACATTAAGATAATTTGAAATATTACAATATTACGATTATCTAAAATATTGAACATTAAGATCATTTGAAATATTACAATATTACGATTATCTAAAATATTGAACATTAAGATCATTTGAAATATTACAATATTATGATTATCTGAAATATTGAACATTAGAATTTTTTGAAATATTACAATATTAAGATCATCTGAAATATTGGAATCTTAAGATTATAGAACCTTTTAAGATTATCTGAATTATAGAACATTAAGATTATCTGAATATTAAAATATTAAAATTTACTATAACGAAAACTGGTTTTAATATACGGCGTTAGGGAAGTGGTTATAACATGTACATGGTCTTAGTCGGATTACAAATAAAAGTTATATTTAGGGGTGGGGCGGTCGGTGGGGTGGGGCGGTCGGAGAGGGTCTGCTTTATATCATAAGGTCTGTTGTGCGACCTGACCTCTGCTAATATAAAGATCCCAGGATTTAATCGAATTCATGAGATAAACACATGTTAGGTCTGAAATAACTTTCTCTGTATCCATCCCTGGAAGTATTCAAGTCATTTGTTATACGGATAACCTCGTGTTATTTTGCCAAACCCCCGCCCTCTCTCTCTTTCCCTCGCTCTCTCTCTCTCTCTCTCTCGTGTTGTCTACTGTGAGTGTGTACCTTGAAATATATGTCACTAGGAAATGTGGTAAATATTTATATAGATATAGGAACATTACCAATACATATTGTTAGTACTTATATCACTCCATGGTTACCTTACTGTGGGCTTACATCAGCTATATATACTATACTATAAACATAGGGATAACCCATGTTACTATTAATACACACACAATCAACCAATCAGAGGACGATTATAAATAATTCATAACCATGGTACTATAAATAGACAGACAAAAACATATAACGTGTAAGATACATACATTAGTATATTGCTATATTATCTGAGATTCGTTGCGTGTTTTTAACATTAAAGGGATAAAATGTTTTTTTGTTGTTTAGGACGATCAGGTAAGTGTGTTTTTGCATATCCAATTTTAAATATAACGATTAGCGAATAACCCCGCTTGGTGCACAAAAATAGGACGTTATACCCCATTTATTAATCGTTAACATGTCCATAATCTTGTTGTTTATTTCTGATTACATTGTCATAAAGTGCCCTTGAACATTTTATATAAATTTGCTGTAATAATAAATAATAATAATAATATAAATTTATTAATTAATTAATTCAATGGTGAATCCGTTTCAGTCTGCATAGCATTTTCATACAATTCCATATCACAATATTTTCTAATTCATTATAAACTAATTTCAATGGCTCTGTTTTTCTACTCAAAATGCACACACTCAATTATAATAGATATTTGAAATATTGTGGAATATTTTGACTTTTAATTTTAAATATTTTAGTATAAATTTACACCAAATTTGAAGTATATTTATCAAATAGGGGGGTGGGTGGCAGAATGGTTAGCACGTGCGCGTTGTATCAGAAGGTCTGTCATTGAATCAACTGGCGTGGTTTCGATTCCCGGGTTGTACGTGACAAGGAGTGGGGTCGCCTGTCCAACCTCGTGGGTTTTCTCAGGGTCCTCCGGTTTCATACCAAAGGCCCCTATGCGCAAGCGAAATACTGAAATAAAATAGAACCATATGTTAGTTCCGAAATGACCTAGTTTGTATCCAGTGGACATTAATACCCCCCCCCCTCTCTCTCTCTCTCTCTCTCTCTCCCTCTCTCAATGGCTGTGTTTTTCTACCCAAAATCCACACACTCAAATATAATAGATATTTTTAATATTGTGGAATATTTTGAGTTTTAATTTTGAATATGTTACTATAAATTTGCACCAAAGGTGAAGTATATCTATCAAATAAATATCTAAATTAATTTACCACAAAGTAAATAAACTGTTGTTGGTAAGAGATTAACGTTAATCCTTAAACACAAGTCATAAAAAACCCAACACAAAATATTCATGTAATGTCTACTTTAATCCAATGCATGATATTTCATTTTTTTAAAACTAATGTCCAAGCTAAAGCCGAATTATTAAATTATTAATTCATGATTATTAATATAATGCTATAGATTTTAAGCTAATGTTTAAATAAATGTCTTATTATTAATTTATTATTAATGTCTAATTATTAATCTAATGTCTAATTATTAATCTATTATTAATGTCTATTTTTTAAACTAATGTCTAATTATGACTGTTCTTTAGTAGACTATAAATTTTGGTTATTGGAATGATTGGAACTTGTTAATTGTGAATCAAATTTATGTTTTCAAATAGATCTGCATTAATGAGTCACCCTGGTAGACGTTGTTCACAATTGGCGCCAGGTTTGAAAACCAGGAAGCCGACAAATGAACACATGTCTTTGTCGAGAATGTCCAGTCACTATTTTATACACTGTTGCAATAGTGAACAATTGAGCTATTAGCATATCAGCTGAATTTACTCAGTAACAGATTTTATTTCTTCCCACCCCAACAAATAAACCCGCAAAAGAAACGGAATAAGCAGCAATAGGAATATGTTAATATAAGAAAGCATCAAAAAATGTTTTTTTATAACATGACAGTCTTGTCATATATTTAATTTAAAAGCATAATTGCACTAACATTAAAGACATGACAGTGCTGTAATTATATTATTTAAGTTAAAAGTATAGTTGCACTAACATTAAAGACATGACAGTGCTGTAATTATATTATTTAAGTTAAAAGTATAGTTGCACTAACATTATAGTAATGACAGTGCTGTCATTATATTAATTAAGTTAAAAGTATAGTTGCACTAACATTATAGTAATGACATTACTGCGCAGTCATTATATTATTTAAGTTGAAAGTATAGTTGAATTAAGATTAAAATAAGACAACAGTGTCGTTACTACATATTTTGTAATATTGCAACACCTAAAATAACACGAAACATATTTTTAAAATTAGAATGTGTAAAAATAATAAAGCTAAAAAAGGAGACGACCAAAGAGACTACAACATTTTATTTTTCATTTCATTGGGGTTATTTTTGTGGGATGACAATCATTGACAATCCTTTGATATAACTGATTTTGCGTTCCACTGTCGACAAAAATTTAAATTAATAAATGAAATGAAATGAACTGGGTTTTAACGTCCTACAGTTCTGCTGCGACTGGGCTAATGAAGAAAGGTATACATCATACAGTGTGCTATGAGGGAAATTTTGCCCTGGCGGCGCCACTATGGCCTAAACTTATATCAAATTCCAACTGCCAAGGGATCTTTTACGTGTAAGCCAATGTATACTTGGGACCACGATTTTTCTACACATCCGAACGACTAGACAGCTGTCCTTGTCAGGCCCTCCATCCTGCATCACTTCCGTCTTGCACCGCTTAAATTAATAGATAATCAAGAGCGAAAATTTGATCGCGTAGCGGCTGATTTATCACTAATCGAAACATGAAATATACAAATATTATGACATTTTTACATAATTCACAACTGACAAGCCAGCGAACCAGCATCTTACTGACAGAGCCACCGTGCCCTAACATTTTGACCAAAAAAGAAACAGAAAGAGGGAGAGAGAGAGAGAGAGAGAAAGAGAGAGAGAGAGAAATGGGGTTTAACGTCCACTCGATACAAACCAGGTCACTTCGGGGCCAACACATGGTTCAATTTGATTTCAATAATTCGCTTGCGCGTTGGGGTCTTAAGCAGTGGGAGGAAACCGGAGGACCCGGAGAAAACCAACGAGGTTGGACAGGCGACCCTACTTCTACTACAACCAGAGAATCTAAACCCCGCCAGTTGACTCAATGACAGACCGTATGATACATCGCGCACGTGCTAACCATTCACCCCCCCACCCCTCCAAAGAAATACAAAATAAACCCTCAAAACAAACGGGAATTGAAAATCATCAGATTGATTGATTGTAAAATTTGTTTGACATTTAATTTCAGGTGAGAAGGAGGAGAAGATTGTGAGGAGGAAGTTGGTAATTGTTGGTGATGGGGAGTGTGGGAAGACCTGTCTCCTCCACAGATATACACGTGACCAGTTTCTACCTGACATATATATACCTACCGTGTTTGACACCTGTGTTAAAGACGTCATATCTACAGGCAAACAGGTAGGATGAGGTTAGATTATCTATATGCAAGTCTGAGGCCTGTTTCACGTAATTTTAACTAAAGAAAAAATCAAAATTTTAGTAGATACTTTAGTTTTGATTGGCTAAGCACTAAAATCAATCTAATATTATCCAATCAAATTACTAAAATTTGGATTTTATCTTAGTTAAAATTTCGTGAAACAGGCCCCAGGACATAAAACACCTGTAATAGACTTTGTCAGGTGCAAATTAAATGTGATATGTCGTGAAATGAAATTAAATGGTTTTTAAAGTCCTACTGATCTGCTTCGAACTGGGCTAATGAAGACATGCATACGCCATATAGTGTGCTATGAGGGAAATTTTGCCCGGACAGCGGCACTACGGCTTACTCTTATATCGAATTCCAACTGTCAAGGGATCTTTTATATGCACGCCAATGTGTACAACGGGACCTCTGGTTTTCGCACCCTCCCCCCCCCCCCTTATCCGAACGACTAGACAGCTGTTCTTGTCAGGCCCTCTGTCCTGCATCACTGACAAAGGGGGAGCAACTCCGGAAAATCTGGATGACCTTTCTCGGCCAATGCAGGGATCGAACAGCATAATGTTAGAGCAAGAGCTAAATGGGCCCACCGCAGATGGTTTTCCCGTGATCAATTCTCTAGACCATCGAATGGTCGTGTTATTGAACGGATTAGAAAAATCTGGCCATTTAGTAAAGTGGATAACCGAGACATTGTTTATTATCGTAGCAATGGTACTTGATAATCGAGACTATCCTGACAATACTTCAAATACTTATTTCTTCCCTCAGAATAAAGTTATTTGACTGAAATGTTTAACCTAATAATTTTATGGTTATCTATTTTTGAACTCCATGTATTATAGTTATTTTAAAACACAAAATGTGATTCGTTTGCAAATTATTTTGTTTATTTGACTTTAAATTATCTTCCTTTGTTCTCATTGACAGGTTGAACTGGTTTTACACGATACGGCAGGTCAGGAAGATTTTGAAGTACTACGACCACTATCATATCCAGAATCTGACGTCATAGTTTTATGCTTCTCGGTAGATTATCCGGACAGCTTGGAAAATGTCGTGCAACACTGGGCGACGGAAATACGACATTATTGCGGCGACATTCCCATAATTCTTGTAGGAAATAAAATAGACTTGCGCAGTGAAAGCCCGTCACAGAAACAGAAATTTGTGACGTATGAAAAGGGACATCACGTGGCAGAGAGAATTGGAGCAGCCGTATATTGCGAATGTTCGGCGAAATTTGATGCTGGGGTAACGGAAGTATTTGAAGAAGCGGTTCGAGTAGCCATGATAAAGAGGAGTTGTCGTAAAAGATGAAATCCTTTCAAATATTTGTTTATCATTAAGCCAAACCAGTGTTCGAGTAAATGAACAATCGAAACCAATCATACAGAATCGCAACTGATTTCTTTCTTAACGATTCGGTTCAAGTCTACCTGGTGATCCGCTGTCGTTGATGAGAAGTTAGAAATCAAAAGTAATACATTAAAATCACATATTTCATGCTTATAATTAGTGATACTAATTGATGTATTAAACAATCTAGAAATATTCTGGAGAAAGAACTATAATATAAACTTATAAATGGAACTTAACTTTAATGCCAAAGAGAATAGTAGCATTTTGTACGAGCGTGTGAATCTCAATTTCACCATTTTTCCAAGATTGAGATTACAAGTTGCCTTACTGGATAGTTTATGACGTTATGAATTAGCAATTTACCTTATTCAGCAGGGTTTAAGGTTTTGAGATTACAAGTTACCGTGTTCAACAGGGTATGGGGGTAGGGTGCTATATACAGGTTACCGTGTTCAACAGGGTTACCCTTTTCGACAGTTTATGACGTGTTAGGGGTAACGAGATCCCATCTGGACCCACGTTATGACGTATTAGGGTTAACCAGATCCCATCTGGACCCAAGTTATTTGGTATTAGGGGTAACGAGACCCCATCTGGACCCAGTGACTTCTAGTTATTACGTATTAGGGGTAACGAGGTCCGATCTGGACCCAGTGACTTCTAGTTTATATGTGTTATTGTTTATTACGTGTTATGTTTTGTATGTGATATCTATTTGTCATAATTTATTTATATCTTGCCATTATACACTAATTATTTTATATATTAAAATATATTTTATATCTTGGCTTTATATTTTCATATATCGGGATTATACACCCGCATCGAAATATTATTGTCTTTCTATATCCGCCGGAGGGGGGGGGAGTTCACTCACGGTGGCTAAGTAGGTAAGACGCTGGCTCACTGGGCTGGAGCTCGGGTGTTCGATCCCTTCATTGGTCGAGAAAGTTCATCCAGATTTTCCGGCGTGGTTCCCCCTTGTCATTGGTGCAGGACGAAAGGTCTGACAAGGACAGCTGTCTAGTCGTTCGGATGGGACAAAAACCGGAGGTCCTGTGTACATATTGGCATGCACGTAAAAGATTCCTTGACAGTTGGAATTCGATATAAGAGCAGGTCGTAGTGCCACTGTCCCGTCAAAATGTCCCTCATAGCACACTGTATGGCGTATGCCCGTCTTCATTTGCCCAGTTCGGAGCGGAGCAGAGCAGTAGGACGTTAAACACCATTTCATTTCATTCATTTCCATACCCGACGGTTCACAACTGCTAAAGTTATCATCCAATTGACCGAAAGGGTTATTGCTGTGATCACATTGGCACATCTTTTAATCCGCTCTAGAGGCTCTTTTCCAGCCGCTATCAATGGTTGGAGCATCGGTGGCTAAGTGGGTGGCGGTCCAGGGTTGGCTCCAGGTGTTAGTCGAGAAAGGTCCTCTGGATTTCCCGGTGCAGTTCCCCCCTTGTCAGTGATGCATTGTTCTTCGGATGGTACAAAAAACCGTGTACATACTGGCCTGCACCTAAAAGAGCCCTTGACAGTTGGAATTCGTAATAAGAGTAGGCCACCTTCCGGCCAAAAAGTTAAAATGTTTCCTCATAGCCCAGTGGGAGCAGAACAGTATGACGTTAAACTTCATTTTATTTTGTTGGGGAATCACGGAGAACTCAACTATTAACCGGAGCGTTCCGAATTGCAGTAAAGATATATACTGATAATAGAGAGCGCGAGAGAGAAATGGGGATTAACGTCCACTCGACACAAACTAGGGACTAACATATGGTTCAATTTTATTTCAATAATGCGCTTGCGCGTAGGGGTTTTTAGCAGTGGGAGGAAACCGGAGGACCCGGTGAAAGCCCGCGAGAATAGACAGTCGACGCTACTCCTTGTCACGTACAACCGGGGATTCGAAACCACGCCAGTTGACTTAATGACAGACCTTATGATACAGCGCCAACATGCTAACCATTCGACCATCCACCCCCACCCCCATACTGATAATAAAGAAGTTATTCGAAACCACAGTATTTAGAGCATCTTTATATTGGTACAATAAACAATTACAAAGAGTTTTTGGTAGCGTTGGTGAGCTAGAGTTAGGTCATCAGTGCTTCAAAGGTATTTTCGAGGTTAATCGTAATTTATAAATATAGTATTTACGAGGTAATCGTCATTCACCAGCCCTGTGAAATATTTAACAGAAACTTTAAGGAAGGTGCGTGCTCGTTCATAAAATTAATCTATAATTCACCTTTATTTATAAGTCTAGTCGTTCGGATGGAACGAAATACCAAGGTATACACGTAAAAGTTGGAATATGAATTACCACACCGTATGATATATCACCGTCTTCATTAGTTTATTCAGATGTCACGTGTGTATTTTATTTTTTAGTTCGTGAGATTTAATACGATTAGATAATATTAATACACGGACAGGGTACAATTTTCACTCGGGAGACCTTGACTTAGCCCCCTACCCTCCGCACTACGAATATTGATAACAATACTATCACTAAATGTGGTGGTCTGTGTTTTGAGAACGAGAGAGAGAGAGAGTGAGAGAGAGAGAGAGAAATGGGGTTTAACGTCCACTCAACACAAACTAGGTCATTTCGGGACTAACATACGGTTTAATTTTATTTCAATCATTGGCTTGCGCGTAGGGGTCTTTAGCAGTAGGAAGAAACCGGAGGACCCGGAGAAATCCAAGGAGGTTGGACAGGCGACCCTATTCCTTGTCACGTACAACCGGGGAATCGAAACATTTCAATAAATTGTTTCACTGGCATTCATTAAATAAACTGGAATAAACAGGTCACAATTCTATGGAATACAATTACTGCTTATTACCCTCTCCATTCATGGCTAATACTGCACAAACCCCAATTAAACCCCACACCCTTCTCCAACTGCACACCTCTCTCAACGCTGCATACCTCTCGCATACTGCACACACCACAGGTGCCTGTAACGTGGAAAATATTTCAAAAACAACATCAAGCTATGACTAAGTATAATGTCTTATGTCTGTTACGCCTATTTTGGTAAACGAGATTATCCAAATAACTGGTCTGATTCCGATTTCTAACTCAGGGGCAAATAACTCGTCTGAAACCGATATAATACCAAGGTGAAAACGGGTTGGAATAAAATAAATGGGATCAAAGTTCCAACTCTAGATTCCGTCAACAAGTAGCAATACTACTAATTTTCGCTAGGTAGACAATCGAGTCTACGATGACGTTTCAAAATTATCCACGTGACTTAAAGAGGGGCCACGTGGATGATATTGAAACGTCCCACCGCCGCTATATTACTATGCTAAGGCTTAATTAAGAGATATTAGCTGTTATTTACGTACGTTGTCATGTACAACCGGGGAATCGAAATCACGCCAGTTGACTCAATGACAGACCTCATGCTAACCATTCAACACACGCCCCCCTCCCACTATAACTATTAGTGAGTTGCTATCTACTAAACAAGACATCTAATAAATGATAGCTAATGAGAATTTCGTCCTAATGGAAGTCCTGATTAGCACTTAGTATCCTCTGATTAGAGCTTAGTATCCCCAAATTAGGAAGCATTGCTTATTTGTATTTATTCATTTGGCCCTTACATGCTTTCGTAATTGTTATCCTACTAAGATTGTTTCGTTAGTCTAGCTAATATTGACCATCTGGTGGATTAGGGATTTAAGGTCTTCCAATGTAATTCGATATAAGAGCAGGCCGTAGTGCCGCTGCCCGGGCAAAATTTCCCTCATAGCCCACTGCATGGCGTATGCGTGTCTTCATTAGCCCAGTTTAGGAGCAGAATAGTGGGACGTTAAACCCCAATTCATTTTATTTCATTTCATTTGCTTCCAATGTATGGTATTGATAAGGTAATATGTACATCAAGCGAACTCTGAGATCCACGAGGGTGATCTACTGCCATCAGGAATTGAACACAGGTCTTTCACCTTGACTAGCTGAACGCTAGCTATGATGTACATGCTTATGTCACTTTGTCATCGCGAGCTTATTCTTATCTAGGCCAGGTATTATCAAGGCAAGCGATGAATATATTAAGAGATGTAGTAAGCAGCAAAAGAAACGTCAGGTTGGTATGTTACTCTGAATAGACGCATTGCATAAAACTTGCCAAATGTTTTTATTGTATATTTGTTAACACATCTCCAACTTTACCTGGGCAAAACGGCTCCTTCCCAAACACAGAATTGAACCCTGGAAATGTTCTAATGTGTCAACATATACAGTTCAAAAACATTGCTTTGATCCATTTAGTAAGTCGTTTTCTAGAATGATTTGATTAAAGTGCCTCCCTGATTTTGAAATCATACTGGCATTTGTTTTGCTGTTTAGTATATGATATAATTATGATGTTATTGTAGTAGGGGCTGGTATAGAAGGGTTATCAACAGCATATCAACTTGCTAAACGAGGTCAAACCACAGCTTCTACTAGAATAGAACAGGTCAGCTTACCCTCCGCATGATTATAATATATATAGAAAGACTCAAGTCATCAAGGCCAGGGAAGAGATAAAAAAAATAGGTGATGCTAGCTGAGTCTAGGGTCTGTTTTAGGTGGACGTATTATCAAGGCAAGGGGGTGAATATTAAGAGATGTGAAAATGTCTAAAGAAGATATTATATATGATGTTATTGTAGTAGGGGCTGGTATAGAAGGGTCATCTACAGCATATCAACTAGCTAAACGAGGTCAATCAACACTTCTACTAGAACAGGTCAGCTAAAAATAACTATGAACTTATTTGATTTAAATGAAATGAAATGAAATGGGGTTTAACGTCCTACTGTTCTGCTCGGGCTGGACTAATGAAGATGCCATACATAGTGCTATGAGGGAAATTATATCAAATTCAAACTGCCAAGAAAGGATTTTTTTTACGTGCATGCCAATTATGTACAAGAAAATAAAGCACTGGCTTGCGAACTTGAGGGCATGATTTCGATCCCGGGTTGGATTTGGGTAAACGAAATAAAAGTTTCGATTTAATTTTATTTGTTGTTTTGCTTCGTGATTTACATTTTAGAGCTGCGAAGGCTTATTAAATAAGGTGCTAGCTCGCAAACTTTGAGGCCTCGAGGTCGATCCCTATGTTGACTGATCGAATCCCCGGTTGTACGTGAAAATGCAGGTTTCTAAGGATTTCTGGGCTTAAAGGGTTGGTAACACAGCAGCAGATTCAGGAATTGTCGAACTAAAAACCTGACAAATGGCCACTACCTTTGCCGATCTTACCCTCACTCAACATTTCAACCAAACCCTTTTATTTGTGATATTTTCAGTTTCTCCTACCCCACAGTCGAGGCAGTTCGCATGGACAGACTCGTATAAATCGCCGAGCCTATCTTCAGGCAACATATTCTGCTATGATGAAGCAGAATGCTGAAGAGTGGAATATCTTAGAAAAAGAATGTGGTGAAAAGTTATACAAGTAAGTCTTACAGTTTGGCGAGCTATGATATGTTCCTTGCGACACATTACCCTAGCTATCCCGCAGTAGAATGTGGTGAAAAGATACGTGATGTGTGGTGATCTTTGTCTGTGCTCAGCATATTCCTGAAGCAATGGCCCGAGAAATCCCTCTCTAGCTATTGCTGGATTAGCTTCCGATACTTGAGCTTTTGAGATTTTGTCTATTCTTTCCGTTCAATCAAATCTACCCCAAGTACAGCAACATGACAGCCCATTGCTTAATATTAGATCTTCCCGAAAACTTTGGACAGTGATTTAAGATATGAAAACGGTGTAAGTATTGTTTGTCTCCATACAGTATTGTTTGCATTGTATCTGTGTTGATAGATTCGTTTGTCACGCAATTAGTTTTTCTGCTAATTGGGCATAATAAAATCGTGAGTCATGAGGTAACGTTATGTAAACATATTTGGTCCAATTTGGAGCTCAGTTAAAGCGTGATGATATTGTTACGTAGTTAGCTATTCGTTGTTAATCGGACTATTGACCAGTCATAATTTGGAACAGAAATTTGCTTCCTTTACAGCCGTGTTAACTGGGATTAGTTCTGAATACTTTGAAGGATATATTTTGACGCTTGTCGCATCTTTTACTCAAATTTCAATTCAAATTCTTATGTTTCCAGTCAGTGCATGATAGTTAAATCAGAAATCTCATTAATAGTTTTCGTTTGGCGTATAGCAACGACATTGTTCAAAATATCAGCAGTAGTGTTCGTCGATTGTCTCCCTTTGAGTGTTTTTCCATTTTAAGTATCCCCAGTGGTCTCATTCCGTTCTACGTCACTATACCTTGGGTTCATCCATGATGTATTCACATACTTGAATTATTTGCCCTTGATCTAGCTTGATGGAATAGAATGAAATGAAATGGGGTTTAACGTCCTAATGTTCTGCTCCTATATTGGGCTAATGAAGACGGGCATACACCATACAGAGTGCTATGAGGGAAATTTTGCCCGGGCAGCGGCACTATCGCCTACTCTTATATTGAATTCCAACTGCCAAGGGATCTTTCATGTGCATTCCTATGTATACACGGGACCTCGGGTTTTCGTCTCATCCGAAGGACTAGACAGCTGTCCTTGTCGTAGCTTGATGAACCCAGGGGTTAGAGGATTGGAACGGAATAAGATCACAGGGGGTAGCGAGCATCGTGTCACTACCGGCTCGGGATTGTGCAGCGCAGTAGATGCTTGAGGCTGGCCTCTGGATCCAGTCACTTGATTTGATTACATATACGTTTGTTTTTTAAAGATACATTATGGGAGATTAGATAAACAGCTGGCAGTTCTCACTATAATAGATAAAAATTGGATAATGTAAAGGGAATTTGCTGAAGATTTCAGTCACATTGATCCACTATGAACCGAGAATTTAGCGTTTGAATTTTGGGCCTGTCTCGATCGTCATTACTAAAGTCGGTACGATAAAATACATCGTCTCGATTATCCATTTCGTGATTTAATCATGAATGAGCGTAGAAAAGCAGTCCGGTTCCTCATACCGTAAATATCACAGGCTAGCGATGACATCGAGAGTTGATTATGGTCCGGATAAGTTAATTAATGTCTAATTAATAATTTAGATAACATTTCAGGCCTAAAGAAAGAACTGCAAAGACAGATTTAGCTCTTGCAAAATATATGTTTAATACTTGTAATGTTTGTGTATGTTGTGTGTTTTGTCCGCATGTTTGTCTCTGTGTAAAATAGCTTCATTTAACGACGCCCGTTTCTGCTGAGGTGACAATTACATTTTAGGTGATGCATAGTGGTTCCTTGTGAAGGCGCGAGGTTGGATGGCTGAATGATTAGCACGTGCGCGCTGTCATTGAGTCAACTGGCGTGGTTTCGAATCCCCGGCTGTACGTGACAAGGAGTGGTGTCGCCTGTCCAACCTCGTGGGTTTTCTCCGGGCCCTCCGGTTTCCTCCCACTGCTAAAGACCCCTAAACGCAAGCGAATTATGGAAATAAAATTGAACAATATGTTAGTCCCAAAATGATCACGGCGAGTGGACGTTAAACCTCTCTCCCCCCTCTCTCTCCCTCTCTCTCTCTCTCTCTCTCTCTCTCTGTTGATGTTTTAGGTGAAAGCATGCTATTAAACTAAGCTAGCCTTATTTATTAAAGATATTGTTTAATTTGTTTCAGTAATTGTGGAACTCTCGTTGTATCTCGACCATCCATGCTGGAAGGAGTTGAAACGAGGCTAAATGCCAATAAAGCTCCATACCGAGCACTCACAGGGCCCGAGATGAAATCCGAATTCCCTAATGTGACACTACCGGATGATTATGTGGGTATTTACGACTACCAAGGCGGGATACTATTCGCTGATAAATCACTTAGAGCCTTCCAGGTGAAACATCTGAATTCATTTCTTTGCGACACATCTACACCAGATTTACTCAACTCTATGTCTTATTGACATTTGTTAACATGTTTCTCAGAGAGAGAGAGAGAGAGAGAGAGAGAGAGGGGAAGGAGATTTAGCACCCACTCGACACAATCTGGGTTATTTCGGGACTAGCAGATGCTTCAATTTATTTAAATAATTAGCGCGTATGTTTCATTAGCAGTGGGAGGAAACCAGAGGACCTGGAGAAAACCCACGAAGTTGGCATACCTACTCCAAAGCCACTTGACTCAATGACAGGTCGTCTGATCCAATACGCACACGTTAACCATTCGGTCATCTAATTCCATGTTTATATAGCAGTAATATAAGAGTCTACAACGCCCTAATATAAGAGTCTACACCGCCCTGCCATTCAACCGAACAAATCGACCAGACCGACGAAAACGACCTAAATATATATATATATATATATATATATATATATATGTACATGTACATACTATGTCTAAATGTTCGTACAAATTTATGTCTGTTTTGTCAAATGTCCGTATTGCGTGCATGTCTGCAAATGTTTGTCCTTGTCCAAATGTTCGTCCACATTCATGTCTGTTTTGTCACAAATTCGTCTGTTTGAAAACGTCTACTGGCACCTTTTTATTCTTTGCACCTGTTATCTCATGTCTCGTCCTGTTATCTATTGTCTTCTGTACATATATATATATAAAAAAAAACAATTATCCTCTTTTTCACTAATTACATTGTAAATTATTGCACCTTGTATACATAACATGTTATTGTCTGCGATATCACCTCGGTGGAAGCGGACGTAAAATACAACTAACACACACACACAGGAGCTATAACACCATAAGATGTATTCTATAATCTAAGAGGCGCGAGCCTGTAACTCAAACCTAATGACTGTTCGGGAACTGTTACAGACTGACGAGTGCCAACACGAGCCAACGTGTATTCGGGGTATCTCGACAATATTATGTTATTTTCTGATTCAGGAACAATTTAAGAAATATGGTGGAACTTTACGTGATGGTGAACAGGTTCATGACGTAATACCAGGGGATATTGTTATCCTTAAAACCACGACCGGAAATCAGTTTAGAGGAAGAAATGTCGTTCTAGCTCTAGGTCCATACACCAATAATTTACTGGCTAAAACTGGACTTCAATTACCTCTACAGGTGAGTCGGTACTCTGTTAGTCTGTCTTTAAAAGAAGGGATGGATTTACACACTGACAGAAAAACATCTTCAACAGTCAACCACCATAGCTCCTAAGGCAGTACAGGATACCCTGGAGACTTTGGGACTTTGGTTACCCTTGAAAGGGTCGTCACTTTGTTTTCGTGTTTGATATTGTGAGATATTTAAGTACCATATTCATCCCTTTCCATCACTTACAATATTATTCCAAAACATAGTGTTCTTGTTCCTCTGATGAGTTCGATATGAGGACTTGATCAATTCGAGTACTGAATGAATCGATGTCTGTATCTATCTATTGTTTAGGTTGTAAGAATACCTATATTCTATTGGAAAGAAAAGGTGGCTGGGATGTACTCACCTGATAAATTCCCGTGTTTTATTGATGAAACTGCTTCTGAGGGCGAATCCATTTACGGTTTACCATCTCTTGAATATCCGGGGTTAGTCAAGGTAAATACTAATAACTTAAATGATATCCAACTTTGGCACTAAACACAGCATCATATGGCTCCATGTCATTATCCAAGACAGGTATGTAACAGAGGTATGCAACAAACATCCCCTTCAGTGCCAACATTCCAGATTAACAGAGCCCCATGGTGGCTGAATGCGTAAGGCGATGGGACAATGGCATGGAGATTCGAGGCTCGATCACATTTGTGTAGGGAGGAGTGCCTTGCAAGGAAAATGTTCTAGTCATTATCTTCTTACATCTTTGACTTGTCAACCAATGACATTTGGTTATCTTCTTACATCTTTGACTTGTCAACCAATGACAATAGGTTATCTTCTTACATCTTTGACTTGTCAACCAATGACAATAGGTTATTTTCTTACATCTTTGACTTGTCAACCAATGACATTGGGTTATCTTCTTACATCTTTGACTTGTCAACCAATGACATTGGGTTATCTTCTTACATCTCTAACTTGTCAATCAATGACAATAGGTTAACCTCTGACATGCCAACCACTGACATTGGGTTAACTTCTCACATCTCTGACATGCCAACAACTGACATTTGATTGGATCAGCTCCTTATATCTCTGACGTGCCAAACACTGACATTGGTTTCGCTTCCATAAATAACGGATATACGTCGATTGACACTTACATAATTACGACATCAACTTCCGTCGAGATAGTCGTAGACACCCCAACGACCATTTGCACAGACCGGGCTGTTGTTGACTCTTGTACCGCTCCTCTTGAAACTGGATTAACTTCCACATCTACTGCCACTGTGCAATCTGTCCTTACACTGTCTCGACGTCCATTCACTGACACCAACATATCCTTAAACATACATTATGCAAGAGCTAAATCTGCCTATTGCAAGTCTTTTTTAGGCTTCAGATGTTATATAAATTATTATTTAGACCTTTATTTACACGACAAGCCCTGTAGACCCCCGGATGGCTTGGATACAGTTTGAATTTAAACAGTCGTTCATTTAAGATTAAATCAATAAATGGCGGAAAATGCTAACGTTTACCGTAAGTCGCTGATGTCATTACCGGAAACTGGTGATGAAAGTCCTGCCAAGCGTCGTACTTGATAATCGAGAATATGTGGGTGGAGTTATCGTCTGTCAATCAAACGATCGCCAATTCTCATAGACGGTGCAGACACAACTGATGCCTATTTCTAGTCCGATCTTCCAACAGTACAATGTAATTTGACTGAAATTTTCAATATTTTCTTTTTTATCATCTAACTCTGAATTATTATAGCAAGAAATGAAATGAAATGAAATGAAATGGGGTTTAACGTCCTACTGTTTTGCTCCAAAGTGGGCTAATGAAGACGGGCATACGCCATACAGTGTGCTATGAGGGAAATTTTGCCCGGACAGCGGCACTACGGCCTACTCTTATATCGAATTCCAACTGTCAAGGGATCTTTTACGTGCACGCCAATGTGTACACGGGACCTCGGTTTTTCGTCCCATCCGAACGACTAGACAGCTGTCCTTGTCAGCCCCTCCGATTATAGCAAGAATGGCCAACTCTTTATAAAACTCTTAAATAACATATCCTTAATTAGAAAATAGTAATCATTCTGTTATCTTTACGAGTAGTCAGTTGAAACTGAGTGTCAACCTACATACCAGAACCTGCTTCTTAGAAGGTAATCTCTGGATAATAGCCAACAGCAGGTACGCTATCCAGAGAGCAAAAAGGTCATGAATCATGTAAGAGGGCGGTGATTTGTGTTGCTCTTAGAAAATATGGAGCCACGGTGGCTAAGTGGGTAAGACGCTGGCTAGCTAGCCTGGAGGTCGGTTGTTCGATCTCTGCATTGGCCGAGAAAATTCTGCAGGACGTGGGCCTGTCTAGTCGTTCGGATTGGACGAAAAACCGAAATCCCGTGTATACATTGGCATCCACGTACAATATCTCTTGACAGTTAGAATTCGATATAAGAGTAGGCCATAGTGCCGCTGTTCGGGCAAATTTCACCCATATCACACCGTATGGTGTATGGCCGTCTTCATTAGTCGGAGCAGAACAGTAGGAAGTTAAATCCCATTTCATTTTATTTCATTTCTTAGAAAATGATTCATAACCCTATGATCTGATATTCCATGCTGGGTGTGTTGTTTTATGAAATATGTGATAGTTCATAGTGGGTGAGTTGTTTTATTAGATATGTGATATTCCATACTTGGTTTGTTGTTTTATGTGATATTACATACCAGGTTTGTTGTTTTATTAGATATGTTTGCACGCTGGTCCCGTGGTGGATCCCCACAAGAGAGAAGATGTTGATTCCACCTGGGTGCGAGAGAGAATGATGAAATACATCGCGAAAACGTTTCCATGGTTAAACCCTGTGCCTGCTATAGAAGAAACCTGTATTTATACGGTAAAAATATTTCAACCTATTACAAATACCATTTGTAGACGACCAAGGCCATAATAATCAGGCTGTTGGCCTGGAACTTCCGGGGGATTTTCTGATGTGGTAGCCCCTTACCATTGATGAAGCATGGAGGACCTCGCAATAACACCGTCCTGTCGGATAGGACGAAACATCGAGGTCCCATGTATTTGTTGGTGTGTACGTAAACGAAACCTTCCGGACATGCCCATCTTCTTCATAGGAGCCGTTTAACCCCATTTCATTTTTAGTCTTTATTGGGGTTTTTTTTATGTTAATTTAATATAATTATTTTGTTTTATTTCTGTTTCTAGAATTCTCCAGACAAACATCTGTTTCTTGACCGTCATCCAAAATATGAAAATATCATCATAGCGGCCGGTTTCTCTGGTAAGGTTTTATTGTATTGTTATTCATGCAATATCCTAAAGGATATCAGACTCGCTGGCTTACCGTAACCACTTTTTTGTATGTGATTTCATAAATAAATATGTAGTCTCCAGTATGGTGGCTGTGACTTTAAATAAATATCGTTTAAGTGTGATCTAGAACCATTTAATATTTGTTTAAAATCAACGATTGGATATTTTATTAATTGCGTGCACATAGCTAGCTAGTATATATCGTTTGCCTGTTTTTGAAAACAATACCATCTACCCATGCAGATGAAAATCTTGGAAATCTCCATGGGTGGTAGACATACCATGAATCATTATTGTCCATCTGTGAATAGTTATGTCCTACAAACGTTATACAATAGTCCAAAGAAAACGTATGCCAAATGTTATGTCGATGGTACTAGAATTGGTGGAGGTTTGGACAATTTTGGAGAGCGTCGTCCAAGCCGCCCATCAAGTCAATATATTATTCTTCTAATCTGTTTATATAAATTTTAATTTTATTTTTAATTATTTTCACAAAATTTATCCCTTTTTCTTCCAGGACATGGATTCAAACTAGCGCCTATTGTAGGAAAAATTTTAAGTGATTTGGTCCAGGCAAAGACACCAGCGTTTGATATGGATTGGTTTAAAATTTCCCGATTTGATAAAGGAGGCGAGAACCTTTCATCCAAGTTATAGTGTCCATTCAGAATGATATTATGATTGGGCAATTAAAATAAATTAACATAAAATAATTAAAAAAAAAGCATCTAACGAAGTTTGAATAATATAAATATCATTTGACTTAAAGATCGATCAAAATAACAAATTAGGTATGAGAGAGAGAGAAATGGGGTTTAACATCCACTCGAGACAAACTAGGTCATTTCGGGACTAACATATGGTTCAATTTTAATTTATATAATTTGCTTGTGCGTAGGGGTCTTTAGCAGTGGGAGGAAACCGGAGGACCCAGAGAAAACCCACGAGGTTGGACAGGCGACCTTACTCCTTGTCAAATGATGTATGAGGTTTAACTTTGAATGGCTTCTTATTCAAACTGTTAATTAGTTTATTGTTATCCACGTGTATATAACATTCTGTAACATGTTTGATTGTATCATTGCTTGATAACGGTGAGAGTACCCTCATTGAAACGTTGCAGTAAATAAACCTGAAATGAAATGGGGTTTAACGTCCTACTGTTCTTCTCCTATACTGGGCTAATGAAGACGGGCATACGCCATACAGTGTGCTATGAGGGAAATTTTGCCTGGACAGCGGCACTACGGCCTACTCTTATATCGAATTCCAACTGTCAAGGGATCTTTACGTGCACGTCAATGTGTACACGGGACCTCGGTTTTCCGTCCCATCCGAACGATTAAACAGCTGTCCTTGTCAGGCCCTCCGTCCTGCATCACTGACAAGGGGGAACCACGCCGGAAAATCTGGATGAACTTTCTCGGCCAATGCAGGGGGCGAACACCCGACCTCCAGGCTAGCGAGCCAGCGTCTTTACCACTTAGGTTAATAGACCTGGAGGTCGGGTGTTCGATCCCTGCATTGGCCGAGAAAGTTCATCCAGATTTTCCGGCGTGGTTCTCCCTTGTCAGTGATGCAGGACGGAGGGGCTGACAAGGAAAGCTGTCTAGTCGTTCGGATGGGACGAAAAACCGAGGTCCCGTGTACACATTGGCGTGCACGTAAAAGATCCCTTGGCAGTTGGAATTCGATATAAGAGTAGGCCGTAGTGCCGCTGTCCGGGCAAAATTTCACTCATAGCACACTGTATGGCGTATGCCCGTCTTCATTAGCCCAGGTTAGGAGCAGAACAGTAGGACGTTAAACCCCATTTCATTTCATTTTCATTTCATTTCATTTTAATAGACCTAGTGAATGTTATCCATAAATCTGTCTGTTTAATATATATCGCTTTCACTAAATCCTTTCAAAGATAACAAATTATTCACTGGAGCACATCAAATGATAAAAAAATCTCTTCTTAGATCCCAAATCTTTCTGTATCAAGTGGCGGGTTGATAAGTTAGAAATATTTATTACCATGGATTAAACAATCAATTTAATAATAATTTCTGCCATTTTTTTTCCGCGAGTTCAACATTTTGTTTTAAAAACATTCCACACAAAACCGTGTAATTTTAGATCCCAAATCGTTCTGTATCAAGTGGAGGGTTGATAAGTTAAGCATATTTATTACCATGGATTAAACAACAAATTTAATACTAATTTCTGCCATTTTTTTTCCGCGAGTTCAATATTTTGTTTTAAAAACATTCCACACAAAACCGTGTTAATGGTGTTTAACGTCCGCTTCCACCGAGGGTGATATCGCACTACGAATATCCCAACCACCTTACCTCCGTTAACCATCAAACGTCCGATGTTTTGTAGAGCATTTGGTTACTTCTTTGTTTAGTTACTTTCATTTTGAAACGCGAATGGCTGAAAAGGGACACTTGAATTTGTTAAAGGGTGGTGAGGGGAGGGGCTGAGGGATAACCTGAATTCCTAGACACTATTAGTTATATCTTCCCTCTAGTCTCGAGGTGTCGGAGTTGGGTATTACGAAAGCCCAGAAGGCTCATTCCAAATTCCAAATTCCAAATGCGAAATTCCAAATTCCAAATGCGATCGTATAATGTGGTCGTATATTGTCGTCGCCCCCGTCCGTCCGTCCGGCGTCCACAATTGCTTATGGACGCTGTAGAGGCTAAAGTTAATATCCGATTGACTTTAAATTTATACACAGTGTTTAAGGTCATGAGATGAAGACTCCTATTGATTTTCGGCGATTTCCAATAATTACTGCCAGAGTTATGGCCCTTGATCACTTCAAAAATTCTTGTGGACGCTCTAGAGGCTAAAGTTAATATCTGATTGACTTTAATTTTATACACAGTGTTTATTGATTTTTAGCGATTTCCGTTAATTACTGCCAGAGTTATGGCCCTTGATCACTTAAAAAAATCTTGTGGACGCTCTAGAGGCAAAAGTAAATATCCGATTGACTTTAAGTTTATACACAGTGTTTAAGGTCATGAAAGAAAGAAGTCTGTTGAGTTTCAACGATTTCCGAGTATTACTGCCCAAGTTATGGCCCTTGATCACTTTGAAAAATCTTGTGACGCTCTAGAGGCTAAAGTTATCATCCGCTTGACTTCAGATTCATACACAGAGTTTAAGGCCTTGAGACGAACAAGAATATTGATTTTCATTGAATTTTGATAATTTGAACAGCTAAATCCATGATATTAAATGTTTCGCATACTAAACGTTGGCATGGGGCAGAACTTTATAAAAAAAACAAACAAATTCTAATGATTTTCCGATAATTACTTAATGAATTGTTACTCTTAATCAGATTTTAGTGTATTATAAATGTTTCATTACCGCAAAAAGTAAAAAATATGCGATAACTCTTGTTGACTGCCCGGACGATTTACCTGCTGTAGGCGTAATATCCTCTCTGCAGCAACCATGATGATTGTAATGTAACGTGATTATGTCGCATTTGGAATTTCGCATTTGGAATTTGCAATTTCGAATCTAGTAATTTGGAACGGGTGTTTATCCGGCATAGGCATCAGTTGGGTAAACTAGCACTAATTAGTTGTGTAAAATTACAATTTAATTTAATTCTAATTTGTTTAATTGAGGGGGGCTGTCAATTTGCTATTTTATTCATTTGATTGGTAAGACATGAATTTCGCATTTGGAATTTCGCATTTGGAATTTGGAATTTGGAATGAGTCTTCTGGGCTTTCGTAGAGTATCGATGGCAAAGTTATTGAAAGTTAACCTGCTTTTTATAATCATGTCGGTTATTTGGTAAAATTAAAACTGGCCAATTACCAGTTCTTGGCAGTTAAAGCTGGTTGTAATTAATCATTTAATCAAATAAAGAGGAGGAAGAGACGGAGTTTAAAGTCCACTCTACACAAACTAGGTCATTTGGGACCAACCGCCTTCAGCGTGATGTCAAACCGAAAAATAGTAATTACAGTAAACACTATATAATTGAAACACAGAATCCGGCCACCTTTGCTATACAAGAAACAGTAATCATTGGTTAACGTAGGACTAAAGGCGGTAGCCTGTGTTGTAACAAAATATGCATAGTAGCCACCCGGTGCATCTTTGTGAAACATTCAAGTTCACTACCCTTAATTACAGAATATTAGTGGTGTCATCAAGAGTTGCATATCTTTCAATATGGCGCTCCAAGCTCGAAAATGACGGCGTGGTTAGTAAATCCGTCCAATTTCGTATCCAAATTGACCGTTTAAACGGCAACTGCTACTTCCGGTTTCGCCGGTGATGTCACGAATGTTATCTTCAGCTTACTGTTGCGTCTTTAAGAAATATTTTATAAGTTGATTGTAGTAGTTGTGATTGTTATCTATGTATTGTTAGAAAACAAAAAATAGGTGGACCATGACCTTTAATATTTTACACAATACATCTATCTGTTATCTGTGACCGCTGATGTTGTTGTTGGTGTTATATCTACCATATAAGCAAAGAAAGATACACACATCGAGGCAAGTGGTGTATGAATAGCCGAGTCAGTATCCAGGACGCGGTTAAACACGTACCAGTTTTAAGCTAAATACAGGTATGGAACAAATATCTCCTTCCGGCGTGGCTCCCCCCTTGTCAGTGATGCAGGACGGAGGGCCTGACAAGGACAGCTGTCTAGTCGTTCGGATGGAACGGAAAACCGAGGTCCCGTGTACACATTGGCGTGCACGTAAAAGATCCCTTTGCAGTTGGAATTCGATATAAGAGTAGGCCGTAGCGCCGCTGCCCGGGCAAAATTTCCCTCATAGCACACTGTATGGCGTATGCCCGTCTTCATTAGCCCAGTATAGGAGCAGAACAGTAGGACGTTAAACCCCATTTCATTTCATTTCATTTCAATATCTCCTTCAGGGTTAGTGCTAAATGAGAAGGCTAGCTCAAGATTTAGCTATAGGTCACGAGATTTAAACAAGACTAGCGGTAATCCCAACCCTAACCTTAGCCTTGGACCTAGCCCCAATGATTACTCTAACCCTACAATCTCGCCAATAACTCAGCGACATTTGACAAAAAAATTGAGCTGGCCTTAACAAATAGGTCACGAGATGTAAACAAGGCTAGCGGTAATCCCAACTCTAACCCTACAATCTCGCCAATATCTCAGCGACATTGACAAAAAAAATTGAGCTGGCCTTAACAAATAGGTCACGAGATGGTTCGATCCCAGTTGTGTAGGAAGAGAGGCGTTGCAGGGACCACTGTCTAGTTGTTCGGATAGGATGAACAACCGAGCTCCCATTAACAATTTGGCTTGCAGATGGCATTCGAAATAAGAGTAGATAATAGTGCCGCTCTCCGGGCAAAATGTCACACATGGCGTATGCCCATCTTTATTAGCCCCGTTAAGAACCACTTCATTTTATTTTACGACTAAAACAATAAAAGTAGTTAAAACAAAAAAATATTTAGATCACTCCCAATATTTTCGCCCCATTTCATGTCATCATTTTGTACGGAAGCATATAATAGTAACTCCTATATTTTTTCATTTTTATAAAACTAAACATTACACCTGCTTAGTAACTCAGCACACAGCTAAACACACCTCTCTGACACATTGCACCCTACTCCAACTACACACCCCCACTCACACCCTCTGCATACCCGTCCCATACTGCACACACCTCTCTCACACCCTCTGTATACCTCTTTTATACTGCACACACTATACTTCAACCGCACACACCTCTCCCATTGCAATCGTCCCTCAACGCTACACATGCTGCCCACCTCTCGCATACTGCACACACCAACTACATACCTGTCTCATAGTGCACACATTCCACTGAAACCGCACACCACTCTCAGCTGCAATCCTCCATCAACACTACACACGCTGTCCACCTCTCGCATACTGCACACACCTCGCTCACACCTTTGCATACATGTCTCACTGCACACACTCCACATAAACCGCACACCCCTCTCCGACTACAATCCTCCATCAACATACTGCACACACCTCTCTCACACCTCTGCATACATGTCTCACCGCACAGACTCCACATAAACCGCACACCCCTCTCCGACTACAATCCTCGAACAACGCTACACACGCTGCCCACCTCTCGCATACTGCATACACCCTCTGTATACCTGTTTCATACTGCACACACTCACCTTAAACCGCACACCCCTCTCCCACTGCAATCCTCTCCCAACGCTACACTCTCCCAACTCTGGCATACTGCACACACCTCTCTCCCACCCTCTACATACCTGTCTCTCACCGCACACACTCCACTTATACCGCGCACCCCTCTCCCACTGCATCCTCTCTCAATGCTACACCCCACTCTCACCGCATACCTCTCTCACACCCTCTGCACACACTTTACTTAAACCGCACACGCCCTCCCACTGCAATCCTCCCTCAACGATACACACCTCTCGCATGCTGCACACACCTCTCGCACACTTCACACCACTATATCACTATGTTGTCTTAATTAAGATATAGTAACTCTTGTATGTATATATATGACTTTTAGCGAGGTATTATGTATTAAATATGACTTAGTATCTAATAATTATGTTCTAATGCGAATTTCGTCGTAATGGCAAGTCATAATTAGGACTAAGTATCTCCTAATTAGGACGTATTGCTTATCTTTATTTATTCATTTGGCCCTAATATGCTTCCGTAATTTTTGTCCTACTAAGATCGTTTCGTTAGTCTAACTGCTATTGGATGCAGGAGGGAGAGCCTGACAAGCACAGCGGTCTAGTCGTTCGGATGGAACGAAAAAAAACCGAGGTACCGTGTACACATTGGCGTGCACGTAAAAGATCCATTGGAGAGAGAGAGAGAGAGAGAAATGGGGTTTAACGTCTACTCGACACAAACTAGGTCATATCGGGACTAACATATGGTTTAATTTTATTTCAATAATTCGCTTGCGCGTAGGGGTCTTTAGCAGTGGGAGGAAACCGGAGGACCCGGAGAAAACCCTACTCCTTGTCACGTACAACCGGGGATTCGAAACCACGCCAGTCGACTCAATGACAGACTTTATGATACAGCGCGCGCACGCTAACCATTCAGCCATCCAACCCCCCCAAGATCCATTGGCAGTTGGAAGTCGATATAAGAGTAGGCCGTAGCGCCGCTGTCTGGGCAAAATTTCCCTCATAGCACACTGTATGGCGTATGCCCGTCTTCATTATCCCAGGTATTGATAAAGTAATGCGTACATCCAGCGGACTCTAAGATCCACGAGGGTTGTAAACCTTTATCAGCAACTGACCAGACGTCTTTCACCTCGGCAGCTCCAATCTTGACTGGATGAACACTAGCTATGATGTCTATGCGTATGTCACCACGGGCTTATGCTTATGTATGACTATATGGTCACAGATCACTACTGATTTCCCCGTTTGATTTTAATGTTAATTCTCGTCTGTTAGACCGGTTCTAACTCTTTCCCGAATATTCGTTGGGCAGAAAGCTTTCTACCACAGATGGAGCAACATGTGGTAACCTCTTGCCCACTAGCACACATGAGGTTCACCATGGAAAACTTGAGATACACAAACTGGAAGTAGAGATAATAAAACATGCAATAGTCCACCCCACATTTCAACCTAACCAACCTCTCAACTCTTGTATCCTTCCGCCTCAAAATCATGTATATTCACCAAAGCCTAGCTGAAAATGTATTTAGACCCTTTTTTTCGATTCTACACCAAATAGTCAACAAAAAGGGAGGAAAGGGAGAGAAAGACTAAAAATAACTTTCGCCCTACCATAGGAATATTTGGTGAGCTGTATCCATATCCTTCACATAATGTGTACAACTATGTCCGCGAATAGGCAGGGATTTTAACATCGATTGACTCTATGTACTTTTTATGTGTATGTTATCTAGGCCAGAGAAGAATAATCAAGTCGAGAGGAGTATTTGAAGTGTGAAAATGTCTAAAGGAGATATTATATATGATGTTATTGTAGTAGGGGCTGGTATAGAAGGGTCATCTACAGCATATCAACTTGCTAAACGAGGTCAATCCACACTTCTACTAGAACAGGTCAGCTAAAAATAACTATGAACTTATTTGATTTAAATGAAATGAATTGAAATGGAGTTTAACGTCCTACTGGTCTGCTCCTATACTGGGCTAATGAAGACGTGTATACCCCATACAGTGTGCTATGAGGGAAATTGTGCCGGGCAGCGGCACTATCGCCTACTCTTATATCGAATTCCAATTGCCAGGGGATCTTTTACATGCATTCCAATATATACACGGGACCTCGGTTTTCCGTTTCATCCGAAGGACTAGACAGCTGTCCTTGTCAGGCCCTCCGTTCTGCACCACTGACAAGGGGTAACCACGTCGGAAAATCCAGATGAACTTTCTCGGTCAATGCAGGTATCGAAGACCCGACCTCCAGGCTAGCGAGCCAGCGTCTTACCCACTTAGCCACCGTGGCTCCTTTTTTGATTTAAGTAAAACATAAATTTAGTAAAACATAAAATAACTATAAAACAATGTTGATTTAATTATGTTTGTTGTGGTGATTTCGGGGCATTATTTGGGTAAAATAAAAAAAAGTATCGATTTATTTATATTTCATGTTTTGTTCTGTGTTTTATATTTTAGAGCTGCGATGGCTTAATTAAATAAGGCGTTATCTCGCTAACCTGGAGACCCGGTGTTCGGTCCTGATGTTCGTCGAGAAAGGTCAAGGAGATTTTCGCTCGTGATTTTTTCTTGTCAGTGCATAGGGGAGAGAGAGAGAGAGAGAAATTGGGTTTAACGTCCACTCGACACAAACTAGGTCATTTCGGGACTAACATATGGTTTTAATTTTATTTCAATAATTCGCTTGCGCGTAGGGGTCTTTAGCAGTGGGAGGAAACCGGGGGACCCGGAAAAACCCACGAGGTTGGACATACCACCCTACTCCTTGTCACGTACAACCGGGGATTCAAAACCACGCCAGTTGACTCAATGACCGGCCTTATTATACAGAGCGCATTTGCTAACCATTCGGCCCCCCCCCCCCAGTGGCAAAGGACGGGAAAACTGAGGCCCCGTGTACACACTGGCCTGGAATTCGAAATAAGAGTAGGCCATATTATAGTGCCAATGACTGGGCAAAATGTCCCCAGAGCACACTGCATGGCATATGCCCATATTCATTATACCAGTTGGAGCAGAAACAAAGTAGGGCGTTAAACCCCATTTCATTTTATTTATATACATCTGATCACGTTCTTTACATACAGACATCCACGGGAATGACAAACGTCTTTATTATTATATCTGTAGATTCTTTTATTAAGACACGTCAATAGGTATGAGGACGTGCCGCTTTGTTGCGTTCTATATTGAGGGAATCTTGTGTACGAAGAATCTACTACAATAGGTATATAGGTTGGGGTAGTTGCTTACTCGCTTGGCTGATTCGTTATGAAATGAAATGAAATGAAATGAAATGGGGTTTAACGTCCTACTGTTCTGCTCCTATACTGGGCTAATGAAGACGGGCATACGCCATATAGTGTGCTTTGAGGGAAATTTTGCCCGGGCAGCGGCGCTATCGCCTACACTTATATCGAATTCCAATTGCCAAGGGGTCTTTTACGTGCATTCCAATGTATACACGGGACCTCGGTTTTTCATATCATCCGAAGCACTAGACAGCAATCCTTGTCAGGCTGATTCGTTATGATATGTACAATAAATAGAACAGTGTTATGACACAGTTATGATAACATACATGTAATATATACATTTATCAGTAACATATGTGAGTTTTATCAAATCTTAAATAAACACACGTGATCGATATATTTATCAGTGTTGCATATAGCATACGTTTGATAATAATTTTATAATTCAGTACATGCCTTGCCTTGTTGCAAGTATTAACGTAGCGCACGTGCTATATATCATAAAGCCTGTCATTGAGTCAACTGGCGTGGTTTCGAATCCCCGGTTGGACGTGACAAGGAGTAGGGTCGCCTGTCCAACCTCGTGGGTTTTCTCCGGGTCCTCCGGTTTCTTCCCACTGCTAATGACCCCTACGCGCAAGCGAATTATTGAAATAAAATTAAACCATATGCTGGTCCCGAAATGACCTAGTTTGTGTCGAGTGGACGTTAAACCCCATTTCTCTCTCTCTCTCTCTCTCTCTCTCTCTCTCTCTCTCACTGTCTTGTCTTAAAGAAGATTGCTGATTTCTAAGGATTTCTGGTGTTAAAGTGTTTTAGTTAACCGTGGTAATACAGCAGCAACTTTAGTATACAATGGAATCGTTGAACACAAGCCTGGCAAAGCAAGTGCTATTTATGCATTTCGCCACCTCCCTTCCCGATCTAAACCTTTCTCAATCTCTCCACCAAAGCCTGTTTTTTTGTGGTATTTTCAGTTTCCCCTACCCCACAGTCGAGGCAGTTCACATGGACAGAGTCGTATTACACGACGAGCCTATCCCCAGGCGATATATTCTGCCATGATGAAAGATAGTTTTGAAGGGTGGAATGTCTTAGAAGAAGAATGTGGTGAAAAGCTATACAAGTGAGTACTCAATAAGATGTTACTATTTGATATTCTGGTGTGGTGGGGGATTAGATGGCCGAATGGTTAGCGTCTGCGCGCTGTATCATAAGGCCTGCCATTGAGTCAACCGGCGTCGTATCGATTCCCTAGATGTACGTGGCAAGGAGTGGGGTCGCCTATCCAACCTCGTGGGTTTTCTCCGGGTTTCCTCCCACTGCTAAAGACCCCTACGCGCAAGCGAATTATTGAAATAAATTGAACCATATGTTAGTCCCGAAATGACCTAGTTTGTGTCTAGTGAACGTTAAACCAATCTCTGATGTGCTAACATCTAAAGGCCCGGTCCCACTGCACTTACGGATGCAAAGAGGATGTAAAACGGGGGAAAAAAACGTGCCCTCCGTTTGACAACGTCATGCATCCGTTGTGTACTCATTGCATACGTGTTTCATACGCTCTATCCCTTGAGCATCCGTTCACTTTGATTTCATTCGCGGAAAAAGTTTTGAGCGGCACAAAACTTTTATAACGGATGAACTTTCTGCCGTGTACGATGTAAATGCGCGACATATACGAGCACCAAACGTTCCATGTCCGTTATCATCCGTTAAACGTCCACTGTATCCTCTCTGCATCCTCGCAACTCACATCCGCTCCAGCTGAAAACGGAAAGAGGGAGGAAAGATAAGGTACATAGAACGTCTATACATCGTTAGTAGCACGGAAATAGAAAGGTTGTAAGCTTATGCATCTCCTATAGTACGTGATGCATCCGCTTCACCCGCTATGCTTCCGCTCTTTCCACTATGCGTCCGCTTCGAAATTATCCCCGATAACCCCTTCGGAGCTGTCATCCACTTCCATCCGCTTTCATCCGCTAGGCTTCCGATGAACATCTATTTAACATCCCCGCTACATACTTCGGAAATTTTCGTCAATTTTGTCCATTTCTGGAGCGGATGAAAACGGATGGAGCCACCCCCGAAAGTTTGCTCGCCCGTTGTGTCCTTTTTGCATACGTTTAGTCCATCGGCCACTGGGACCGGGCCTTTACATCGGAACAGTCAAAAGCAGAGGACATACGTTAAGAGCTAGTTTACTTCTTTCAGCGGACGGCAAAATTCACAATTTCCAGTTATCTACTGACACATTTAATTTATAGAAACAGTCCATTTATTTCACACAAATTCTTTTTTTACGCGGACAAGCAACCACAAACCATAATTAAACAGGAAATGGTTGAATGGTTGAACTTCGGTAAATTCAAAAATCGAACAGGATTCCACATGAAACGAAACCTATCTATTTTTATACGCCCACATTGAGATGAAGTCTCTTCATTTTCAGTGATTTTCGATATTTACTGTCAGAGTTATGGCCCTTGATCACTTTGAAAAGTCTTGTGGACGCTCTAGAGGCGAAAGTCAATATCCAATTGACTTTAAATTTATACACAGTGTTTAAGGTCATAAGACAAAGAAGTCTATTCATTTTCAGTGATTTTCGATAATTACTGTCACAGTTAAGAGCTTGAGACGAACAAGTATACTGATTTTCAATGAATTTTTATGACTTGAACAGCTAAATCCATGATATTAAAAGTTTTGTATACTAAACGTTAGCATGGGGCAGAACTTTATAAAAACCAAACAAATTCTAATGGTTTTCTGATAATTACTTCATGAGTTGTTACTCTTAATCAGATTTTAGTGTATTATAAATGTTTCATTACCGAAAGAAGTAAAAATATGCGACAACACTTGTTGACTGCCCGGACGATTTAGCTACTGTGGGCTACTGGTTTTGTTGCGTCATTCATCCATGTAAATCTAAACATTTTCATACATTATTTTCAGGTTTTTATGAAAAGTATGATATTAAACAATTAATGTTTATCTTGTTTCAGTAATTGTGGAGCCCTCTATGTATCCCCACCATCTATTCTGGAACCAGTAGAAACAGGGTTAAAGGTCAACAAAGCTCCATACAGAGCACTCACATTACCAGAGCTGAAATCCGAATTCCCTAATGTTACAGTGCCGGATGATTATGTGGGTATTTACGACTACCAAGGTGGAATACTCTACGCTGATAAATCACTGAAAGCTTTTCAGGTGATACATTTGAATTCAATTCTGTGCGAAACGTCAACACTAATTTAAAAAAAAAAAAAGTACAAGTAGGGCTATAATATTACATAATAAGTTGTAATTGATAGTCTGCGTTCCACGAGCCTAGGACGCAGACCTACTGACTGTTCGGGAAATACCAATGTAGACCATAAAGCGTGGAACTATCTAGTGATTGAATCGTTCCCGCTTTTGTTCTTCGTAGTGTTTAACGTCCGCTTCCACTGAAGTTTTTATTTTCATTTTTTATTTTTAGTATATTTAGCGCATGCACTGGGGTCTTCCCTGTGGGAGGAAACCAGAGTAAACCGACGAGGTTGAGAAGGCGCCCCTATTTCCAAGCTACATACGCTCACACAAGCTAGAGGTGACCGACCAGCAAGACCTCAAAGCAAATGAAATGAAAATTAAATGAAATGGGGTTTAACGTCCTACTGTTCTACTCCTAAACTGGGCTAATGAAGACGGGCATATGCCACACAGTGTGCTATGAGGGAATTTTTGCCCGGGCAGCGGCGCTACGGCCTGCTCTTATATTGAATTCCAACTGCCAAGGATCTTTTACTTGCACGCCAATTTGTACACAGAACCTTGGTTTTTCGTCCCATCCGAACGACTAGACAGCTGTCCTTGTCAGGCCCTCCGTCCTGCATCACTGACAAGGGGAAACCGCGCCGGAAAATCTGGATAAACTTTCTCAGCCAATGCAACTCAAAGCCTATACACTCTACCCCACTAGGTCATCGGAACTCTCATCCCGGTTTTAGTTATATGACAAGATGTAAGGTCGTTTGACTAACCTCGGGGATTTCGCAGGCTACTCCGATATCCTACCCAATGCCGGATTATGGCTCTGCTGGCCTTTAGACACATTTTGATGGGTAGCCTGAAAATACAGATATATTGGGTTCAAGGATAAAAGGAAGAACGTTAAATTTAATAGAAAATGTATTACCAAAATGTTCAGAACCAACTTGTTTTGACAGTACTGTAATTACTATAAGATAACAGTAGCTAGATCACAACTTTTTTACTCTATACTTTTGGGGGCCCTGATTTTTGGCTGGCCCTAAGGCACGTGCCTTATTTGTGTAATGGTTAATCAGGCACTTATCCTACCACTATTATTGAATTAGAAACATACCATATGTGATGAACGTCCAGAAATTATCAGCTGGCATTATCCGATAACTACCGAGCGAAAGATTGAATTAAAATCAGCTATCTTTCATTTAACGACACGTATTCGGGGTATTTGAGGCAGGGAGTGTGATGCAATGACGCACTTTGCGTCATGGGTTTGAATTTTGCGTCCCCTTACACATAGGCTTCGAAATGCCATCGTCCAAAATTTATCAGAGCTGGAGAGCGAGAAACTCTCCTAACGATATTAATATTGTATTTTATGGCCCCAACGGGATCTTGCGTCTCATACTAAATTAGTAGTTACCACGCCCACCCTAGACTTGAAGAGTATTTTGTTATTTTCTGATTTAGGATGTTATTTTCCGATTCAGGAACAATTTAAGAAATATGGTGGAACTTTACGTGATGGTGAACGGGTTGATGACGTGATACCAGGAGATATAGTTACCCTGAGAACCACGACCGGAAATCAGTTTAGAGGAAGAAATGTCGTTCTAGCTCTAGGTCCATACACCAATAACATACTGGCTAAAACTGGACTTCAATTACCTCTAAAGGTAGGTTGACACTGTGTTTGTGACTCTGTCTCCTGAACAAGATATAAATTGGTACACGGACACAAAGGCTTCTTCCACAGTCAATCACCGTAGCTTGAATTTATTGTACAAATAATTTACTGGAGACTTTGGGACTTCGATCACCTTTGAAGTGGTCGTCCTTGTTTTTGGGGTTTTTTTTTATTTGACACAGTTAGATGATTTAAGTTACTTATTTAAGTTAAGTTGTTCGCCCCTTTCCACCTCTTACCAAATTAGTCTGGAACACAATACCTTGTTCCTCAGACCATTTCGGGTATAAAGACATCTCCGTAACTAACATGAATCCATGTATTTTTGTTGATCAGGTTGGGTTTGTCCTTTACTTACGCGAATCGACGTTCTTTTGTATTATTCAAATACAGATCTATATTGAAGCCCATGAAGATCTGACAAGTTGTAGTCGAAGGTCGTGACAGGGTCGCACGGGCGGCTAGTGACCCCATGACCTCATACATTGATTAATTAATCAGCGTTGACGTTTCGAGTGGTTTACCCACAGTTCCGTGCATATGACGCCAAGAAGTCGCCGTAACAGACCGTTTCATTGGCTAATCCCTCACTGCAACCAAAATGCCGGTTATATAACAACTCTTCCAGATCCTGTAGTAGTGAAGATAAGTAAAACGAAATTTTGAGAAATAAAAACGAAACGAAATAGGATCTGTGTTTTAGTCAGATTGGAATATCTCCATTGTTTACTAGTCCAGCGGCTAAGTCGAAAAATATTTCAGTTTGTGGAGAAATTATAAAACTTGGCACACTTATAGGGGACCCCTGGAGGATCATTTTTCGATTAGGACCCAACTCTGAAACGCCCCCTGGTGGCCGCCATCTTGAATTTCAAGATGGCCGTCATATTTGACATACTTTTGCCTATAACTTTGAAACTAAGGCACATACCCCAGATTTTCGGGGTCAAGGAATCCAGTAAATTCATTAGTTTGAACTTCCGATGTTGACTACGTCGGCTCACGTCAATCCGATTGACTTGAAATAGTTATGACGTCATAAGACTAATGACGTCATCATCAATGACGTATAGAAGCAATCTCGTTTTACTAGAGAAAATTATTTTTGGTTATTTGTTTCTCTGGCAAAGATCATCTGCCATCTTGGATTTTTGGTTGCCAGATCTGAATTTCCACTCAATTTTCATTTCTTCTCTAGTCAATATGGCAGACAGTTTCTCATATCTATTGATTTGATGAATGAAATATTCTCTATATAAGCAAATATGGAGAGGAAACAGCTGCTTTTGAAGGAGGAAAACAAAATTTTGAAACCAATTTATTCAATTCTGGTAACCCTAAGAGGAAATTATTTCGATTTTGACAATTTCTGCATGGAATGCTACTTCACACAACTTCAACTTCAGGACCAAAATTTTCGGATTTATCACCTGAAAATCTATCAGTTGAGCAAATTTGGTGAGTATGGGTGGCCTAGTTTAGCTGCGATTTCAATAGGCACCAATGGCGGCCGTGTGTTCCAGAGACACAGCAAAAATCAAAAAAAAAAAAAAATGTTTCTGGTGAAACGAGATTGGTATAGAAGTAAACAATTAATAGAAGTTAGAAGTAAATTACTAGTTTCTAACCTTAGGCGCAATAACCATAAAATCAATACGAATGACTATCATTTTCCATAACACTGTCCATCGCAAGCACACAGTGAAGTACACTGCAGGTTTGCCCTGTGGCACTTGCAGTTTCCCTTGCACGTCTTCTTGCACTTGCAGCTAAGTAACTCGTAGCAAGCCTTGGCGGCCTCAGGAAGCGTGGTCCATACAATTGCCCATTGTCCATAGCACTTCTCCCAACCCCAATCACCTGGTGAGGGAACAAATGGCTTGGGCACTAAGCACTGATCACAGATGTGGCTTGCTTGCAATGCAGCTCTCTTCGTATGTTGCAGTAGGGCTGCTGATGTCGGAGGTATATTTTCTATCTCCCTGGACTTCTTTGAGAAGAGATGGCGCCTTGCAGCATCCACACCTTGAAGTTCGCTGGTGCGATCATACATCAGGACCACAAACCGCTCCAGGGTCACCTTCGATATGTCACGAAGCCTGGAACACAGTGCGTGGAAGGCCTCTGTAGCATCCGGATATGCCTCCCATGCCTGCCAAGCGGACTTCTTTCCACGGTTTGAGAAGAATGACACTGTGTCGCAGCCTGTAAACGCATGGAAAAATGACAGTGCCTGCGACTTCTCTGGCCCGATGCGGCTGACTATCTGGTGTATCCTAATGTGTCTGTAGTTCTAACCAGTGCCAAAGGCAACCCACAGCTCTTCCAGGCCAATCTGCAAGAACTTGGCAACTGCTATGACCACCACGCCAGTATCGACAGTGCGAATCATCACTTTCGTGTGTCCTTGCTGAGCCATGTCCTTAATATGGACGAAGATCCTCGAGTCTGCTTCCTCATGAGAGCAGGGAGCAAGCGCTGAACTTATGGTTCCTCTAGATGAGCACACAACTTGATCATCCACCGTGCTGTAGATCACTTTGGTACCTCCATATAAGTGCGCAAATTTCTGCGCAAGAAACCGAAACAACTCCTCTTTGTTTTCGGTGATCCGAAGAAAGGCTGGCCAGTTGCCGGGGAATCTTGTGGACGATGGAACCCGACGCCGAGTGCCACAGCCTCTCTTCTCTCTTGTTACGGTTTTCAAACTATCAAATATCCCATACAATATCGATTCGACTGACAGTGTCCAGTTCCTTCACCACATATTGTAGGAATACCTTGGCATAATCCTCAAAGGTACAGCAGGTTCCCGGACCCAGAAAGTGAACTACAGCAGGTCCATCGAGAACTTTACAATCAACATCCAAGGAATTATTATGACTGTGTGTCAAGTTTCCTTCCAGGCAGTCCAAAAGGTTATGCTTGTCACCTTGACGCATTTGACCACCAGTTGCCAGTGACGGTTGAGTTGACTGGTTCTCGTGCCGGAAGAATTCATCAAATTCGCCTTCTCTAGTTTGACATGCAATGTACAATCTCGAAAACAGAGCCCTGTCATTTTTCAGTTCAGTCAGCCCCAATGCTGCCTTGCAGCTAAACTAGGCCACCCATACTCACCAAATTTGCTCAACTGATAGATTTTCAGGTGATAAATCCGAAAATTTTGATCCTGAAGTTGAAGTTGTGTGAAGTAGCATTCCATGCAGAAATTGTTAAAATCGAAATTATTTCCTCTTAGGGTTACCAGAATTGAATAAATTGGTTTCAAAATTTTGTTTTCCTCCTTCAAAAGCAGCTGTTTCCTCTCCATATTTGCTTATATAGAGAATATTTCATTCATCAAATCAATAGATATGAGAAACTGTCTGCCATATTGACTAGAGAAGAAATGAAAATTGAGTGGAAATTCAGATCTGGCAACCAAAAATCCAAGATGGCAGATGATCTTTGCCAGAGAAACAAATAACCAAAAATAATTTTCTCTGGTAAAACGAGATTGCTTCTATACGGCATTGATGATGACGTCATTAGCCTTATGACGTCATAACTATTTCAAGTCAATCGGATTGACGTGAGCCGACGTAGTCAACATCGGAAGTTCAAACTAATGAATTTACTAATGATTCCGTGACCCCGAAAATGTGGGGGTAGACACTGAAAATACATTTCTATCTGCCTTAGTTTCAAAGTTATAGGCAAAAGTATGTCAAATATGGCTGCCATCTTGGAATCCAATATGGCCGACATCGAAAGTTCAAACTAATGAATTTACTGGATTCCTTGACCCCGAAAATGTGAGGGTAGACACTGAAATTACATTTCTATCTGCCTTAGTTTCAAAGTAATAGGCAAAAGTATGTCAAATATGGTGGCCATCTTGGAATCAAATATGGCCGACATCGAAAATTCAAACTAATGAATTTACTGGATTCCTTGACCCCGAAAATGTGGGGGTAGACACTGAAATCACATTTCTATGTGCCTTAGTTTCGAAGTTATAGATAAAAGTATGTCAAATATGGCGGCCATCTTGGAATCCAATATGGCGGCCACAAGGGTGCGTTTCAGAGTTGGGTCCTAATCGAAAAATGATCCTACAGGGGTCCCCTCCTATAAGTGTGCTAAGTTTCATAATTTCTCCACAAACTGAAATATTCTGCCATATATTTCGACTTAGCCGCTGGACTATACATGAATCGATGTATTGTATTATTTAGGTCGAACGAATATCGGTACTGTATTGGAAAGAAAAGGTAGTTGGGATGCACTCAGCTGATAAATTCCCGTGTTTTATTGACCCAATTGGCTCTGAGGGCATATCCATATCCATAGATAAAAGTATGTCAAATATGGCGGCCATCTTGGAATCCAATATGGCGGCCACAAGGGGGCGTTTCAGATGTGGGTCCTAATCGAAAAATGATCCTACAGGGGTCCCCTATAAGTGTGCTAAGTTTCATAATTTCTCCACAAACTGAAATATTCTGCCATATATTTCGACTTAGCCGCTGGACTATACATGAATCGATGTATTGTATTATTTAGGTCGAACGAATATCGGTACTGTATTGGAAAGAAAAGGTAGTTGGGATGCACTCAGCTGATAAATTCCCGTGTTTTATTGACCCAATTGGCTCTGAGGGCATATCCATTTACGGTTTACCCAGTGATGAATATCCGGAGTTAGTCAAGGTAAATGCTAATAATTTAAATTAAATCCTACTTTGGCACTAGGGTCGCCTCAAATGTCCCTGGAAGGACGTTCGGTTTCCCCCGTGATTAATATCAGGGGTCAGTCAAGGTAAATACTTATATTACTAATCCTACTGGATCACTAAACACAGAGCTTCATATGACCCCGCGTAGACCTTCACTAATACTACGTTGCGTTCCATATAACGTATCCATAAGGGGGTCACGGTGGCTAAGCGGGTAAGAAGCTGACTCGCGAGTCTGGAGGTCGGGTGTTCGATTCCTCCAGATTTTCCGACGTGTTCCCCCTTGTCAATGATGCAGGAAAGGGGTGGGGGCTGACAAGGACAGCTGTCTAGTCGTTCAGATGGGGCGAAAAACCGATTAGCTTCTACTGATACCAATCAACATATCCTTAATTCGAAAAGAATAAGCGTACCTTCTTTATGAATAGACAGTTGAAGGGACAGCAGCTAGTTCTTTGATTGTAACCTCTAAGTAATTGCCTACAGCAGAGACGCTGTCCAGAGAGCATCACGACCATATCAGAGGGAGTTGATTTGTATTGTTTTACAAAATGATTTTGTAATCCTACGATCTGATATTACATACTGTATCTGTTGTTTTATTAGATATGTGATATTCCATACTGGGTTTGTTGTTTTATTAAATATGTGATATTCCATACTGGGTTTATTGTTTTATAAGATATGTGATATTCCATACTGGGTTTGTTGTTTTATAAGATATGTTTGCACGCTGGTCCCGTGGTGGATCCCCACAAGAGAGAAGATGTTGATGCCAGCTGGGTGCGAGAGAGAATGATGAAATACATCGCGAAAACGTTTCCATGGTTAAACCCTGTACCTGCTATAGAAGAAACCTGTATTTATACGGTAACAATATTCTAACATTTATCGTCCTGTTAAGACTGTTTACAATGACCCCTAGTAGACTGAGGCCAATTGAATTACGTCACGGGTTCTACCCCGTTGTTGGCCAGGAAGTTGCGCAAGATTGTCCGGCAAGGTTTCCACTTGCAATTGGTGAAGGACGGGGGGGGGGGGGCTTGGCGTTTCCCCGCCTTCTTCATTAGCCCGGTAGGATTTCTAGATTTTGTTTAGATTAAAACAAAATAATCTGTATAATAATTTGGTTATAATTATTTTGCTTTATTTCTGTTTCTAGAATTCGCCAGATACTCATCTTTTCCTTGATCGTCATCCAAAATATGAAAATATTATCATAGCGGCCGGTTTCTCTGGTAAGGTTTTACTGTTATTGTTATTCATACGAGATCCTAAAGGGGTATGGCAGGCATATAAGAAATAGTTTAAAGTGACTATATCATTTCAAGATTAGAACTGTAGTACAACGAGAAGTATATAGCTAACCGGGTGTTGTGTGAACCAAGGCAAGATGGAAATATCCGACTCCTTGTTTTGAGACATTTGAACGGCTACCAGTTGTTTGTAATAATACTTGCAGGAGATCCGCACTACACGCAACAAAATAAAACCGATAAGACAAACTTACTGACAAGACAGGCTATTCGACATTCCAAGAAATACACAACAAATAACAAATCAAGTGAATGAATGGGGGCAATCGAAACCACGCCTCTTGATTCAAGCGGCATGCGTTAACCATTCGGCCATCCATCCCATCCACCCCCACCCCCACCAGTCATGGAAAGACCGGGGGTGTTTCTTAGGAAAGGCCAATTATTAAGATGTTTTACACCGTTATTATAAATGTCCCCGGGTAGTTATTTCAAATTTTTTCACGAAATTTATTTTTCGTTTCTTCCAGGTCATGGATTCAAGCTAGCACCAGTTGTAGGAAAAGTGTTAAGTGATTTGGTTCTGGCAAAAACACCAGCGTTTGATATGGATTGGTTTAAAATATCGAGATTTGATAAAGGAGCTGTGAGCTTTTCGTCCAAGTTATAGATAGAGATATAGAATGATATAATGATTGGACAAGCCAGGTCTAAAAATTCCTGATTTATTGAATAATAATCAATGTGAAAAGATTCAAGAAAGATCAATCTAACGAATTTTGAATAATATGATTATCTTTTGATTTAACGAAAATCGATCAAAGCAAAATCAAAAATTATTTACTGGAGCACATAAAATGATAATACTCAGGGTGTCTTTAAGTAGGCTTAACTATTGAATAATAATAAATATGTCTAACTTATCAACCCTCCACTTGACACAGAACAATTTGAGATCTAAAAAGAGATTTTTGAAATATATTATGCAACTGTGTGTTGAAAAATACCCTGGATTAAACAACAAATTTAATGCTGATATTCAGTCTTTCTTAAAGGCTCAATACCACTCTTGTTGTAACTGAATAATAATATGTCCCAATCTATATTCTGGTCAACAAATTGTACTATTTTACAATATTCCAATTAATTGATGATACAAATTTCATCTTAACACACCTAATTTAAAAAATTGGAAAAATTCAACTAAATGATTTGAAAAGCCTGACATAAAGCTTTTCAAATGTGACTTTATTTAAAAATATTTTTTGAACCCTCTGGACAAGTAAAATAGGATTTAATGGATAATTTACACAACAGGTAGGACACTTACACATCTAGTACTTAGAATAAGACTATATTTTATTTTCTGGAGCTATCAAGCCAGCAAGAGTGTTATTGTCCCTTTAAAGCAAGTTTAACTTGAATAATAAAAATGTCTGTACCTGGTGTCAGTGTTAACTAAGGCATAGTTTCACAACCCTCATCTGACACATAGACACTTTGACGTCTTAGAAGCGACCTTTATTCTAAGTCAATTTTAATTGAAATAGCTTATGCAACTAGTGTGTTGAAAAACACTAGGTACTAAAAAAACTCTTCTGCCATTATCATCCCGGGTTCAATATTTTGATGTAAAAATATTCCACACGAAACCCTCAAATCTTGCGTTTTATACATGGGAAGGCCTCGCATCAACGAGGTTACACTATTTGGTACACTTTTCAGCTAGGTTGACCCCAGACGTGACCTCGCACAATCATATAGAGTGGAGGTCATTGAAAGTATTAAAAACGAAACGAAATTTAGGTGAGATTGTCACAAATAATTAATTTTGTTTGTCACATGATGTTGTTATAAACACATTATAATTATTGATACGATTTTGTTAATATTTTTCGTCTTTAGTTTATTTAATGAATAAAATATATAAAACTATTTTTTGATTTTCATTCATTTATAATGTGGCCTATAATGCTTTGGGTTGCCATGAAACCCGATATTAATATAGTTATAGATCTAAATAGATAGTTTTAAATTAAGAAAGCCATAAGTGAAGCATGATGGCTCAGTGTGTAAGAAGTTGCCTCACTAAACCCATATTCCTGAAGCAATGGCCCGGGAAATCCCTCTCTGGCCATTGCTGGATTGGCTTCTGATACTTGAGCTTTTGAGGGAGTTTGTCTATACTTCCGTTCAATCAAATCTATCCCAAGTACAGCAACATGACAGCCCTTCGTTTAATCTGGGGTCTTCCCTAAAACTTTGGACAGTGATTTAAGGTATTAAAAACGGTGAAATAGTATTGTTTGTCTTCAAACATTACTGTTTACATTGTATCCGTGTTGATAGCCTCGTTTGTCACGCAATTAGTTTTGTTTCTGCATTATTCTGCTATGCACTGGTTAATTGGGAATAATAAAATCGTGATCGAACTATTAACCAGTCATAATTTGGTTCACCCAACGTTTACTTACCCCTACAGTCGGATGTAGGATGGTAATAGTCCGATGCAAGGTAGGGATTCGCGATTTACGAATAAAGAACCAGCACATTATTCGGGATTCGGCAGTAGACCGTTCAACTTTCCATCAGATCCTTTCCTCGCTACCTTCCAAGTAGGTGCCGTCTTCATTAGCCCAGTTCGGAGCAAAACAGTAGGACGTTAAACCTCATTTCATTTCATTTCCAAGTAGGTGTAAATGAACGCTCGGTGTCAAACTAACAAGGAGACAACCGTATGTTAAGTGACTTGGGTGTTGACTTGGCGTGGAACGCGATTTACGAATAAAGAACCAGCCCATTATTCGAGATTCGGCAGCAGACCGTTCAACTTTCCATCAGATCCTTTCCTCGCTACCTTCGACGTAGGTGTAAATGAACATTCGGTGTCTAACTAACAAGGAGACGGCCGTATGTTAAGCGAGTGGGGTGTTGACTGGTTTGTTGGCGTGGAACGGGGCGGTTCTCTTATGCACTCACCTGTGTTATTGTCGAATCCCGAATAACGTGCCAATTTCACGTTTGCCTACGCATGTCAGTTATGTGGTTTGGAGAAACATGGGTCAGCCGGGGATATATATCAGACAATATATATTGTACATTTACGGTCGGGTCGTTACTTGTAGCGCTTGCGACGACAGACGACAATAACCTCAAAACATTAAAGTGTATTTTTGTGGAGTATATGAATAAATGAAATGAAATGGGGTTTAACGTCCTACTGTTCTGCATCGAACTGGGCTAATGAAGACTGGCATACGCCATACAGTGTTCTATGAGGGAAATTTTGCCCGGACAGCGGCACAACGGTCTACTCCTATATCAAATTCAAATTTAACTGTCAAGGGATCTTTTACGTGTACGCCAATGTGTACTCGGGGCCTCGGTTTTTCGTCCCATCCGAACGATTAGACAGTTGTCCTTGTCAGGCCCTCCGTCCTGGATCCTCCATCACTAACAAGGGGGAACCACGCCGGAAAATCTGGATGAACTTTCTGGGCCAATACAGGGATCGAAGAGTATATAAATAAACATGGGGGCTATGTATTACTTGATGGGATATGACACGTGTATAGGATAAATTTAGATTAATAAGAATTAACGTTAGTAATGTCACAATGACTTCAAGGTCATCCCGCCTTGTGTATATGGAGTCTTTAACATTGTGAAAGGCGACGTTATTGGTGGCCGAGATGGAACACCATAGGAGATAAATAAATAGCTGACTAATATATATGCGAGCTGAATCGACGGTCTATTTTAGATCGAGGTATTATCAAGGCAAGGGGTGAATATTAAGAGATGTGAAAATGTCTAAAGAAGATATTATATATGATGTTATTGTAGTAGGGGCTGGTATAGAAGGGTCATCTACAGCATATCAACTAGCTAAACGAGGTCAATCAACACTTCTACTAGAACAGGTCAGCTTAAAATATATATGACCTCATTTACATTGCACTTTTACAAAATACAATGTTGTATGAATGAGAGAGAGAGAGAAAGAGAGAGAGAGAGAGAGAGAGAGAGAGATGGGGTTTAACGTCCACTCGACACAAAGTAGGTCATTTCGGGACTAACATATGGTTTAATTTTATTTCAATAATTCGCTTGCGCGTAGGGGTCTAGCAGTGGGAGGAAACCGGAGGACCCGGAGAAAACCCACGAGGTTGGACAGGCGACCCTACTCCTTGTCGCGTACAACCGGGGATTCGAAACCACGCCGGTCGACTCAATGCCAGACTTTATGATACAGAGCGCGCACGCTTACCATTCAGCCTCCCCCCCCCCCCCTCCCGCGACATTAGCCTGCCAAGCCTATACGTAAATTCGGCGCTGTGCTTGATTTCTAACGATGTCTTGCGTAAACATTTGGTGGTAATATAACAGCATATTCAATATGTAGCGTAATTTTTTAACAAAATTCTGACAAATCAAGCGCTTTTTATGCATTTCGACACAGCCCCGATCTAACCATTGTCCAAATTTCCAATCGAAGTCTGTATGTTGATATTATTTTCAGTTTCCCCTACCTCATAGTCGAGGCAGTTCACATGGACAGAGTCGTATAACAAGACGAGCCTATCCCCAGGCCATATATTCTGCTATGATGAAGGATAGTTTTGAAGGGTGGAGAATTCTACAGGAGGAATGCGGTGAAAAGATATACAAGTAAGCCTGTAATTTTCGACCGACCAAGAATGAATGACAGCAATTGAATCCCAACTGTCAAGGGTTCTTTTACGTGCACGTCAACGTGTACAAGGGACCACGGTTGTTCGTCTCAACCGAACGACTAGCGCTGTTCCTTGCCAGTCACGCCGTCCTGCACTATTGAGAAGGAGAGACCACGCTAGAAAATCCTGCGAAACCTCCCAGACTAACACCGGGCTCGAAGCCTTTACACGCTGGTTAGCGAGTCAATGCCTCATTATAAGGACAGACCAAGAACGACAGTGTCCATGTCAGTGGTGCAGGACAGGGGGCCTGGCAAGGACAGCTGTCTAGTCGCTCGGATGGGACGAAAAACCGAGGTCCCGTGTACACATTGGCGTGCAGGTAAAAGATCACTTGGCAGTTGTAATTCGACTTACAGTTAGGCCGTAGGGGTATTGTTCGGGCAAATTCCCCTCGTAGCATACAGTCTGGCGTATATACTTCTTCATTAGCCCAGTCGGAGCAGAACAGTAGGACGTTATCTATTTCATTTCCAAGAAAGACGTAAACCCCACAGGACACCATTGTAAGGAATATGATTTCTGGTGATTACCGTTTAGTATTGAGCAACACTTTGTTTAGTCTTTATTAGAGAATGATAAAGACTAACGAATCCCAGTCGAAACATTTCTGAACGTGTGTCGGAGATCTTGCGTCCATGCATGAAACTGGTCCAGAACACGAAGTTTCGTTACGGTCAGTTTGTAATCTGTGGAGCTCTCTATGTATCTCCACGATCCATTCTATTCATGGCTAATGTTTAATATGTTTCAGTAATTCTGAACTCTCTATAAATTCCCACAATCCGTTCTGGTTATAGTTGATTTTTTATTTGTTTCAGTAATTGTGGAACTCTCTATATATCCCCACCATCCGTTCTGGCCCCAATAGAAACGGGGTTAAAGGTCAACAAAGCTCCATACAGATCACTAACATTACCAGAGCTAAAATCCGAATTCCCCACTTTTACACTACCGGATGATTATGTGGGTATTTACGACTACCAAGGTGGAATACTCTACGCTGATAAATCACTAAGAGCTTTTCAGGTAAATCTGTGTGAGACGGAGCATGTGTGGGTCGGATGAGATCGGAGGGAATCGGGAGAACCTGTGGAAAATCCACGAGATTATATAATCGACCATACGCAAGGCAAGGGTTCAAACCACGACAATTCAACCCGGTAAAAACTTGATTCCCTGGTGTCTTAAGCCGTGGGATAAGCAAAAAGCTGGAGAAGACCCACGAGAACAGATAACGCACTCGAATCCATAACAAACCCTATGCGCGTGCACGTGTAGATCACTTGGCAAGCGAGAATAAGGAATAATGCATAAGCTGCGTAGCCATTTTGTTAAAAATTTAAAATTTATTACACAAATTCCCCAGTAGACTACCAGTAGTAGCACGTACGGCGGGTTGAGAGCTAGGCTCGAGATAGGCTATATTATTGGGTATAATTTACGAACCCTTGAGACGCAATACCTACAGAATTTAGTAACCCATTACCCCTTTGAAGAATAATATAAAAGTATTTTGTATTTCAACAAGCCTTATATACGGTATAGTCTGTTTGTATATTTTCTGATTCAGGAACAATTTAAGAAATATGGTGGAACTTTACGTGATGGTGAACGGGTTGATGACGTGATGCCAGGAGATATAGTTACCTTGACAACCACGACCGGAAATCAGTATAGAGGAAGAAATATTGTTCTAGCTCTAGGTCCATACACCAATAATTTACTGGCTAAAACTGGACTTCAATTACCTCTAAAGGTCAGGACAATTTTGAAGGACTCGGTGGCAACTGGGGCTCATTTTTGCATTTTAGCATACCATTAGCAGGACCGATACCTCTCTCAGATGAGACGCTGGTGGTCGGTATTCCCCAGAATACGCGATCTAAATGAAATGAAATGAAATGGGGTTTAACGTCCTACTGTTCTGCTCCTATACTGGGCTAATGAAGACGGGCATACGCCATACAGTGTGCTATAAGGGAAATTTTGCCCGGGCAGCGGCACTATCGCCTACTCTTATATCGAATTCCAACTGCCAAGGGATCTTTTACGTGCATTCCAATGTATACACGGGACCTCGGTTTTTCGTCTCATCCGAAGGACTAGACAGCTGTCCTTGTCAGGCCCTCCGTCCTGTCTACGCGATGGAAGAGGACGTTAAGCACTAAGACAAACAACAACGGTAGTAACTTTGACAGTCAACGATACCAAACACACATGGCAAAAGCAGAACAAACTTGGTTATTTTGGCAAACTGTCTCGAGTTTGCTTTCCTTTTGACTTGATGATGCATCAGGGGTGTGGTTACCACTAGTCAGTGTCTGGCAAGGGACGACCATTAGTCTTTCGGATGGACGAAAACGATTTCCCGTGTGCACGTAAGCGAACTCTGGTGAATTAGCAGTTAGAATTCGAAGAGTGGGTCTTGGTGCCGCCGTCCGGGCAAAATTTCGCTCAGAGCACAGCACGGCTTGAGGCCGTCTTCATTAGCCCAGTCGGAGCAGAACAGTAGGACTTAAATCATCATCTTAATTATAATGTCTTAGGATTACGTGTTCTTGCTTTTTAAGGTTCTAAGAGTTATGGTGCTGTACTGGAAAGAGAAGGTATCTGGGATGCACTCATCTGATAAATTCCCGTGTTTTCTAGATACAGTAGGATCTCATGATATGACAGTGTACTCTACGCCCAGTGATGAATATCAGGGTTTAGTAAAGGTAACGTGAAGTACCTTATTTGAATATTTGTTCAGTTCTTCACTCCCACCATGCCCGAAACCCAATAATAATGAATTAGTATCCTATATCCTATACCGTTGACAGCAAGAAAGCAAACATCTATTTCATTTCATTGTCTTCTAGTTTAGTGATGTGGTGACCTTGGGATTTTTCACTTGAGATGTTAGCTCTACTACAAAATAATAGACCCACAAGCAGTGGCGGCGCCAGCCGTCGGTGATTGGAGGGGCAAAGCTGGGACAAAGTCCAAGGTTAAGGGGGCAAAGGCACGAGCTTTAACTAGGGGTAGGGGGCCTCCCCCAGAAAATTGTGAAAAACATGTTGCCCGAAATGCAGCCTGGCAGTATTTCAGGCACTGATCGATGGGGTAAAGTGTCAAACGAACGGACTTGCGAATCACGACGAAGCCCACTCAAGAGCGTCAAAGTAGGGGTCCTCCCCCAGAAAATTTTGAAAAATAGACTGCCGGAAATGCTGTCTTACAGTATTCTGTCAGGCACCGATCGTCGAGATAAATAGATCTGACCAGATACCGTCCGTCGCCTGATCACTAGTTTATCCGACTAGATAACAAAATGTCAAACGAACGGACTTGCGAACCTCAACGAATTCCCCTTGTGAGCGCCAAAGTAGCTAGTCCATTGGGGACCTCGCCAAGAAAATTTTGAAAAATAGACTGTCGGAAATGCTCTACAACATGCAAGTTTATGGCTGAGTGGGGATGTGGGATTTATTCACCGTAGAAGGTATTGATTACCGAAACGTATCACAAATACTTTTTTTATTTTCTAAAATTATTGGGGGGGGGGGGCAAACAGAGGGCAGACCAGATTAATGGGAAGGCAAATGCCCCCCCCCCCTTGCCTCCCCCCCCCCTTGCCTCCCCCCCCCTGGCGCCGCCACTGCCGGGCCTCAAGCTTCCTTTGACACTGACTTAAATTGTGTGTGTACGTCGGGCGAGGGGGTGTCAAGTGCTCCAAAACGTACTGTAAATCACGTGATATGGTATGGTATGTTATCAATTCAGGTTAGAGTTTGACCCCAGATTAGTACGGGGGGTTGGATGGCCGAATGGGTAGCACGTGCGCGCTGTATCATAGGGCCTGCCATTGAGTCAACTGGCGTGGTTTCGAATCCCCTGTTGTACGTGACAAGGAGTATGGTTGCCTGTCCAACCTCGTGGGTTTTCTCCGGGTCCTCCGGTTTCCTCCCACTGCTAAAGACCCCAACGTACAATCGAATTATTGAAATAAAATTAAACCGTATGCTGGTCCCGAAATGACGTAGTCTGTGTCGAGTGGACGTTAAACCCCATTTCTCTCTCTCTCTCTCTCTCTTTCTCTCCAGATTCGTATATAACAAGGTGACAGGTAACCTTATGGGATTTTTATTCGAACACATCGGTCTCCTCTCTCTCTCTCTCTCTCTCTTCCATAATTGACCTTACATTTACGCAACACTGGTCTGTCCGGGCAAAATTTCCCTCATAGCACACTGTATGGCGTATGCCCGTCTTCATTAGCCCAGGTTAGGAGCAGAACAGTAGGACGTTAAACTCCATTTCATTTTCATTTTTTTTCATTTGCAACACTGGTCTAGTTTCTATCAATGACTTGGATTTCACCAACAATTTTAATGACATCGTTTTCTGGAAATGGAAATTTTAATACATTTGAGTTGATCAATGCGCTTAAAGGGACAATAACACTCTTGCTGGCTTGACAGCTCCAGAAAATAAAAAATAGCTTTATTCTAGGTACTAGATGTGTTAGTGTCCTACCTGTTGTGTAAATTGTCCATTAAATCCTATTTTACTTGTCCAGAGGGTTCAAAATTATTTTTAAATCAAAGTCACATTTGAAAAGCTTTACGTCAGGCTTTTCAAATCATTTAGTTGAATTTTTCCAATTTTTTAAAGGTGTGTTAAGATGAAATTTGTATCATCAATTAATTGGAATATTGTAAAATAGTACAATTTGTTGACCAGAATAAAGATTGGGACATATTATTCAGTTACAACAAGAGGCTCAATAATAAATATAATTGGGATCTGTATTATGAAATGTTCTACTCATGTGTTAAAGCGGAAATTGCAAATTTTTAAGTTATATTTGTAAAATTTATTAAAATAAAGCCTGAAAATAGATGGTATCCATAAAAAGTCCTACCTTGTTAAAGAATAATCCTATTAATCCTATAATTCACTATTGCCAGCTGAGAAATTGGCAAAAATATCATTTTCCTCTTCATTTTCAAACGTTTGAAAAAAGCTACTCCATGGTGGAGAATAGATAACAAGGGAGGTAATTGGGAGGTAATTGTGTTATTATTTCCTGAGTAAATGAGTTTTAAGTGTGAGAATGACACCTATGATCGTATAATTGTGAGTTGACAACCTATTGAGCAAAATACATAGAAATAATTACGTTTTGACTTTCTTAGAAAATTTGCAATTTCCGCTTTAACGGTTTGTTTTGTTAGGTTTGTTTAACAATGGGTCCCGTGGTAGATCCCTACATTAGAGATGGTGTTGACGTCAGCTGGGTGCGAGAAAGAATGATGAAATACGTCACGAATAGATTACCATGGTTACATCCTGTGCCGGCGATAGAAGAGCCTTGTGTTAAAACGGTAATATTAATTCATATTGTTTATAAAGACCACGTGTAGATAGAGACCAATTTGAATTAGCAGTGAAGTTCAAATTTCTATTTTCGCTCAAATCTACCTATAACACAAGAATGTGGCAAAATAATCTTTATATTAATTCAATATAATACTTTGCTTATCTGTTTCTAGAATTCTCCAGATGGGCATCTTTTTCTTGATCGTCATCCAAAATATGAAAATATCATCATAGCGGCCGGTTTCTCTGGTAAGATTTTATTGTTATTACTTACATAAGGAAGGGAATACCGTACGATATTCAATATAAGTTACTTTATTGTCATACGTATACATAAGGAAGAGAATACCGTACGATATTCAACATAAGTTACGATACAGGGATGATGCCAGAGATAAATTGGGCCTTAGATGTTATATAAACTATTAAATAGACCATTATCAACTCTCAATGTCATCTGATGGGTCCGATTTTCCACAGATTTGTATCCGATGTACGTTTCAACGGCCGTTGATGATTAACGTAAAAGATCCGTTGGCAGTTAAAATTTACATAATAGCACACTGTATGGCGTATGTCCGTCTTCATTAGTCTCGAATCTGAGCAGATCTGTACGACGTTAAACCCCATTTAATTTCATTTTAATCACTATATTATATACACACGGTGGTTCGACAAGGTTTCAAACGGCGGGTTGGATGGCCGAATGTTTAGCGCTGTATCATAAGGTCTGTCACTGACTCAACTGGCGTGGTTTCGTTTTCCCTTTTGTACGTGACAAGGAGTAAGGTCGCCTCTCTCTCTCTCTCTCTCTCTCTCTCTCCCATCCATCAATAACGCATAATAATTAGATGATTTCGTTTAAAATAAACGATGTTACAGTAAAATCACAACTTGATTAAAATAATCTTTCGTTTCTTCCAGGTCATGGGTTCAAGCTAGCACCTGTAGTAGGGACGATTTTAAGTGATTTGGTCCTGGGAAAAACACCAGAGTTTGATATGAATTATTTTAAGATTTCTCGATTTGATAAAGGAGTTGTGACAAATTATAGGAGCAAATTATAGTTAGGATCATATTTTCATTTACACGTTTAAAACGCCCGAGTTGTTAATGCCCCAGTCAGACCGGGGTGGCGTCCTTATTACTGCGCTGTTGTGATCGTACGCAATCTGCTTTAAATACAGATCTATATTTCGTTTCGTTTTTTTATACTTTCGATGGCCTACACAACATGAAGATCTGACAAGTTATAGCGATAGGTCACGTCAGGGGTCAAGAGACCGACTTATGACCCTATGTCGTCAGACATTTGATTAACCAATCAGCATTGATGTTACTGGTTGATTACCCACAGTTCCGTGAAAAACACGCCTAAAGCTCGCCGTAACAGACCGTTTCATTGGCTTATCCCTGACACCATTCAGAACACGAGTTAAATAACAACTCTTCCAGATCCAAGTGTAGTAAAGACAAGTAAAACGAAATTTTGATCTATAAAAACGAAACGAAATAGGATCTGTGTTTTAACCAGATTGGATCGTACGGCGACCAGGAAATGCACGCCAGTAAACGTGAACACAACGCGAGAAAATGTCCAAAAATTTTACAAACTTGAAAAAAGTCGCGCTCTTACAGCTTTCCAGATTAGATCGCAGAACCTTGGCGTTTGTTTTGAACATGCTCAAAACAAACGACGTGACTCTGCGATCATTGGCGACCATGGAGACCACAGCACAATATCCGGCGTTTCCACCACGCTTTTACCACGCTTATGACGACCTTGACGCGCACTGAGACAATTTTCCGTTGCCTTAGCAGCGCTGTACGGACGCCACCATGGTCTGACGAGGGTAGAAGACTCTGTCTTTACGGCAAAACTTACAGAGACTTTATTGAGACTATACTTCCGGGTCTTCTGTTACTATAAATATATCAGATTAATATACCGAATTTACCAAATCGATCAAAGAACTAATTATATCTATCAGCTGTATTTCTATGAATTATCATTGTGATCATACATACTAAACTTAGGCTGTCTGTCTACAGTTAGCTCCGCTTGAGAACAAACACTAAAGTAATTGGTCGACATTTTGAGTCCTAATTCGACGATTTTAATCGAAAACACTACATATATTTTTTTTTATTCCGCTTCCATTTAATGAAATTGAGTAGGTTTATTTAGCCTTTGTGTATAAGACAGATGTGAAACGGAGTAGCATCTCATAATAAAACAATACTAATTTTTGGATATGGCGGCCATTTAGGACAGGGATCTATTATCGAAGTATGAAGTAGACGGACCTCTGTGTACAGAATGTGTGATCATATAGTTGATTTATTTCTTCCCTTTACTGATCAATAAAAATAAAATAATATGGTTTGGGTTTTCTAGTATACCGTGTGGCCCAGACAAAACGAGTACACTACTTTCAAATGGAATAATTAAAAAAGCGTTGTACCAATATTAGTAATAGAGAGAGAGAGAGGGGGGGGGGTAACGTTCACACGACACAAACTAGGTCATTTCGGGACTAACACATGGTTCAATTTTATTTGAATAATTCGCTTGCGCGGAGGGGTCTATAGCAGTGGGAGCAAACCGGAGGACTCAGAGAAAACCCGCGAGATTGGACAGGCGACCCTACTCCTTGTCACGTACAACCAGGAAATCGAAACCATAGTCTCCCGCACATTCTAGTTTGTGAGTTTCTGTGTTTTGGCAGTCATCTCGTCGAATTTCAGCAAATACATGCCAAATTGACACTATATAGAGACCATGTATTATTCAAAATTATCAATGTCCGAAGGACGTGTACCTTGAAAATGTCCTTAAAATAGGCTCGCACATCACACTCAATATGTCCCCGCTTTGCCCGTCAGCGTTCTTTCCACCCAGAAATCCAGTGTCTTATTTCAGGGGCGGATCTAGGAATTTTGAAAAGGGGGGGGGGGGGGCGCCGCAAAATGAGGGCACTGACCGCGGAGACGCGGCACGCCGCTGAGAGGGGGGGGGGGGTCCCCCAAGAAAATTATCCGTCATTTCCTGCATCTGTAGCCATTCCAAGAGCTATATTTGTCTGATATTTTCGTCTAAGTAAACGTTCGGAAATGGTTGAAAAAGAGCCATAAAATCGAGCAAAAAAGCCAGTTGAACACGCGACTCGAAAATTGTCAAGGCGAGCGGGGCATTATGATGGGGAAAAAGACGAATCTATTCCCTAGCCACTTCACTATTTAAGCCTTGTAACTTGTACTGTCCACACATGAAACAATGCTACATCAAGTTGCACTAATGCGCGTCGGTGATGAGCATGAGTGTATAGTAGTATACGCCGCCGATTCGACAAGATGCTATCATTGATGTCTGTCTATAGTCACTCTATAGGATTAGGGCACCGTCAGCTAAACAACCAGAATTCGTTTGAAAGTGGAAGCATTAATTAGACCAGACTGGACTGGTGTGTTTGTGTCGATGGTTTGAGTCATTTGGGATCCCTGCAACGGGTTGGGAACGGACATATTTGGGTCTGTGAAAAAGCACTCTCAGCAGTAAAAAAGGGCACTGTCAGCCCCCCCCCCCCGTTGGATCCGCCTCTGTATTTCTGTGCATTTAGCCCGATTTGTATCCTTCAGTTCGCTATCAGTAAATTGTTTGGTTCCTTAACGTGTGTTAGTCCTAAAATGACACATTTTACTTATTTTTATGAAGCATATTTATATTTTTTTGAGTTCTGTATTGTCTACCGTTTTATTTGCAAAACGGCCATGGCTACGATTCTTTAATAGTAATGGGGGCGTCAATGTTGGTGCTATATAATAGGCCTATAAACGGCACAGGACGTCACCAGAATAAAACTGGAAAAGGTTCTATTTGTTTTGTTAGGCGACCATTGACTGTTTCACACACAATTATTTACAGTGGCTGACTAAGGATCTACGTCCAACGATTTTTTTTCTTTCCAACAGGATTTCGATCGATCGACTTATAAAATATCTGTCGATCGGCCTAAAATATTTCGATCGATCAACACTCTATAACGAGGCTAAATAGTGTAACGAATGTACCCAGATCGATCGAGATATAACTTCTTTTTAAAAAAAAAAATTATACTCTATTTTCACTGAGGTAATTTTACCCTTCGCTTTTCCAGATGCATATATGTAAATAATGTTTTAATTTCTGCGATTTTTTCATTAAAGGGGAGGTAACCCTATTTTCAAAGGCAGTTGCTTCCCTTTACTTCGTCTTTTGCGTACAGAGGAAGAAAGAGTGGTATCCGCGAACTCTGTGCGTAAAGCACAAACAAACAACTAAGCGACTAAGCTAATTTTGTGGAAGAATCATTCGTTGGGAAGAGAAAACATCTTTTACCAATGACAAGTTCCGTTATAACCAGTTGCCTCGGCGACTGGAACGACTTGGAGAAAGAATTCACCCAGTTACAAGTGAGGAGCATGTTTTCTTGACAATTTCTTTTGTTGAACTTAGTTTTTGTTGAAAGTTGAAAGGTCCCAACCAAGGAGGTCCAGAGTTCACCTATTATATTGTCTAGGCAGTCAATCGATGTCGTATTTTAAAATAATATGAAAGTCCAATGTACACTATGTGTCATTCAAAGAACAGTTTTCTTGATCAAATTAATTATTCCATCCAATTTTCTATCAAGATATTGTTACACTTACAGTATTGGTTCTTTAATTTAATGATAATCAGGTTCAGATGACAAGACTAGTTTAAAGTAGCTAAGTCTCTAACTCAATATCATCCAAAATCTTCAACATTGAAAACACAAATTATTTGTCAATTTAAAACAACATTGATGCTGTGATCTTACCGGTAAAAGATGGGCTTCTGATATCCAATATTTAAGACAAAATAATTACTTTACTACCATTGGTACACGAATCGTGTACCATAATGCGTTTCAGCCCCAGTTCTAGCAAGAGACTCAAGGAACGAGGCTAGACATATTGCACCAAACCAAGCGACATATGTAGACTGGAATATCCAGACGCTAGGAATTTGCATTCGATTGAGACTGCTGGCTTATTTCACGGAACATATCAGATTTGAAATTAGAGTAAAAACTGAAACGATTGAATGTAAACCAGTTTATATACATCCATATTACAGTATTATATGAGTTGCGACCCACTTGTGTCAATTTCTAGGTCCCAAATGTTAGCGATTTAGCTCCTTTAACATCTTTAATCAGGTTCAGATGACTAGTTTAACATCTTATAATACTTTTAGTCTTCTTCTATTATGTACAAAACCTAAGACTCCGTAATTAGCTTGTGTTGAGAGAACCATGTCCTAGCTTGGCTAGGCACGAGTGTGCCAACTCCCAACTAACTTACATTGCATGGCCGTTGTTCGGTCTTAACTCCAGACCTGCGTGGCCTGGGGTTAATTTCTAGACGCCCTCGCCTAGCCTCCGACTCTCGTGTCCTGGCCGGACCTGACTGACTATGTCAATTCCATTCTTGGTTTATAAACCCTTTCAGACAAAGGAATCTTATTAGACATCTGGCTAATGTATCATGTACATGTACATCATATCAGGTTTAACATTTAGTACAGTTTGCATATCATCAAAGAAAGTTTAAATAAGACATGCCAACAACAAGTTAAGATTACATAATGCTACCAAGAACTCCAGGGGTAACGATAGTAGACAGAAAGGGTTAAAATCACTTTCTCATGTCAAGATGGTAGGAAGCGTCTATAACATCTGTTATTATGTAACAATATCTACTTCTTTACACAATTACAAGCCTTAATAACATGCACATTTTTTTTTGGGGGGGGGGATAAAATGGCTGAATGGTTAGCAAGTGTGCATTGTATCATAAGGTCTGTCATTGGATCAACTGCCGTGGATTTCGATTCTCCGGATGTATGTGACAAGGAGTTGAGTCGCCTGTCCAACCTCATGGGTTTTCTCATGGTTCTCCGGTTTCCACCTGCTGCTAAGGACCCCTACGCGCAAGCGAATTATTGAAATAAAATTGAACCATGACCTAGTTTGTGTCAGTGGACCTTAAACCCCATCTCACTCTCTCTCTCCCTCCCTCTCTTGCTAGATAGAACTATATAGTACCATACTGGTACATCATCTCGACATGCAGGGTTGAAAAAAAGTGATACCGGTACCTTACATGTATTCAGAGTTTTTATGGCGCAGGGGGGTTGGATGGCCGAATGGTTAGCACGTGTGCGCTGTATCATAAGGCCTGTCATTGAGTCAATTGGCGTGGTTTCGAATCCTCGATTGTACGTGACAAGGACTAGGGTCGCCTGTCCAACCTCATGGGTTTTCTCCGGGTCCTCTGGTTTCCTCCCACTGCTAAAGACCCCTACGCGCAAGCGAATTATTGAAATAAAATTGAACCATGACCTAGTTTGTGTCAGTGGACCTTAAACCCCATCTCACTCTCTCTCTCCCTCCCTCCCTCCCTCTCTTGCTTGATACCAGTACAAAATAATTGGTTTAATTTGTCAATGTGACCTACATGTATCAGACCATCATAAAGAACAAATATCCAACCTTTTTGTGTTGATGAATTTTGCATCTGGCGTACATGTTGGGTCATGTCAACCCCATGGCCACGATAGAAGCCACAATGCCAATGTCATATTAATCTCTGCCAGATTAGAATTTATTATTCAGTAGTAGTCTTTTTTATCCTGAGATGGGTTATTAAGATCACAAGACCAATGTTGATTTGAATTGACAAATAATTCCTGTTTTCAATTTTGGAAGATTTTGGATGATATTGAGTTAGAGACTTAGCTACTTTAAGTTCAGGTTTAAATCCCTCTATATGGTATTAAAAAACAAAGATATATTGAAAAAACATCTTAAACAGCACCAATTGCTTATTTAAACTGAATTAATTGAATATGTTATTAGCATTCAAATTAGTAAAATAAGTACATGTATTAATGGGACTGCAATGAATAACAATGTTATCGGAAGAAGTCATATTATTATTAGTATTATTATCTGTCATTCTGCCATGACATGGAAAAGGTCTATAGCTGTTAGGGGTTGGATGGCCGAATGGTTAGCGCGTGCGCGCTGTATCATAAGGCCTGTCATTGAGTCAACTGGCGTGGTTTCGATTCCCCAGTAGGGTCGCCTGTCTAATCTGGTGGGTTTTCTCCGGGTCCTCCGGTTTTCTCTTACTGCTAAAGACCCCTACGTGCACGCAAATTATTGAAATAAGTTTGAACCATATGTTAGTCCTGAAATGACCTAGTTTGTGTCGAGTGGATGTTAAAACTTATTTATCTCTCTCTATAGCTGTTAATTTCTTCTCAGGAGGACCACAAGGAATATCAGAAGAAATTGGAACAAATGGTCTCATGTCAAAAGAAATGTGTAGCCAGCATTGCACATCATAGATATCGCATCAAACAAATCAACGAATCTTTAAAAAAGTAAGTGGTCAGTTTATCATTCAATTCATTAAACATACATGGACATTATGCAAGCGGTAAATTTGCCTATTCCAGGTTTTTCTTTAGGCCTGAAATTTTATATTAACTATTAATTAGACATTTATTAAACATACATTATGCAAGAGCTAAATCTGCCTATTGCAGGGGTCTTTCTTTAGGCCTGAAGTGTTATATAAAGTATTGATTAAACATTTATTAACATAAAAAGACCATATTCAACTCTTGATGCCATCTTTTCTGTCCGATTTTCAATGGATTTGAATCCGATCTGCTGTTCAACGTTTGCTGATGATTAAACGCAAAAATGGATAATCAAGATTTTGCTACTTATCTTGCCAGCACTAACAAAATGACAATCGAGGCTACAAAGATTTTAAAATAAGGTTTTCTCGGCTTAGAGTAAAGCAGTTTGACTGAATTTTTCAGCATATTTCCTTTACATTATCTAGTTTTTATACGTCAACATTCATAATGTTGACATATATTGCCGTCGTCCCTGTGTGTCTGTGTGTCGCCTACAGGCTACAATTCTTAAGTGATCATCTTGAAACTTTACACACTTATTCCTTATACCCTATGGATGATCCCTATTGTTTTTGGTGCATGCCCGATCCCCAGGGGCAGAGCAACGCCCATTTCTTGTATTTGTTTGTGTGTCGTCTACCGGCCATATTTCTTAACGTATCATCTTAACGGATCATTGGCCATTTTAGAGTTAAAATAACGTCTTTTTTTTAAAAAAAAAATCCCTAAATTCAAATATTTCCCATAAATTGCCTATTGATTTTTTATTTTTTTTAATTATTTTTTTATGAATGGTGTTGTCTACTACTTCAATATATATGACTATTAAATTTTTCCGAAACCATTTGAGGCTATGAGGAATTTATTTTGAGACATATGCTACATTGTATATGCTAAAACATATAAATTTCATGATGCTATATCTCACTCACTTCGGGGCTGAGAATAATTCTATTAATAATGCAAGTTGAGGACTACTAATACTAATATTTGGTTTTGACAAAATGACAATTTGAACGTCGGAACTTGAAGAAAATGATTTCATTTTTGACATCATTTTTCCAATAAAATCATTCATTGCCTGGATTATTGGGCCTGATAATGCCCCATGCCCATGCAACCGCCTTCCAGCAACCCTGTGTAGGGCCGGTACAGATGATTCAGGAGTTCCACAAGGATCGGTCCTTGGACCTGTCCATTCTGTAATGTATACTAAGAATTTAGGACAATTAATCGATAATCATGGTTTCTAGGACGACATTCTTAGGCAGATGATGCACAGCTAATTGCAAATTACTTCCTTTCAAAAACTTTTCCATCCCCTAATTATTCTGACATCAAATTTTGTACACATGACATTAAAGATAGGATGACAAGAAATATGTTGAAATTAAATTTAATTGTATTAAGTAAATCAGAATGTTTTTTATGAGGTCCAAATACACATCTGGAAAATACAAGTTCAAATGATGTGGTTATACAAGATGCAATATTTGTACCATGAGACACTGTGCAGAAGTTAGGTGTCCACTTAGGGTCCAATTTCAGCATGGACAGTCACATTAGTGAAATTAGTGGAAACTGTTATCTTTGGTCCAGGAACATTGGCCATAATAGACACTTTATTAGCTAGGAAGCAGCTGCTACACTTGTACATTATTTGGTATTCTAAATGATTGACTACTATAACAGCTTGTTAGTAGAAAAATCTAGTACCAATATTAGAAAAAAAATCAACTTGTACAAAATACCGCAGCTCGAATTCTTACCAGATCATCAAAATACTCTCATATTACTACTTTTCTGAAATCACTCCATTGGCTGCCAATAAATAAAAGAATCATCTTTAAAAGTCTGTCTTTGACGTATCAGTGTGTGAATATCTTAGCTCAAATATACTTATCTAACCTTATGCAAATACAAGTTATCAAGACCATCCAGTAGACGTGGTACAAGGGTTAATCAGTGAACTGGATGTATGAGATGTGTTGTTGACGTTTGGGAAAGTAGGGCGAGGGGAAATGTGTAGGGAGTGAAGTGCTGTAAAGGGATAGTTAGATGTATTATGAATGGTTAGAGTGGCTGTGGTGTTACTGTGAAATACTATGCCGCCACCGTAACACCACAGCTTTATGATTTGTTAGACAGGAGTGATGTAATGGGTGTCAACAACTGGGTATGCTGGTACCGTCGCAACGTAGCCGTGAAATATATATTGTGGGGCGGAAACGGAAAAATATACAATGTTGACAGTATGTGCCAGGCATGAGGCTGCGCAGACCGAGCGGCAGCTCGATAGGGAGTGTGTGGGAGGGTCACCCTCATAAAAATGTTTTTTTTTAAATTTCAGTTTTCTGTAAGCAGTGAAAACACTATTTTGGCATTGTTTGCGGGGTTAAACCTAAAAATCACATTAATACACCTATTGCTCGGGCGGCGATTGTTCGACTCGGGGCTGCTCTGTCAGTATCTAACAAACGCATTTAGTTCGCATATAACTTTTAAAAACCGAATGTCAGTATGGTATTTCTCACATAATTGGTTATCGCAAAAACAGAGTAAACTGAAAGCGAGTAATCTCGACTCAAACCTATAGTCTATAGCCTACTTACTACACTCGTCACTAGGCTTCCTATATTATTGTTTGTGGACGGTTTACTACTCAGTGATAAGCCTGCGCCGCAAAAAGAGGTCTCGCCTTTTATTATTAGTATAATGACTTCCTCATGTGCGGCAGGTTAGTTTGCTTCTAAAAACACTGTTTTCCGTTCCAAAAAATACAAAAGTAATTTTCTACCAGATGACCATGGTTCTTTTCACCGAGACTAGATAATTTCTCTCGGTGTAAGGATATAGCTATGGATAAGTTCATACAAGGTCAATAAATCCGCGGTCACTTCGGGTCACACTGTTGAGAAAATAAACCGATGGGTTTGTTTAGTAGCAAATCGAGCGTGAATCAACTGAGTTTGTACTTCACAGACTGTTTACCTCCGAACTACCTCCGCACGAAATCCCCGATTTGGGTACTTGTTAAAAGAAAAAGAGATAGTACCTGTGCGCATGCCAGTAAAAAAAAAACTAAGAGTTCGTGCATAAAAATGCCTGAACGTACCAGGCGCCAGGTCATCCAGACACATTCTTATGACTAATAAATACTCATTATATTACTATATTTAATCAGAGGTCGCAGTCACGCAAAAATCTGCATATTTCACACATTTTTTTTCAAAATAAACACAAATATTGACGGACACTGGGTAATTTACACGCAGAAAATTTCCCCGACGTGAGAATAATTAGATTATTCTATGTCGTAGTTTGTACAATTTATGTGCTTCACCCGGCATTTACACACCTCTACTTTACGTAGTCTCCGTAGTATTGTATATTTCCTCTTATTTCATTCATAAGTTCATGGCAGTAAGCCTACATAGCTATCCTATTGGAAGCAATAAAGCGCATTTCATACAAGACTTGGGATTGGCTAGAACAAGATATACTGTTTACATTCAGCCAATCAAATGTTGGCTTTCATAGCGATAGTTTTCTCTTTACGTCCTGTCGAAGTGAAAGATTGCAATGACTGTGCCGTCATCAATAGACATGCCGTTAACCTCCAGTCGTCATTAGACTAAATACAGTAGGCATATCAATGAAATAATAACGCTTAAAATAGGGTTGTTCACAAAACGACTTTACATGCTTCTATATTGAGTATTTTGAGAGGCTCTTCACGCAGATGTAGAGGGCAAAAACGCAAAATTTTGGAATGTCTTCGTATTTTTACGCCACTCGAAATTGATCCACTGCGACCTCTGTATTTAATGTATATTTTATGTTTGAGAACCATGTCCCAAAAATGGGACGCTGCCCTTTAATGGGTCCGGGGAAACGGTTGCTGTAAAAAATTATCTTTACCAAGAACGACTTCGTGATCCGACTAATCTCCAGAATGGCATTGGTCTCCAACATCAGTTCCTCCTCAGTTGTACGTGACAAGGAGTTGGGTCGCCTGTACAACCTCGTGGGTTTAGGCCAAAGTTAGATTTGCAATCCAACATCCAAGATTGCGGCCGAAATCAGCTGTTCATTTTCCTGTCTTTTGCGCAAATAAAATGCGGTTTAGTAGCCAGTTATCCGAAAGAAACTACAATAGCATATTCCTGAAATAATAGCCCGAGAACTACCGCTCTGGCCATTGCTGGATTGACTTCTGATACGGTTTTGAGGGAGTGTGTCTATTCTTCGTCTCGGTAACACAATTAATTTCCGAAAATCCCGGCTTCATTTTGAAATTCACATGGCAATGTATCCATAAGATTGTTCTCTTAGTTATTAACTATAGGCATATATACATGTATTAATCACAAGTACAACTCCATTTTGAAATCCATAGAGAATGGAATTTTCGGATGGCATTTCGTAGATCGCGATCATACCGTAAAAGGACCCATGCCATATGAGTTACTGTATACCACACAGGTGCAGTGAAAATGGTTAAATTTAGCGCGAAACACGAGTTTTTCCCACGGTCTGCATAATTAACACACAAGACCCAATAATACATGCAATCTGCGATACCTCTTTTGACAAGTGATTTTTTGTTTTAAATACATTTTTATAAAGACGATAAACGATGTTTGGACCTCCCGAACTGTTCTTATCAACAATGTTTTGATTTCAGTCTCTGTCGAATAAACCATAAAAAAGAGTACTTTAATCTCTCAGAGAGAGAGAGAGAGAAAAATGGGGTTTAACGTCCACTCGACACAAACTAGGTCATTTCGGGACTAACATATGGTTTAATTTTATTTCAATAAATCGCTTGCGCGTAGGGTCTTTAGCAGTGGGAGGAAACCGGAGGACCCGGAGAAAACCCACGAGGTTGGACAGGTGACCCTACTCCTTGTCATGTACAACCAGTGATTCGAAACCACGCCAGTTGACTCAATGGCAGACTTTATGGTACAGCGCGCACATGCTAACCATTCAGCCATCCAACCCCCCTGTGAACAGTCGGATACGTGAATTAAATATCGACATTATTGAGAAGCGTTGGCCTTTTTTTCATAATTTTTGTGGTAATCATAAAACTTTGAAAATGGACTAATAACTACAGAACATTGAGATTAGACCTCGCGTTATGAAATGTTATCAATTAAAATTATGAAATAAAGTATGTTTATTTATAAATGTTAGTCACAGAGTTGCATTTAATTGACGGGGATGTAGGGCCTAATATAATTTATTAAAATATATATAATACACATTAACACAGGGTACATGTATTTAAAATTATGAGGTGATGATGATCATAGGCGTACGAGCTGGGGGGGGGGGCGGCCGCCCCCCCCATTTTGGACACCAAATGCTGGGAAAATTTGGTCACACAATTGTACATTGTAAAAGTTGTATAAAAAAATATTGTTTTCTTGAATGTGTCCAATTTAACAGCGAATTTATTATTATTATGTAACATGCTAAGAACCCAACTACATTTTTGGGGCACCAACCACCACTGCCCCCCCAGTCAAAAATTTCCCCGTATGCCTATGAATTGATGATGTGGTAAGCAATATTTACGTGTTTTCGTGTAATCGGTGATTATTCATTGTGAATAAAAATTTAGTAGACTGACAATCAGTTGTTTCCAAATTAATTTTATTATCTTCAGTTGCCATTTTTGTTGCCCAAACTCAAACGATCGGAAAAGTTGCGAGTTGTTGTGATTGCAGCACATGTGATTGTCAAAATTTGTCAACCATTTACCCCTTCAACATATTAAGATGGTTTAGCTCATCATGTCACATGTACAATACTATGATGAACTCCGTCGAAAATACAAGCAAAAACATTGACTTTTCAAGAGAGAACTTTTTTTTTCGTTGGGATATTAAATTGTGCAATGGATTTTATTCAACCGGAGGTGATTTCAAACACATAGGCAAATTTTTAGTAACAATTATTCAGTAGTTTGTTCACAATAGACGAAATCTGTTTATAATTTACCACGGTTCAGACATTATATCATGAGATTACATTGCCGAATTAATAAAATGTTGAAAAATAGTCTAGAGAGATTAATTGTATTTACCGAGAACAGCTCTTTTGGCATTTACAGTAAATTAAGTTTTTCATCGTTTAAAAATTTTAATGGTGTAATTGTGAGCTCAGTTTTCGTGATTAGATAGTTATTAGACAGATAAATAATAGATAGATAGATAGATATTTAGATAGTGGATAGTAATAAAGTACATGTATAGCAATATTTTTTAATTTGAAATACTTATTGGTAATAAGTATTTGTAGTTTTGATAATGGAACATTTTTTAAACGTAAATTATTTGAAAGTATATAATGCGTTTATATTTATTTGTTTATTTCTATTAAACGTATATTATTTGATGAAAATATATAATGCGTTTATATTTAATTGTTTATTTCTATATGGCTTGCGCTTAATGGAACGGAAACCCACGTTAATTTGGTTTCCAGTGCCATGTCACACTTTTCAGTGTGTAAATAAAGATGTTTATTTTTCATCATTTTTGTTGAAAATCGTTATTTTTGGACAAAAATTGAAATTATTTACTACTTTAGCGCCCGAAGGCCACAATTCTGACTGGATTATCTTGGAACTTGGAATACTTATTCCTTATACCCTAAGGATGGCAACTATTGATGTTGTCATTTCAATAACAGGGTGATACCTATTTATATTGTTCCATATCCACCCCCCAGGGGCAGAACCACACCCATTTTTTGTATTTATCGTCTACAGGCTGCAATTCTGAATGGATCATCTTGGAACTTTGCATATTTATTCCTTATACCGTAAAGACAGCAACTATTTATTTTGGTGCTTGCCCCGACCTCCTGGGGCAGTGTCACATCCACTTTTTTGTTAGTATTTTGTCTGTAAATTTGTCAAAACAAACCCAACACCTAGCCTTCTTTGCCTCTTATCATATTACAGCCATTTCATATTATAATTTCATTCTCTTCATTTTAAAAAGTATCATGCTGGAATGTGGACGTATATTGCAGCGTTAGCGATGCTCTCGTTAACTATTATAGTGAGAACTGTCGGTTCTTTATCTAATCTCCTATAATGTGTCTTAAAAAAAATCTAAAGTTACACAAATATATTTACTCCTGATTTTATTTTTATTAGAGTAGAATCAGAAATTACATCAGACGAAAAAGAACAGTTGGAGAATTTGAAGAAAAAAATAGCGAAAAGGAAACTTGAGTTCAGAGATATGGAAGAAGTTCTACCACATAAAAATGGGTTTGTTGACATTTTAACAGCTACAGTGCATCGGTATTAATTACTTTAGGCATCCAATAAACTATGACCAAATGGTCCAAATGTGTTCACTTTAGATGATAAGGTCTGTCGTGGGGAGGAAGACTGGTGGTGGATGGCAGAATGGTTAGCACGTGCGCGTTGTATCATAAGGTCTGTCATTGAGTCAACTGGCACGGTTTCGATTCCCCGATTGTATGTGACAAGGAGTAGGGTTGCTTGTTCAATCTCTTGGTCCACCAGTTTCCTTCCACAGCTAAAGACCCCTACATGCAAGCGAATTATTAAAATAAAATTGAACCATATGTTCGTCCCAAAATGGCCTAGTTTGTGTCGAGTGGACGTTAAACCCCATTTCTCTCTCTCTTTTTTCAATCTGAATATTCAAGTGATATTTGTTTGTGTTTTTTAGGATATATTTAATTTGTATTTGTTTGTGTTTTCCAGGATATATTTAATTTGTATTTGTTTGTGTTTTCCCAGGATATATTTAATTTGTATTTGTTTGTGTTTTTTCAGGATATATTTAATTTGTATTTGTTTGTGTTTTTCAGGATATATTTAATTTGTATTTGTTTGTGTTTTCCAGGATATATTTAATTTGTATTTGTTTGTATTTTTCAGGATATATTTAATTTGTATTTGTTTGTGTTTTTCAGGATATATTTAAGTATTATATTAGGAAGTGTTAATATCTCACTCTTAAACAAAGCTGATAAGTAAGTACAATTTATATATACCAGCATGGTCAGATCTAAATATGAAGGCCACTTGCAGATTTCGTCAAGGTTGCAAGATGTAAATAGGGTTAGGGCACATGATTGTGTGATAGGTCTATGGTTAGCTCTAGCTTTGTTTAAATCTTGTGACCTTTGATGCAAATTCTGCAATTGGCCTTAATATTTAAAATTAGAAATCTATGAGTGGCGAGTAGCCATCCCATGATATGTCACGTTGCAGGATATTCTTTGAACTATTTTTAATCGAAATGGATTCACATTTAAGAACTTTTGCATCGGAAGGCTATACAATTTTATGAGATTTAGTCCCGAAGGGTCCCCAAATTCTTTATATTTATATCTTAATATTTAAACCTAAGCACACTGTGGACCGGGAATAGAGCTTGGCATAATATAATGGTCGCCATCTTGGAATTCTGACTTCGTATCAAAGCTTGATGCACAGTTGTCCAAGGAACAAGAATGTCAAGTGGGTGGGAATTCCCATAAACTGATATGTGAGACTAGTCCTTACAAAATTAGGAGACATGGTGGTTTAGTGTGTGACCTAGAGGTCCCTTGTTCGATTCCTATTTTGATCGCGAAAGTTCATTGGGATTTTCCGGCATGGCTCCCCCTTGTCAGTGGTGCAGGACTCTGAGTCTGGTAAGGGACAACATATAGTCATTTGTAATGGACGAAAAGAGAGATCCCATGTACACATTAGTGTGCACTTACGACGTAAAAGAGCCTGTATAGTTCTGTCGTAATGGCTAAACTTCCCTATAGTACGTATACACTGTATGGCATATGCCCGTCTTCATTAGCCCAGTCTGAGCAGAACAGTAGGAAGTTAAACCCCATTTCACCAGTATATCTATAATATGAATGTTACATGTATATCTTTCTAGATACCAATATAAACAAGATTATGAGAAGTTCAAACTGACCGTTAGTTATGTTGTCATGTTTTTATCAGCGTTCATGCATTTCATTCCAGAATACAGGTAGGACACAGTTACTTCCCTTTATATAGCCCTAGTAAGCTGATACTATTGTCTTATGAACTGGATCTTTTAGTCTTGAACAATTTTGTCATTAAATCATACACGTAATCATTATTCTTAAAGATATATTAGTTAAGAGTTTAATAAAGAGTTGGCCATTCTTACTATAATAATTCAAAAATAGATGATAAAAAAAAAAAATTTCAGTCATATTACTTTATTCTGAACGGAGTTGTCACTGTTGGAAAATTGGCGATCGTTTGATTGACAGGCGATAACTCCACCCACATATTCTCGATTATCAAGTAACATTCTCAATGGGTATGGTACCCTCTCTTGGAAGGCCTTTCATCACCAGTTTCCATTAGTGACGTCAGTGGCTAACAGTAAACGTTGCTTGGTCGACAATTTCTTGATTTAATTTTAAATGGACGACTGTTTAAACCCAAGCTGTATCCAAGCCATCCGAGGGTCTACAGAGTTGATTTTGAGCTTGTCATGTAAATAAAGGTCTAATTAATAATTTCTATAACATCTGAAGCCTAAATAATGACATGCAATAGGCAGATTTAGCTCTTGCATAAAATATGTTTAACTAATGGTTAGTATAGAAAGTGGCTAGAAATTATAGAGTGGTCTTAATTAGGTGATTAATTTATCTCTCTCTCTCTCTCTCTCTCTCACACACTTATAAAACCATCTGTAATTAAATGTATATTATTAATGTATATTAATCTGGAAGGAATATACAGTTAGTTACAGAGCTGACAGTTCTCACTATAATAGTTTCAAAAAAGATAAAAAAAAATTGCAGTCAAATCACTTCAGTCTGAGCGAGGTTATGACTGTTTGAAGAATAACGTGTACTCTCAAATTTTCATTGTTACCATTGTTACGATAATAAACAAAGTTATGATTATCCATATTTAAATTAAATGGAAACTGTGTTTTAATTTGTTTAAAATCACAATCATCTGATGTCTAGAAAGCTGTCATGTGATTAAATGTCTAATTAATAATGTATATAATATTTGTATATTTTAGATGGATCGATGCTGTGTTAAATTTTTTATTGGTATGGTATTATTGTACGTTAACCATCAGAGAAAGTATACTTGTTGTGAACGGATCAAGGTTAGTTACACAACATAGGATAACTTCACTCTGGACCCAGTAGGATAACTACACTGTTAGGTTTAAGACCACTTTTCCACTTTAACCCGGGTATCATTCAATCTTGGGGGGCGGGGGGTGGATGGCTGAATGGTTAGCGTGCACGCGCTGTATCATAAAGTCTGTCATTGAGTCGACTGGCGTGGTTTCGAATCCCCGGTTGTATGTGGCAAGGAGTAGGGTCGCCTGTCCAACCTCGTGGGTTTTCTCCGGGTCCTCCGGTTTCCTCCCACTGCTAAAGACCCCTACGAGCAAGCGAATTATGTAAATAAAATTTGACCATATGTTAGTCCCGAAATGACCTCGTTTGTGTCGAGTGGAAGTTAAACCCATTTCTCTCTCTCTCTCTCTCTCTCCCTCTCTCTCTCTCATTCAATCTTGTGTATCTAGCACTAATTTCTTTCACATTCATTCAATATCAAATCTTTGTTTGAAAATTCATAAAAATCATTTAAACTCACCAGAAATAATCTAACTACACTGTTAGACTCTAGACCCGGTAGGTAGACCCAGTAGGATAACTACTCAGTTGAATTCGCTTACATGGAATTCCACACTTGGACTTTAATGTATGACAAACCCCCACATAGAAACTCAAAGTTTTCATTTCTTGGACTGATCTATTAATAAGTTTGTTGATACATATGTTCAGGTGGCACTTACAACTGATCTGTTAACACATTGTCTTACATGTTTTAAGGGGGGTGAATGGCCGAATGGTTAGTACATGCGCGCTGTATCATAAGGTCTGTCATTGAGTCAACTGGCAAGGAGAAGGGTCGTCTGTCCAACCTCGTTGGTTTTCTCTGGGTCCTCCGGTTTCCTCCCACTCCTAAAGACCCCTATGCGCAAGCAAAGTATTGAAATAAAATTGAACCATATGTTAGTCCCGAAATGACCTAGTTTGTGTCGAGTTAAACCCTCTCTCTCTCTCTCTCTCTCTCACATATTACATGTATAAGACCTTTGACATTTGAATAGGACAAGAACAGGTGGAGGTGGAAAATTGTTCTGGTGTACACAGAAAAAAAATTTGGGGTATTTTTGTAGATGAATTTACATATTCACAATAGTGGCTAATACTTGATGACATATGTTAACAATTTGTTATTATATTTATTTACAGAATAAAAGGTTGGTGGGTAACCCATCATTTTATATCAACAGTATGTGCTGCTATCAGTTTAATTTGGTTAGTATATATATATACACACATGTATATTTTAATATGATCAACCAGGGTTTTAGTTTCACTAACAAGAACGACTTAGGTATAACAAGTTGGGTTGGGGTGTCAAGAAACACACAAGGCCCATGGCATGAGGGGAGCCTAAAGCTCGCCGTAGAAGACCGTTTCATTAGGTAATAGCTCACACCATTCAGAACACGTCAATGATAACAACTCTTCCAGATCCTAGTGTAGTAAAGACAAGTAAAACGAAATTTTGAACTATAAAAAAAAGAAACGAAATAGGATCTGTGTTTTAATCAGATTAAGGCCTGTTAAGAGTAAACAAGCCTAGTAATATTGTTATACATCAGTTTATTGTTTATATTTTTATGTTACAGGCCAGATAGTTTGACGTATCAATTATTCCGTAAACAGTACATCTTCTTTATACTATATTTAAGTAAGTACAATTCAGATGGACAGTCTTATTAATAATAAAATTAGTTAATTAAGTACATTTCAACATGTAAATTTATTTAAGAATATTGAAATAAAGATAAAGTATTAAATTTGGTCCACTCGATGTGCTAGTTCTGTGGTGAGAAACAGTCTGTGTACAGTTTCATTTTCATGAACCTAAACGTGTACAATTAATTATAAGTAAAAAACTTGTATCTCAACATAAAATTGCTCAAAATTTAGAAAGTAAATCAAAACACCAAACTTGATTAAATCAACACATTTGTCCAAATCAAAGTGATCTAATTTTAATTGAATTTTGTGATAATTGTATTTTATATAATATCAGGTTTATTTATATAATGTCAGGTTTATTTATATAATATCAGGTTGTGTTTATGTGATGCAGTATTATTATCAGAGTGGATGTTTATACAGGATGCGATCACTAGGTGAAGGTCATGACATGGATATTACCGCAGGTACGTCACAGGTTAAAGTGGGACTTTACTTACAAATATTTTGTTGTCAGGTTTCTTTGGCCATAGATAAATCAGGCTTATGAATTCTATTATAGACTCCAACCTTGTGAGTTTTCTCTGGGTCCTCCGGCTTCCTCCCACTGCTAAAAACCCCTGTGCGCAAACGAATTATTGAAATAAAAATGAACCATGTGTTAGTCCCAAAATGACCTAGTTTGTGTCAAGTGGAGGTTAATCTCTCTCTCTCTCTGGTACTTGTAATTGTATTGTGATAACCAGTGATGTACACTATTTATAAGTCAATTGTATTTTTATTTTTTTTGCAGAGGGTTTTATGTCTTGGATGTGGAAAGGGCTGGCATTTTTACTTCCTCCAATCTTCTTTGGATATGTAAGTCTATTATTTTATAATTAATTATCTCATTTTTTTGAATCAGGAATAAATTCTCTCTAGTCATTTGGCGGTAATCATTAAACATTGTATCATTCAAAAATTTAATGCATATGAAAATATCTGTGGTAGACTGTACAGAAACTCAACTGTCTTGGCAAAATTCTCCGACTTGCTTTGCATGTATGGACACACAGAACAATGAAACCATATGTTAGTCTCAAAATAAATAAAATGTTAATAGGTTGGCAGTCAACCTTTTTTCTTTTAGAAAATCAGAAATGTGAATAATTGATTATAATGAAATAGTGTTTAACATCCTACTGTTCTGCTCCGACTGGGCTAATGAAGACGGACATACGCCATACAGTGTGCTATGAGGGAAATTTTGCCCGGGCAGCAGCACTATGGCCTAATCTTATATCGAATTCCAAATGTCAAGAGATCTTTTACGTGCACGTCAATGAGCTATGAGGAAAATTTGGCCCAAACCTCTGCATTCCGATTTTCGAATTAAACTGTCAAAGGTTTTTTTTACATGTTCCCAAAATGTACGTTGGACCTCAATTTTCTGTCCCATCCAAACGACTATACATTGGCCCTTTCCCTGCCATTCATCCTGCACCACTGACAAGGGAGATGGGAACTTTCAGGAAAAGCCTGTTGGTCAACACCAGAATTGAATACAGGACCTCTAGGTTTGTGACCCGAAATCTTACTCTTTCAGCCACTGCAGCATTTTCTTGTCATTGGAAGGGTTGTAGTGTGTACAAATTATTGGGGAGGTACGGTGGCTAAGTGGGTAAGATGCTGGCTTGCTAGCCTAAAAGTCTCGCGTTCGATCCCTGCATTGGCCGAGAAAGTTCATCAGGATTTTCAAACGTGGATTCCTCTTGTCAGTGGTGCAGGACGGAGGGACTGGCAAGGACACAAGGACAGCTGTCTAGTTGAGCACGTAAAAGATCCCTTGGCAGTTGTAATTCGATATAAGAGTAGGCCATAATGCCGCTACCCGGGCAAAATTTCCCTCATAGCACACTGTAGGGCGTGTGCCTGTCTTCAATAGCCCAGTCGGGGCAGAACAGTAGGACGTTAAACCCTATTTCATTTATTTGAAAAATCAATTATTCGTGTATCTTATCATGGGTAATATGTAGCACCATGAGTCTTTCTGTCTGACGTGTAGAGCGTCTATGGGAAACTGGTCGCCACATCCTAAATACGACCCATGCATCTTTTCTTACTACATATTTCTGTAGCCTTGTGATCGTCTAGAATTTGTCTCTAGCTGTCTTTACTTCTTCCAGTTTCTTAAGACGTTTGTCTTACCAGGAATAATAATGCATAGTTCGCTTCTACATTTTATATAGCATATAACTGAATACAGGTATACAAGCATAGCACAAATTACAATACTATATAGCTAAAACCACTTCTCCACCCTATCCAGCCTCTCGGCTGTCTAGGAACTCAGATGTACCGTCGATCTCTGGAATCTAATGCAAGTCTGACTTACAGGGTTCCCCGGTTTCTTTTAAAGGTAAATGAATATCATGCACCATAAAGCGTGATCATGGCCCTGAACTTGTGTAATTAACAAAATGATTGGTTACTTTAAATCAAATGATGCAATTAGAATAATTCCACTCACGTGTAATTCTGGTGGTAAATGAGTGACATATGTTTTCGATAAATAACTCTTTGTTATGTGTCAACTGTCAATTACAGACTAAGTTGATTTAGTGCACACTATATATGTGAATATGTTTGAAATTACTAACTTGCCAAAGATATTAATTAATGAAATATAAAGGCATCTTATTTCAAGAGCAAAAATTCCAGCAATATTATTACATTCTTCCCTTCCTTTAAGACTTTTTGCTCGGTATTGGGTAAAAGATCCCTTGAATCCTTTACAATAATCATACCAACATCTGTAGAATTATATAACTATTCATAAATGTAGCAGAAATCTAGAAAATCAACATATATCACCTCCCCCACTTGCAAGATTTATGCTAAATGAACAGGTAGGAGACTCTTAAAAACTTCTATGTGCTAAACCCTATAATTATTCATGCAACAGGCAAATATCAATGATACTATACTATATAACAAAACTGTGAAAACACAGACACACATAATCAAAAATCAAAAATCAAAAGTTGCATGCAAAAGTTCTCCAAAAAGTTCATCACTGTTAAATCCTATGAAAATTCACTAAGCCTAAACACAGAAAACACAAATTGTCTTTTTAAAATCTTCAAGTGTCCTAATTTCAAAACACTATAATACATCACATAATATTTATAAAGTTCAGGTTTCACTTTAAATTCTGTCTCAGGAAATGTCAATTTGGTAAACTGGTAAACCATTTATTTTTCTTGGATTGGTATTGGTCTGCTTCAGCTACCATAGTATCAAGTTGAAACTTTCTTTTTTTCTTCTAAGTATGATTGGTTTGTACAATTTTATCCGTCAATCAAACATGTCATTGCCATCAGACCAAGAACTAACTATTACTATTTTTTTTTAAAACTTTATGTTGCTATTAGTCTAACATTATTATTTCGAAAACGTATTAGCAAATCTTACTGTAATGAAAATTAAACTTTATTTAAGTATTAATAAACTTTGATGTGTCCCTTTAATTAGAAATTTTCAAACTAAGTTTGACCTCTTGACCTGAACTGAGTAATGGACAATTTTAGAATTACGTTTATGTTTTATAATTTCCGTTACTGTTTTAGAATTCCTACACTGTTATTTTATATTTCACCGTCAGTAATATGACCTTTTTGACCTAATCATTTACAATTTTGTATTTCAGTTTTTTTTTATAAACCTTCCTATCAGACTGACACTGACACAAGCTGAGCTCACACCTATTTCAATACCAGACTTTAATTTATCTAGAATAGAACTGTCAATCAAATATGGCCAGTATATGAATGACATTCCATTTTATCCTACAGTAGGACGTTAAAGCCCATTTTATTTAATTTATCTACAACTATGTTGAGAGAAAATGGCCGTACGCTCCATTCAATCGAACACAGTCCATATTTATATAATCATGACAATCAGAATATACACCTAGCTTTTAATCACACATATAATTTCACTAACTAACCACCGAAGTCACGCGACTTTTACACACATCAAATTTAACACAGTGTTAGAACCTATTGTTTATAATAATTCGACCTCATGTCAAATTACACATTCTAATCCTCTCGTGTCGACAGCTTAAAGCAATTAGCAGTATATATTAAACGTTAATATTACGTTTCTAAGCACAAATTTAATTACATAAAATTATATACGGACAAAATCTACCGTATACTCCACTTTTCTAAAAAGTGTCGCATTCTTAACTTTAACCTCCTATAAAACTCGTATTAATGACTTTGCGATAATCTCACAATTTAACGAGCCTATAATTTTAGTTTTTCCCCAGAAAAACCACAACCAACATCCCTAGATTAACCATATGGGATTTTCAACATAACCTAACTTTTTAATCAAAAGTTAAATTACAACAACTCTTAAGGCCTGGACTAAGGGCCCTAAAATTATATAGTATACGAAACAACAAAAAACACAAATTAACGAATCACAGTAGAAAGTACGGCCAACTAGGAAACTAGAGTTAATCACTCACAACTTCATCCTTAGATCTGCCATCTTCCCACTGCGATCCGGAGACACCATTAGTTCCTTACTTTATTCCCTATTCCGTTTCTTTATTATTCCTTAGTTATATCAAAACATTTATTTTTGAAAACCTACTCCCTAAACTTTCTATTTAACTTTAATTTTACTCAAATTTACTACAGGTCATGTTAACCTGGCAATATACATAGCTAACTCATGAAATTATATTGTTTAATAAACCTATTAATCTAAACTTATGAATGACTCCAATTTATTCTCTATACAGTTACATTTTAAATATTTAGTTTCTTATCAGATTTTAACTTTAAATTAATATTATTTGGTCTTTAAACAAATTTATCAGATTTTAACTTTAAATTAATATTATTTGGTCTTTAAACAAATTTAACACATTTGATTTTCCAAACAAAATGTATTTACCCAATTTTTCGAATATCTTCACCAGATTTCTTTTTTCCAACAGACTTTTTCTCTGTTGCTGGATTGTACAGATCTTTTTTTCTTCTTAACGTCTTCAAATATGTATTCTTCTTCTAAAGTGACTTCTTACCCCAAAGGTCGAAACTGCCACGGCAACCAAATAGAATATGTAAGACTATGCAGTGCTATGCAGTCACTGGTTAGATGTGGAAAATATTATGGGAGAACTCCCCACATCCAACGTGTGATGCATACTCTCTTTTCTTCTAATCTTCTTCCAGATTTTCTGCTTACCCTAAAGGTCGAAACTGTCACGGCATCCAAATAGAATATGTAGCACCATGAGTCTTTCTGTCTGACGTGGAGAGCGTCTATGGGAAACCAGTCGCCACATCCTACATACGACCCATGCATCTTTTCTTACTACATATTTCTGTAGCCTTGTGATCGTCTAGAATTTGACTCTAGCTGTCTTTACTTCTGCTTCACATTGTGTATTTACTTCTTCCAGTTTCTTAAGACGTTTGTCTTACCAGGAATAATAATGCATAGTTCGCTTCTACATTTTATATAGCATATAACTGAATACAGGTATACAAGCATAGCACAAATTACAATACTATATAGCTAAAACCACTTCTCCACCCTATCCAGCCTCTCGCATGTCTAGGAACTCAGATGTACCGTCGATCTCTGGAATCTAATGCAAGTCTGACTTACAGGGTTCCCCGGTTTCTTTTAAAGGTAAATGAATATCATGCACCATAAAGCGTGACCATGGCCCTGAACTTGTGTAATTAACAAAATGATTGGTTACTTTAAATCAAATGATGCAATTAGAATAATTCCACTCACGTGTAATTCTGGTGGTAAATGAGTGACATATGTTTTCGATAAATAACTCTTTGTTATGTGTCAACTGTCAATTACAGACTAAGTTGAATTAGTGCACACTATATATGTGAATATGTTTGAAATTACTAACTTGCCAAAGATATTAATTAATGAAATATAAAGGCATCTTATTTCAAGAGCAAAAATTCCAGCAATATTATTACAATTGTCCTACATGTTTACTTTGATGCAAGTCATCTGGTCAACCTGAGATTTGTTTGACCAATATTTTTAATGCATGTCTGACAGAGTTAGTCATGTCCAATTCACCTTCATTTGTACCTGAAATGTTGTACAAAATTGTTTTATATCATAGTTCTTCCAGTGTTATAACTCCCATGTTTTATATTATAGTTCTACCAGTGTTATAACTCCTATATTTTATATTATAGTTCTACCAGTGTTATAACTGCTATATTTTATATTATAATTCTACCAGTGTTATAACTCCTATATTTTATATTATAGTTCTTCCAGTGTTATAACGCCTATGTTCTATATCATCTGTCCCAGTTACCTGAATGTAAAGAATGGCAGGTATGGTCGTCTCTTATATTTATATTTACTATCTGGTTAAAATATTTCTCAAAATTTACTTTCACATCTTAAAGTGGAATTAATTCTTTCCGAATCAAAGATTCGCCAGTAAGAAAATAATGTTGCACAACTTGCCATGATTTCACGGTACATTTATATCATTGGGTGTGTTAAATTTTCAAATTTGACAATCGCGAAACTTTCTCGATCAGCAATGTGATTGATTCCGGGACCTCCTGGTTATTGAGACAGTGCCTTGTTATTTTGTTGATGGGGGCATCGATGGCCGAATGGCTTATCGCGTTTTCTCTAGATCATAAGGTCTGTCATTGAGTCAAGTGGTGTGGTTTTGATTCCCCACATGTACGTGACAAGGAGTAGGGTTGTCTGTCTAACTTCGTGGGTTTCATCCCATAGATAAAGACCCTTAAGTGCAAGCAAATTATTGAAATAAAATTGAACCTAAAATGATAAAATGAGCAGGTTTGTATCAAATGGACTTTAATACCTATTTCTCTCTCATATTTTGGTACTAATTAAACGTGAAAAAAAAAAAAAACAGTTTTAAAAATGTTTGTTTCTGTTTACTTGTTGCAGGTCATTGTTCTAGCAGCTATTCACTTTGTTCTGTTTGCTGGGAATCTGGCCACAACATTACGAGTCATCCGTCAAAAAATACAATCTGATCTGTCATGGCTACGTAATCGCTATAGAAACAGTGTGGATAATAATAAAACAGACTAGATTACCATGACAACCACTTGATGGTAATATTCTTTTAAGAACATTAGGTATCCATAGTTACATCCCCACCCCCATAAAATTATGGGAACTTACAGAAATTTGAATAATAAATCAAAATGGAATTTGTATACATATAAGCTCTTGATTTAGGTCAAGATCTATTGTGTTATTTTTATTAGTGATAAGGCAAGCTCTCTATATAGGCTAGCCCTGGTTTTCAACCTTTTTTCGCCGTTCCCGCTTCACAGTGATGCTTTCCAAAATTTTGAAAAATATGCCCTTTTACCTCGTGTAGATTGACCGATGGACCCCCAGAACATTTCCGTCAAATTTCTATCATGACTGGGTGGTTGGATGGCCGAATTGTTAGCATGTGTGCGCTATATCATAAGGCCTGTCATTGAGTTAACAGCCGTGGTTTTGATTCCCGGATTGTACGTGACAAGGATTGGGATCGCCTGTCCAACCTGGTGGGTTTTCTCCGGTTTCCTCCCACTTCTAAAGACACCTATGCGCTAGCGAATTATTGAAATAAAATTGAACCATATGTTAGTCTCAAAATGACCTAGTTTCTATCAAGTGGACCTCTCTCTCTCTCTTTCTTATGACTGGCATGTAGGGCCAACCTGGAACCCATGTTTCCAAATTCCCCAGCTGCAGCCCACCATCACCATGTCCACAGACAAATAACATAGATGATCTCAATACCTTGACTTCTATTTATTAGTGTTACATGGTTGTCTATGGGGTTTTCAAGTTGTATGGACATAAATTTGGAAATGCCCTGAAAGTGATCAAATTCCCCCTAAGTTGAAAACCATGGCTTTATAAGATTGAATTTTAGTTTTGAAATATTAAATAAAAATTGGGTCCACATATACTGATGGAAGAATAATTACTAATTTATTTTACCAAAGTTTTGAACATTTTGACAACATTTCCAAAATAAATTAGTAATTGTTCTTCCATAAGTCAGTCTGATTAAAAATACAGGGGTCTGTTTCACGAAATTTTAACTAAGATAAAATCCAAATTTTAGTAATTTGATTGGATAATATTAGATTGATTTTAGTGCTTAGCTAATAAAAATTGAAGTATCCACTAAAATTGGATTTTATCTTTAGTTAAGATTTCAAGAAACAGGGCCCAGATCTATATTTCGTTTTGTTTTTTATACTTTCCATGGCCTACACTACAAAAAGATCTGGCCGGATGTACTGGAAGGTTGCATCAGAGTCGTACGAACGGCTTTTGACCCTATCAGCGTTGACAGATGGTTTTATTGGCTAATCCCTCACTTCAAACAGGACACGAGTTAGATAACAACTCTTCCAGATCCTAGTGTAGTAAGACAAATAAAATGAAATTTTGAACTATAAAAAACGAAACAAAATAGGATCTTTGTTTTAATGAGATTATGTATATGTATTATAGTTTATTGCTGTATCTTGTTATTAATTGGTGGTTTCGAATCCCCGGTTGTATGTGACAAGGAGTAGGGTCGCCTGTCCATCCTCGTGGGTTTTCTCCGGGTCCTCCGGTTTCCTCACACTGCTAAAGACCCCTATGCGCAAGCGAATTGTTGAAATAAAATTAAACCATATGTTAGACACGAAATGACCTAGTTTGTGTCGAGTGGACGTTAAACCCCATTCTATCTATCTCTCTCTGTTATTAATTGCCTCTAAAGGCTTAGAATATCTGTATATAAATTAAAGGGATTCAGGATTATTTTAAGGGTAAATTTTCTTAAAAGCATTTGTTAATATTTTAATTTGTTTGTATAAAAACAAATTTAGGTAGAAAGACCACTGCCCTCTCATAATTATATTTAAGGCAATGACTTTAACATGTCGATCAACTCATGCATGATATTATTAGTTGGTCATATTATTAGTTGGGACTATGTTGGTAATGGCTATACATGGTTATCCCTGAACAACATTTTAATATTTAACACGCCTGTCTGCCTTCCTTCCATGATCTGGGGTGGGGGGGGGGTGGATGGCCAAAAAATGGTTAGCACGTGTACGCTGTATCATAAGGTCTGTCATTGAGTCAACTGGCATGGTTTTGATTCCCTGGTTGTAGGTGATAAGGAGTAGGGTCGCCTGACCTAGTTTGTGTGGAGTGAACCTCGACCTCTCTCTTTGTCTCTGTCTTCTATCTGGCGTTGGATCAAAGCTTCTGTCAATGAATCCAGTGATCTGGTTTCGATTCACCTTCTGTCAGATTTGATGACTATATCACTTGAGGTGTTATCATTATGGAGTTTTTGTTGAGGGAATATGAAGTTTATGTTGAAATGTTATGTTTATGGTTTAGATGAAGTTTATGTTGAGGGAATATAAAATTTATGTTGAGGAAATTATAGTTATAGTTCAGATGAAATTTGTGTTCAGGAATATGGAGACTATTTTGAAATGTTGTAATTATAGTTCAGATTCAGTTTATGTTGAGGGAATATCACTGTAACCCAGGTATCGTTTAATCTTGTGTATCTAGCTCTAATTTCTTTCACATTCGTTTAATATCAAATCTTTGTTTAAAAATTCGTAAAAATTGTTTAAAATCACCAAAAATCATCTAATTTGTACATGTGTCCAGTTTAAAGCTGACTGATTAATTTTGATAATGAGTGTCCAATTTACAAGTATTTAATTTCCTGATCACTGTTCAAAAATTAATCACTATACATCATTAATCAATTGTGTTGGGTTTTTTTAACAATGATTGAGAAATTAAACACTTGTAAATTGGACACTCATTATCAAAATTGAATGGTCATCTTTAAACTGGACAGAAGTACAAATTTAACGATTTTGGTGATTTTAAACAGTTTTTACAAATTTTTAAACAAAGATTTGATATTAAACGAATGTGAAAGAAATTAGTGCTAGATACACAAGATTAAACATACCTGGGTTACAGTGTATGGAGACTATGTTAAAATGTTATAATTATAGTTCAGATTCAGTTTTATGTTGAGGGAGAATGGAGATTAATGTTGAAATGAATTATTTATTCTAAGAATCATGAGGGCATTATTATAAGTGTAATATAGAGCCGCAATCTCGATCCTATAGATAACTTTACCCTTGGTTTATCTGTTGTAAAACACGCCGGTCATTAATCTGCGTGAATTCGGTTGTTTAGCTCTGCCCCCTCCTTGTCTACTGATTGGAAGGATTTGTTAGAATGAAATGCTGCTGATTTTAAAATGGCTGACGATTTTTAACAGAGATACACAATGGGTAAACTTATCTCTGATATCGAGATTGATGGAGCTGTTATATGCCGTATTGATACAGTCTTTTGTCTGCAATATTATATAATTATTTAATTTAACCAATGAATTGTACATATTATTATTTTGTATATGTTGTTGTATTTATGTATATTGTATAGTTGAATTGAGAATAATGATTAAAATGTTAGAAAAGCAAAGGAATTATTTATATCCCACTCCACTCCTCATCCCCACCTTCTGCAGGTCCTCCGGTTTCCTTCCACTGCTAAAAGACCCCTACGCGCAAGAGAATTCTTGAAATAAAATTGAACCATGTGTTAGTACCGAAATGACATAGTTTGTGTCGAGTGGTCGTTAAACCCCATCTTGTTGCTATAATAGTTCAAAAATAGATAATTCAAAATTAATATATTCAAAAATTTCATTCAAATTACTTTATTCTGAGCGACGTTATCACTGTTTTCACAAGAAGTAGTATAGATTGTTTATTATCACAACAACGTTACTTGTTAATCGAGTCTCAGTCGCGCTTCTCCATTTTTAAATTAATCATTAAATGGCAATCGTATTTCAATCGGTTTAAATCTCTGCCATCCGATGATCTAGAGAGTTGATTATCGGCTTGCCAAGAATAAATGTCTAAAAAAAGATTTATGTAACATATGAAGCCAAAACAAAAACCTGCAATAGACAGCTTTAGCTCTGGCATAATGTCTCTTTAATCATTATTGCATGTTTACATTCCAGATGCCCGACAAGGACAGCTGTCTAGTCCTTCAGATGAGATGAAAAACTGAGGTCCCGTGTAAACATTGGAATGTACGTAAAAAATCCCTTGGCAGTTGGAATTCGATATAAGAGTAAGCGATAGTGCCGCTGCCCGGGCAAAATTTCCCTCATAGCACACTGTATGGCGTATGCCCGTCTTCATTAGCTCAGTATAGGAGCAGAACAGTAGGACGTAAAACCCCATTTCATTTCATTCCATTCCAGATCCAAAACAACTTATCTCAACATTCATTCATTTATTCATTTATCCGCCTTGCCATGTTTTTATTCATGATACAAAACAGCCCATATCAACATTATTTGTCTATTTTTCATGTTTTCATTCGTTTATCCATGTTCCAATGTATTCATTCGTGTGATGGCCTTCTAATAACGAGATAACCGAGTGTAGAATCTATTCAGAAGGACATCAATAAATAATTAATTGATATAACATACTGGTTATATTGGTAATGAGCTGTCAGAATATTAAAGATACCTTCCCATGTAAAAACTGAGTGGTTATATACTCTGCGATATCACCTCGGTGGAAGCGGACGTAAAATACAACTAACTCATCATCATACTCTTCAAAAAAAAAGTAGGGGATATTGAAATGCAAATACCTATTCAGGTTGTGATATCATGAATAGCCACGGACACTTGACATGCTTTGAGAGTATGTTCACAGATGAAGAACTTATCGCACCAACAGAACCACTGAGCTGTATGTGCGACACGCAATAATGCCATACACGTGGGAGGGGTTCATTGTCAAATTTGACACTTCAAGGAAGGGTTGATGAAAACTGCCGCTTGCTGGTTTATCCTATCCATGTTTGCTTTCCTATTGGTTCTTGCATAAGATTTACTGTTCAGCGTATCTTTGCTTTAGTGAGTTACGTTTAATTTGATTGGAAGACGTGTTCGTCGACGTCAATGTCAACCGACAACACTCCAAGAATTGGCCGTGGCTCTGCAAGAGGAGTGGGTCAGATTGCCCTAAATCGTGATTGGACGGCTGATTAGGAGCATGGCTCGACGAATTGCTGAAGGTCTGAGGATTTGTGGAGCAATTATTCATTATTAAGACAAAAATCAAAAACGTCAATTTTCACTTTTCACAGTGTATCTCTTTGCGAGTGAAATGGGGGCGTCAGATAAGCCGCCCGTATGAACTGTTAATGTCTATGTGTAGGCAATTGGCCTGTTATTAACATACACTGGTTACCTCTAATAAAACCAGCAGTGCATTTCCGCAGTTTTGTATTGTTTCTGAAAATCCCCTACTTTTTTGAAGAGTATATTAGTGATGAGCTGTCAGTATATAAAACATGTCTCCCTATGTACAAACTGTGTGATTTGATGATATAGTGGGACTTTAAACATGTTCAAACTAATTCAAAGATACATTCCGATGTACAAACGGTTTGATTAATGATACATTGGGACATACCCAAACTAATTTGTCCATCAAAAGCTTGCTTCAAATTCTACTGAGCTAATGAAGACGGGCATACGCCACACAGTGTGCAATGAGGGAAATTTTGCCGGGACAGCGGCACTACAGCCTTCTCTTACATGTATATCGAATTCCAACTGCCAAGGGATCTTTTACATGCACGACTAGACAACTGTCCTTGTCAGATCCTCCGCCCTGCAGAGCGGAAAAGGGGTAACCACGCCGGGAAATGGCGATGAACTTTCTCGGTCAACTCCGGGAGCGAACCCGCCGAATTCAGACTAGCGAGTCAGAGTCTTACTCACTTAGACAGCGTGGATTCCGTTCAGCGATAATAAACTAGAAGTGTCGGATTTATCTATTACAGACTGAATCATAGGTTCCCAAGTGCTAGGGGTCGGCCGGCCGAGGTGTATAATATTATTTCGACATTGCCTTTAGTTGTCTGCGATATCACCCCGGTGGAAGCGGACGTTAAATAAAGCTATTTCACACATTGCCTTTAGGATTTTCAAAATCCCGAACTGGATTCGCCGATCAGAGTTAATATTCTCATGATCGTATCATCTGGATGAAATATGCCACGTTATTGTGAATGCGCGATTTCTCTAAGAGCGAATTGTTGCAAGAATCGAGGTGGGAGAGGGGCTGGCGCCTATTTCCAACGTATCTCTTGATCAGATCTATAGAGTAGCAAAGAAGGTCTGACTGCAACTGTATGTCATCAACCCAACGTTCTTGGTTAGAATTTAGTTAACCTTCTTGTTCACAGGAGCAACTCTTTTGTAATGGTTTATAAATGTTTCCTAACAGCACCATGCGAGAAAACTGGGATGATTCTAAAATCCCGGGATCCCTGGGTGGGGGATCGGGAGAAAAATGGGATGATTCTAAAATCCCGGGATCCCGACCCCCCATCCAGGGATCCCGAACAGTGAACAATGTTCCGGGATTCCCTTATATTGCCATAAACCCGCTCTTCATCTCAACCCGTCACCGCAAACTAGTAATAGAGTAATGAGCTGTCAGTTTATCAATATTGTCTATTGTACTCGTCTAACAAGTTTATTGTCTACAAAATACATTATCTAGATTAATTTGGTTCTGTTTCGATATTCTATTATACACGTTTTGTATGGACATCTGGACGTCTATCGACATTCTGACTTCCATTATAAACACGTCATACTCGACTGTGTGTGCGTATTGGTGATACATTCTAACATTAATCAGTGGATGTTCAGATTGAGTGCACGACATGAGTCAAGGAACAGTACTAGCTTACCTATGTGTACCACGTCCCACTCCCCAACCTACGAAAATCGTGCATTTAGCTTTACTGTCTATTAAAGTTCTTCACATCTGCGGGTGACTGAGTGGGTGCTCTGGAAGCTAATGTGGATCATATTATTTGACCAGAGGTTCACAATGTCTAGGTGACTGGCTTTAGACATTAACAGGCCGTGTACACACTGCAAAATCTCTGTAGAGAGAAATGGGGCTTAATATTCACTCGACACAAAGTAGGTCATTTCGGGACTAACATTTTGCAGTGGAGAGAGAGAGAGAGAGAGAAATGGGGTTTAACGTCCACTCGACACAAACTAGGTCATTTCGGGACTAACATATGTTTTTTTAATATTTTATTTACATAATTCGCTTGCGCGTAGGGGTTGTTAGCAGTGGGAGGAAACCGGAGGCCCCGGAGAAGACCCACGAGGTTGGACAGGCGACCCTAATTGCCACGTACAACCGGGGATTCGAAACCACACCAGTCGACTCAATGACAGACTTTATGATACAGCGCGCGCACGCTAACCATTCAGCCATCCAACCCCCTCTTTTGCAGTGGAAGGAAACCGGGGGACCCGGAGAAAACCCACGAGGTTGGGCAGATGACCCCACTGCTTTTCACTTTAGAAGCAGGAAATCGAAAACATGCCACTTGACTCAATGCCACCCAGTCTCTGGGAATTTTCTCGGCAAACACCGGGATCGAACAATAAGTGGTATCAGATGTTTGGAGCCACGGTGACTCAGTGCGTAAGACATTGGCTCGCTGTTTTGCGTATGCCTGTCTTCATTCACCCAGTTGGAGCAGAATAGTATAGGACGTTAAACCCCATTTCATTTCCTTATCGAATTGAAACTGTCACGTGTTCTTTTACGTGCACGCCAATGTGTACACGTACGGGACCTCGAGTTTTCGTACAATCCGAACGACTGAGACAGCTGTCCTTACCAGGCCTTGCACCACACAGAAAAAATCTGG